CCGGAAGCAGCTGAGCTAACTTCGTGTTGATTTTCGCAAGATCTATTTTACTGCCCTGTTTATGTACAAAATTACACGTATGTGAAAGCCCAAGTATTTGGTTGAGTTTTTCTCTGTTCAAAGCCCTGGTTTCACTGGTATGGGGAACGGTCGGAGCTTAACATTCTTAAGGTGAGAACTGAGACTGAGTTTAGATCCTCACATGTCTCTGGTGCTCGCCTACGGAATTCCCTCCCAGCCTCTACCAAATTCACAATGACTTGCTGTTTTCAGGGATGGTGCGTGTAAATACTTTCTTGGCCTCGACCCTTAAGTCTGTATCGCAAGAATGTCTGCATTACTAGTCTCTCTGTAGTCCAAGATACATTTTACTAGTCTTGCTGAGCTGTGATAAAGTATCTAGACTTGATTTCTCTATTTATGCGTTTGACATATTTACATGACTTTTAATTGTTTGTTATTGACTCACAGAGTGTCTATACAATACTTTATTTATTCATATTTGTAATAATCTTATGATAGGTGTTCGACCAAATTATGTGATATTGTCAAACAATGTACTTTTACTTTTGCCTTTTACCTCTCTTCCGTCGGATGGCTGCACGCGCTTTCGAACGACATTTTTTTTTTCTCGTTCCGCTCTAAAGTCCCCCCTTCCTTTTCCGCGTAACGGTATAGACGATGGAAAACCTTGTCAAAAGAACGGCGTCGATCGCGCGCTCGAACGACGTCCGTCCACTCAGCTGTCCGAAAACAAGAGGCTCCCGGATAAATCCGTATTTCTCGGAACTCCCGGCTCTTCTGGCGCGAGCTTGCGGTGAGTTCCCACGCGCGTACAGGTGTAGCTGCCAAGAGCGCGCTCTCTCGGCGTGCGAGCTCTGATTTATGCGTCGCGGGCTTGGCTGGCGTAGCGATGATCGCCGAGTGAAAGGGGATCGCCCGTTGGGGACGAGGCTGCTAAGTCGGTCTTTTTCCTTTCTTTCATTGTTATTTATTTATTTATTTTTTTCATATTCGCCGCCAAGGAGAGGATAGTTCGCGGACACGACTACGTCGACGAGGATGCGCTATAGCCGACGCGCTTGCGCGACCCTGAAAAAGCGCGTGAAAGGAGGGCTCGGGTCCGTTTTGAAAACCGGGCGACTCGCGCGGTGGGCTTACGCAATCGGCCGCTACTCCACGTTGCGCAACGATCCTCCTCGCTCGTCTTCCTGGCGGCGCGCGCGCCTCCCCCGGCGGAGCTCGCCGACGAGCCGCGCCCTCGGCAAGCCAAGACGGACGAGCTGCCACGGATTTTTCGGAGCGAGAGGCGCGCGGACGCTCGTAAATCATGCTAACTCAGCGATGCGCGCCGGTTACGAGTCATTAGTACCACTTTACCGATCCCGACGACCGCGGTCGCTGTCCGACTCTTATATAGTTACACATGTATATATATATGTGCCCGCATGTGCACTCGAGCTGCCTGTCCGTCTTTCCGTAGCTTCCTCGGCACGCTCGTGCGTTTCTCGAGAATGACCATCGCAGCTTCGAGACGATGGAGTTCGATGGTACGTTTTTCTCGTACAGGGACGAATCTAGAGGTCGAGCGTCGATCGATCACCCGAATCATTCAAACGGCATCGGGGACCAGCAGTTTATCATTGCTAAAGTTACAGTCGAGAGCTCGACGAGGCCTTCGTGGCCACCGCGATGAGTCGGTTTGCGCGACTCCGACGCCAAGAGCGAGACGACGATCGACGCCCGCTTGTCGCAAAGCGGCGGCGAAGCGGGACACGCACCGCCGAGATCGCGACTCTTCGGACGTCTCGTCCGTGGCGATTCGTCGGCAAAAGAAACCGCGCTCAACTTTGAATACGCGTGACGCGACTCCATTTGCTGGCGATGCGACTTGCTGAGCCAGCCTCGAGAACGAGCAGCGGGAATGGCGAAAGCCACCGGGCAATTAGCGCGCACGACTCGGAAATTGCGCGCGTCGCGCGAGAGAGCGAACTCGGCCGTGAGTCTTTGCGCGATATTACACGAGCAAAGTGAAAATTTCCGTTAAGGCGGCTCTGCGGCCGAAAATATCGCGGGCAGAGTCACGTGGGCCAATACTTCTCGCGAAGCTCCGAAAATATTTCCGCTCGCGCGCCTGCGAGATAAATCGCGCCGCACCGAGAGGGCCGATTCTTCGCCAAGCCTGCGGCTCCGACGTGGCGCTCGTGGTCGGAGAGCTGACGGGGCTCGGTTGAAACTTTTGTCTCTTTTCTCCGAATGCTCGACGCCGTTGGATCGATTCGGAGAAGAAGCCTGGACGAAGCGCGCGGCCTCCCGATTTGCGGGGAAATATGAATTTCCAGCGACACCGTTCGACGGCTCCATCCAACGGGATTTTCACGAAAGACTCGATTGAAATCCCCGGCGACTACTGTTCGTAGGTAAGACAGATATCTTTCTTGTTATGCGCCAAGTCATTCGGAAAAGTTTCGGTGATTTCTGTGTGGACGTGACAATAATCAATAAAACGATTCGTTAACGACGGTTTATTGCAAGCACAACACTGATACAATTTATGTTTATTCTCTTCTGACGGCTTTCATTAGGATATCTTTCTTCAGCTAAAAAGCCTCCAAATGAGCCCTGAGAAGGTATATACATTTTTTAAATAATTAGCTTGACTTTACATTAAAAAAAAAGAAAAATAATCTTACAGTAATTTATCACTTACCTAAAATAGCTGGAGCTAAATTCGTGAGTATCATATAAAGACCAGCAACACTGATCATGATGGTGATCCAATGGTCTTTCATTTTCAACAGCTAGTTGATATTCAATGTAAGCTACTGTTTAATATATTCACGCTTGAAGCTTGTCTCTCAATGAAAAATATTTGAGCTGACGTAAAGTATAGGCAGCATGGCCGAGTTCAAGTATAAAGACAGAGGTAATTATGATAATTTCAATACTGCATAATCGAGTAACTACTGCATTATCATAACTGGGCTAGCCAACTATTTTATTTTTAACAATTTTTTTGCAAAGAAAATATTCAACTTAATATATAATACGGTGAGTTAATGGTATTTATTAATGATCAAAGTAATATCACATGTGTAGAAGCTTGAAAGAAGGAATTAAGCTTTTAGATATGAAAGCTCAGTTGTTTAGCAGCCGTTCAAGTAAACATTCCAGCTTTCTTCAAACAGGCATTTCTCATTGTTTGCGAAAATTGCACGCGAAAGCACGTGCATTTATCAGAAAGTTGTGCGATACGAGAATTGCCGACTGCATCCACTGCGCGTATAAGACATACGCATAAATTTCTCTTTCGAAGTAAAGCTCGAAATAGAAGCGGAAGAGTAATACAGGAGGGCCAGTCTTAGGCATTTGGAATCGCTCTGTGAAACGGCTCGAGAATGCGACGATTCATTAGCCTAAAAGATTATCTTATCCGCGGCGTGACGCTCGCTTGTCGAAATGGTCTTTTCATGAATTGCAGTCCGCACAGAGACGTATGTTTAATCCGGTCTGCTCGACTGATAAAATATGAGCCAGCGCTTGCAAGTGGAGACGCGTGTCTGCCTTGTCGGCCTGCAAAAATGCACGGCGGTGGCATTTTGCGCTCTTGCCTCTTGTGATCTTTCGATCGTTCGAACGTCATCTCGCGCGACAATTCGAAAACGAATAAAGAGTCCGCTAAATATAACTTCGCACGAGTCATGCAGCTTTGGAAGGATTCTTTCACAGAGATGCATTTATCAGTAAAACACTGCAAGACAGTGCCATGGGAGGAGCAATGTCATTGTTTTCCCAATGGCGCACACGTGCCAAGACTCTCTCTCTCTCTCTCTCTCCTTCTCGTAAGACAAGATTTTTGGGACTCGTCCGTGCTCGCGCGCGGAAAACCAGTGAGTCACAGGTAGCCAGTTGCAACGGCCGGACGTAAAGTGACTAGAGACAGATTATTTTGTTGGCCATGAGGGTGAGATATTTTTTACAATATTTAGCGAGGCAATAGTTGCGGTCGGTGTGATGTTTTATATAGATTTAGTTAGAATTCAGGAGATTATTATGCATGCAAGTTTATCACGAAATTTTTTAATCGAATTTTTCAATTGATTTTTCACTGTTTGCGGCTATTATAATATTCTATTAAAAATGCAAAGCATCCAACGTCGAAATAAATAGATCAGAATCAACAAATTATAAAAACACGTAAAACACTTCAACGTTACTTTCTCTGCGTAAATGCAACTATCGTACTTTGTTGTGACATAAAATTGATATACGAGATATGTGCTATATTACTGTGCTACGATAAGACTTGCAATTCACGTCATTGGATTTACTTTCAGACGTTAAATCACTTTAGCAGCAAAAACGAAACTTCGTTCGAAATTCTCCCACATGACAATGCACCGCACAATGAATTTCTGGATTCGTCGGTGGACGCCGAGCTCAAGCAACTCCGAATTGACGCGTCAAAGTTCCAACAACAAAATCTAGGAAGTAAGACTGAAGTGAAAAACGCAAAGGGTCAAACATATCTTCACTTGGCAGCCAAGCAGAGAAATGGAGACCTGTTGCGACTGAACCTAGATTTATACAAGCGCGATGTGAACGCAGCCGACTACAGGGGTAACACGCCGTTACATCTGTTGCTCAGCTCCAATCACGCTACTAGCAACGACGACGATTTGGTTGATTTCGCGCGAATTCTTTTAGACAATGGTGCGAAGGTTGAAATGAAAAACAACGAAGGAAAAACACCGTTGCTTGCCACAGTTGCTCATAGCTCGATACAAGTACTCGAATTGTTATTGGAGTATGGAGCTGATTTCAAGGGTTGCGACAATCGAGGCTTTGGTGTGTTGCACTACCTGGCAAGTTCACCGAATAATGCAACTGCCTGTGCGAGTCTTTTGCAACTACTATTGAAGCTTGGATGCGATGTAAATGCTAAAAGTCAACATGGACGAACACCACTATATGTTGCCGTTTGTACAGGTCACAATGTGTGTTTTGATCTCTTGATTGAACGTGGAGCGAACATTAGATGCAGAGATGTGAAATTCGACATGACAATACTGCACGTGGCAGCCAAATATGCCAAACATTACGTACTCAAAAGATTAATGAGAATCCTGAATAAGGGGGATCCTTGCGAAAAAGACGGTAAGGTAAATTAAGATTTTCTCCAAGCGTATATAAAAAAATAACTAACGTTTTTTTAGCAATGATAAATGCGAAACAAAAAGATGGCAGAACAGCTTTACATTTAGCCACACGTCACAAACTCACCTTCATCCTAAATGTTCTGCTGCGTAACGGCGCCGATGTCAAAGCCATCGACTCTTACGGTCGAACAGTTTTACACTACGCCTGTCAGTACAACAACGCCGAAGCTTTCGATATTCTAATGGACTTTGGCGCGGACATAAACGTTCAAGATAAGAAAGGCTTTACTCCAATGCAGTTGAATGAAGAAGTTGAAGCAATCGTTTGGCTAAGGGTGGTGACAAGAAATGCAAAATCGATGGCTGTCGGTCTTCCCGTCGTTGATTTTCGTAAAAATCTTCTCCAGATTATGCACAAGATGCAGAGTTATGAGAAGTATAACGTTGAGGTATTTCATATGAAGCAGACAATGATCAATTCAAGTGTGTCAGTCTATGACTTGCTACTCGATGAAGACAAAATGTATAAATACAGGAATAATGTGGTGTTGAAAGAGATTGTACTTTTTAGCAAATTATTTCCTAGTTATAGAGAAATGCTCATTGGGAAGTATCGCAGAGCTGGTGTGAGAAGATACCTTGTTATTCTTGCTATAAAAGCACTGTTAAAAATGATTGGTTATAGACTGGATGATGTTTTAGGCAATATGATCTTTGAAAAGTTGAGTAATGCAGAGTTGCATGCTTTCATAGAGGCTGCTGTGACAAACAATCAAGACTGTGATGTAAACAATTAGTTTTATGAGCATTGAAAATAATGTACATATGTTTTCTTGTGATTTTATTATTATATTTACTACTTTTTATGATAGTTATCAAGATTAAACAGTATTTGTATGATAGCTTCCATACATTTTGATAAAAATATTTCATAAGAGTTATTCAAAATATAAAAACACAAAAATTAACTTACTCATCATTAAAATCATCTTCCAGTTGTAGATAGGGTCTTATACGACTCATAATACTGTCTATCATTGACTGATCAAGATTAGATCTTAGTTTTGTCATAGTCCCTGATCTTGGATAATGTCTTTTCATTTTGTACGTTTTTTATTTGCTTGAAAAAATATAATTAATTACTACAACTTTTACTCTGTTCATCTATTGGGATCAATAGTTCAACATACCAACACAATTTAAAATATAAAGAATGTAAAAAAAAAACTTGTGTAATGTTCCTAATTAGCAACGTGACCTGTTAGTAACAGATTATAAAAGTACTTTAAATGACTTTTTGTTTACATTACTTGTGTGATTTGTCAAAATATTTCACATGAATGATACGAACAACTTTTCGACAGCTTAGCTGAACTTAGTATTTATATATCGATGTATCACTGCGTTAAGTTAGCTCATCGCATAGCAGAAATGTTGTATTGGATCGACTATTCTAGATAACTTCAATGATAATAATCTAAATTTTTGATTCACTCAATAGATTATAAGCAGTTCCAATGTATTATGGAATTTTATAAAGCACTGTAAAATGTAAAAAAAATAAAACGACTGTTCGGCCATAGTATGAGCTAAACGTATTTGCGATTCGAGCGCCAAAATTTCCGTTCCGCCATTACAACGTTAGTCATATTGCAGCTCTGTCTGATAAATTTCTACGAAAACTATCGATAACTGAAGAAACTATACTCTTTATAAAAGAGAAAGGCAACAACAAAACTAATTAAAATCCTTTTGGTGAACGCGAATTTTTTTTTCCACTTCTATATTCGGACCGGAAACGATGGTACTGAAAGTTCAAAATAATTTGAGAACGAGTTCGGATACGTTGGTTTGCCATCTCCGCATAACGGTACAAGTGGATAAGTTGTAGTGCGACTTGTTGATCGTGAATTGCTTTATCAAATTCAACGGAATTAGAAAGTTGGTGTATTACTTTCAACAATTAGTATTTAACACTTTTTATATTTACAGGAAATATCTCAAGTAAATAGATAATAAGATAAGGGGGTTTCTACATAGTGTCAAAAAGAAAGTTTTTTTTTTCAATTTTTTTTCAATGTAGGGTACATATCTGATTGTTGATAACCGACGTCCAATATCTCCTTATGTAGAAAACCTCTTATTGCACCAACATTAGTATGACGTATATCTGAAACATAAAAAATTTTATAAATTGCTAAGATGATTGAAAAATAAAATAATCCTTTCAAGTTAAAACGAAGCACTCCAAAAGTCGATGTATTTGTTTTTTTAGTTTGCATAGGCTGCCATCATGTATTCTTTTGTTGAAATTCAAAAATACGGTATCGACGTTCCTTTGGCCACTCGTGGCGACAAATTCTGCCAGACTCCACTACATCACGCTGCTATGAGCAAAAGTTTGGAAATTGTCCAGTTATTGATAGAATACGGAGCAGACGTAGAATGCGTTGCATCGAAAAATCGAACGGTGTTGAATTGCTTGCTTGACAATGAGAAAAACGAGGATCCCAGTCAAGAGGAAATCTGCATACCTATTTTAAATCTGCTGATTTCCAATAAATGTCCGATTGACGTTAAAGACAGCAATGAACAGACATTATTGCATCTAGCTGCCAAGTACAAGCAGCAAAAGATCATTAAAATTCTCTTACCATTATTAAACAAGTTTATTGATTCTGTTGATATTAATGGGAATACTGCCTTGCATAATTTATTGAAAGCTATTAAAAATGAAGATGGAATAGAAGAGTTAAAGTTTCTTTCCACAGTAAAGTTATTGTTGGAAAAATGTCCTACTCTAGTCAAAAGTAGAGATAAATGGGGCAACGCATCTGTTCATATTGCTGCTCAGAATAAGCAGAAGGCAATAATGAGACTGTTGTTGGAGTGCGATAAAAATAATAAAAGCAAAAACTGACAAAAATGTAGTGAAATAATACTTGCGTTTTTATTTTCATGGAATTCCAGTAATAAATTTTAATAATATTATAATTTCAATGTTATTGTGAATTTCAACTCAATCAGCGAGAATTAATAGGTTTTGTTTCTATAACACGATCTAAAGAATACTAGTTCACGTTTATGTTTATTTGAATGAGAATAACGATTGTATATGTAAATATACCAAAGTAAACATGCGAGTTTTCAAAATACTCAAAAATTTTCAAACAATCGCGTAAAATATTGTGTACATCTGTTTTCATGTCTAACTTACTCCTACGAATTAAAATTAAATGTTTCTTTAGTGGGAAAGTGAGAATACTTGGTAATATCTTAAAAATATAATGTGCGTGCATAATTGTAATAAAGTTATCGACTTGAAACCGTGAAAAATCTTGTTAATTTATTTTTAAGTCGAGATTAATACGTTGGACGACATCCGATCCAATCTTCATGCGAAACATTTTTTTTCGCTTCTTCGAATTTTTCGTGCGAGTTGCATCCTCTAATTATTTCGTCGAATGTTGGGTCTGCCATCGAGTGTAATTTTTCGCGGAATTAAAACGCGATCAAGAAACGGTTTCATTGGAAAGCGTTCGGCTTAAGCATTCGTCTCTCAGCGAAAGCAGCTACAGCAGCCGAAAAATTCGATAACGCAAAGCTCGAAGCTGGGAACGAATCAACGATCTGCTAATCAACGTTGCCGAGCGGTGCCGCTCCATCTCGCCGTTTATATTCTATCGCTCTCACCCCGTGACTCTCGACGGCAAGACGAAAGAAAAACGCACTCGCGCAATCACGCGTACAAGCGACGCGCTAAAAGAATTATCGACGCACGCGAAACGGGAATATTGCATCTCTCTCGCGCGAGCGCGCGCGCGCCTGGAATCGCGCCAGCAGCAGTGGCATCGCACACCTTATTAAACGCGAGGCTTTCGAAACTTAATTTTTTTTCACGGCCGAGACCGTTCACCTCGCGGGCAATGGTGGCTGGGAGTTTGCCCGTATATTTAGCTCGGTTGGAAAGTGCGCTTTTTGAACGAGGCATTGTCGGCGGGATGCGTTGACCCGCGTGAATACTGCAATGTGCGCGAGCGCCTACTTGGTTCATTGACACATCCGCGGCCGAAAAAAGCTCGGGAAATTTGGAAAAAGAGCGAGATACGTAGGGGGATCGGTGCGCGGGGTGAAACGGCGGCGGCGCAGGCTTGACGCTTGGGTGTGTATCGGCGTGGGAGGGGCAGGGAGAGAGAGAGAGAGAGAGAGAGAGGCATCGAGCGAAAAGCTGCGCGCACGGCTGGCGTCGCGACGCCGCAAGTGCGCGCGCGAGGGGGGAGCGTTCGCGTTTCGTTTAGCCGGGCGTCGCTCTCTCGACTCAGTACCTCACGATACGTAAGCTCGTGCGACGGTGGGTCGCGCTCGATCGGGTCCACGCAGGCGTTTTTTTCTTTTTTTATCTTTCTCTCTCTCTCCTCTCTCGATCTCATGGTAGTTACCCCTTCGTCGGTTGTGCTTGTGACAGTGAATCTGAGAATCGGCCAGACTGCAGCCTTCCTCGTCGTCCGCAAGTTCTTCTGACGCGCTCGAACTGGATCCAGTGATTGAAAATTGCAAGGATCGGATCAAACCTGAAAAGAAACAGCGCTCGGCTCGAGGTTCCGAGAAGCTGTACATAAGTGATCAGCGTCTCTATCTCATCAAGTGCGAGCATTGGGGGCTCGAGAAAATTGGAGCGAGCGAATCTCACGTCGTTCTCGTTCCCCTCTCTTGGGCGCTCACTCTCTGCGAGCCTCCTGGGTTTATTCGCGTGCGTGCGTGCGCGCGTACAGCCCACGTATTTCAAGATGCATGAGTAAGCGCTAAAGGGGGCGCAAAGGTCAACGCCTGCTTACATCTGCCGCGAGGGAGCCAGGTGCTCGTAAAAGCTCGACTTCGCGCGGCGGCCCAACCGAAATAGATGACTCGGGATCATAGTCTGTGCGCGTGTGGCATAACGCTTTCGCGGAATCGGCGCAGTTTTGACGAGTTGTTCCGCGGGCAGGAGTAATCGGCATCGTCGGCCGTACGCCTCGAAATAGCCGGATCGCCAGCGTGGGTGAACAGCTTCCGAACAGCTGCGGCGTTTCTAACCTCAAAATTAGAAAGCTCGGTCAATCCGGGCCGTCCGTTCGAAAAAGTCGGATACGAGGAAAAGTTGGTCGAACAGCGCGAGCGAGCGAGCGAACGAACGAACGAGCGAGCGAGAGAGAGAGAGGGAGAAAGCGGATACGCTGCACATGGTAAAAATAAAACGGCCGTGAAGCTTCGGTCTGATCTGGCGATGTGCTTCGCCGAAAAATGGGCTGCTCGGCGCGCCGGTGAAAGTTAAAAATATGCGCGACCTGTCGAGGAGGCAGCATCAGCATCAGCATCAGCAGCAGCAGCAGCAGCAGCAGCGCCGGCGGCGGCGACAACAGCCACGATGAGCGGCGACTGGTAAGGTCAGGGGAGCAGGACAGCGAGAGAGGACCGCGGAGCGATGCAGGTGGACTACGGCCAGCAGAGCCTGAGACGCAAGACGCGCTCGGCCTCGATCTGCGCGCCGGGCTCGTCGAGCATGGAGCAGATGCTGAGCGCCATGCCGCCTATGGGCAAGGAGGGCGGCGCCGGCAGGGAGCCCAGGACGTCGGCGCTGAAGAAGGACAGCGGCAGCGCCACGCCCGAGAGCAGCAGCACGCCCAACAAGAAGCGTCGGCCCGCCACGAGGTCGCAGAGCGCGCGCGCCTCCGGGGCCAACAAGAGCTTCAAGCGGCGACAGGCGCAACAGGGTGAGCGCCGAGCGTCTGCTCTCGAGCAACTGGTGGCGTCCCGCGGGCGTCGCTCGCCGGCCTTCCCGAGCGGTCCTCGTCGCGGCCCGTCCGACGGTCTACGCGCGGCCGAGGCGCATCGCGGCTCGACCGGTCCGACGACGCGACGAGCTCGCGGCATTGGCTCGCGCGATGGGGCCGGGACTAATCAAACCGAGTGGCGTGCGTGCGGCGCGTCGCGACGCCGGACCGCGAGCCGCAGGTGCGCTGATTGACAATCGTTCTCGGCGGAATGCGGAAACCGCGGGGCCGTTGATTGGCGTCGGTTTCCCAACTGTCGCTTCCCGCAGCGCCCGAATTCGCTGGCGCGGCGATTGGTACGCGATCGAGCGTCGCGGACCGCTCGGTCGGTCCGTTTCAGCCGCCAAGTGCACTCGCTCTCCCCGCCGTCCTTACCTCGGCGCGCCCGGTGCAATCGGCGCTCGCGATTCCACGGCCAGCTACGAGAACGAAATGTCTCTCGCGCTATTGTCACGGGTGCGACGTCGGTGACATTCAGAGAGAGAGAGAGAGAGAAAGAGAGGAAGAGAAAGAACAGCCGTTCTGTCGTTTGCTCCTCGTTACTCGAATCAAGGGTCGAGCGCAGTGGCTCGTTAGTGTAACCCTCGCTCCCGAATTGAGCGTGGCGCGGAGCGAACGAATCTCCCGACGGCATGGCCGTCGATGCGCGTTCGCGCGCGCTATCGTCGAAGTTGGCATCTCACGGCCGGACGATCGCCAGCGACGACAGAACGCTCCTGACAGCCGGCCGCGTGCTTCGTTTGAACGCGCGCGCCGCGCTCCAACCGACGAACATTCGCCCTCGCGTTCGTTCGCGATCCAACGGACCTCCGGGATAAGGTTTTCCTCGACTCGAGAGCGGGAAGGTTTTTAATTTGCCACGGCGCTCTCTCGTTTCGCGACGCACCGATCAACCGATGCAACGAAAGAAAACATTTTGCGCGCGTGCCAAATAACAGCCGCAACGTTGCGCGACCGGCGGGAGTCCTCGAGTCGATCGGGGAACCCTTTCGTTTCCCAACGCGAGCGTCCGCGATCGAGCGACGCTTTGGGCACAGCCACGTAGGGAATAAAAAGTAAGACGAGAGACGGACGAGCGGCGCGAAATTTCCAGAAGCTCTCGCGAAAGAATCATCCCCGCGGTCGTGATCGTCGCCCGCTCGCAGCTCGTAACAAGCCCCTCCCAGTATCCGCAGAAGGCATGCGCGAATAACGGCAGTCGCGCGCCCGGAGAGCGCGCGTTATTTTTAATCACGGTAATAGGAATAGCGCGCAGTCGTATACTTGTTCGCGCGTCGTTCCGAAGCAGCCGGCCGGGTTGGGCGGCAGCGAAGGGCGGGAGCGGGTGCTAATGGTCGTCGTTCCCGGCGCGCGGCCGATTACAAGTGTACCCACCTACACGTCGCGTGACACACGTCGAGAGCGCGGCTGCTTTTAGAAACCGATAATCGATATGTACACAGCCGAAGAGCGAGAGAGATTAGAAACGCCGGCGCGCTGGCAATTTTTTTTCGCTGCGCGCGCGGCCTTCCGACGCCGGCGCGCGTGCTCCTCCGAGAGAATTGCCCCTCTCGGCCTCCGGTCGCGGGCTTTGTTCTCGGACCGCCGGCCGACGCTGCGATTTGCCGAGGGACGAGCAACGGGTTGTGCGTCTGCCAGCGCGAGCTTTCAGCGGAAAAGCAAAGAAAAACGAACGAACGAACAAAGCCGAAAAAACGAGAGGCGAGGGCTCGTTATGCGCCGTCCCTCGCGGTAAACCACGCCGTTCTCTCTCTCTCTCTCTCTCTCTCTCTCTCTCTCTCTCTCTCTCTCTCTTTTGAGCGCGAGTGTCGTTGCAACGACGACGTCGAACGGAGCGGTCTGGTAAATTGGCGAGCGGTTGGGCCAAGAGCAAGGCCGCGTCGACGATGCAAAGCAACGATCCGCGAGCCTTCAGCGGTGGCTTTTGCGCGCGCGCTCCCGATTGAGACGGCGCCGCGAGGCTCCTTCCCGCGACGCTGGGATCGATACGTGGGCGGCAAACGCCTCCTCCTTACCCCCGCCGGCGAGAGTTCGGCATTGTCTCGTCCTCCGAGAGTCAGCGTGCGTTGGTCGACCGAAGGGAACTCGAGGCGACGGACAAAATGCACACGGGCGTCGATTAGACGCTTTGCAAAGCTTCAAGGATCGATGGGGCCTCGATTACGTGCTCCACGTGTTCGCCCCTTCTCCCTCTCTGTTCGTGTGTCGCCCTGGCGCTCTTGGAGCGCGATTCTCTCTCTCTATCTCTCTCCCTTTCTGCCTCTGGCTACGGGCGGGGCGCAGCGACGAATGTCCGTCGGATTCGCCTGCCGCTTCTCCCCGGGGGAAACTCGTGCCGATCGGATCGGCCGAGCGCAGCCGCGAGTCCAGCGCGAGTACGGAACGCGAAACGGAATGCGCCGGAGTTCGTGCGACGATCGCGCGGGGAACCGGGAGAACGGAGAGGCGCGCAGCTGGGCTCCACGAGCGCGTTAACGCGGGAACTGCTTGTGCGCGCAGCGAGGGAGCAGGAGTACCAGGACGGCGGCGGGCCGCGCTCGGCGCACTGCAGCAGCGAGCCGCGGCTATCGGAGAACGACGCGAGCCCGGGCCTGCGGCGTCGCGGCAGCCGGCGCGGACAGAGCGCCTACCAGCCGCACCAGCGCAAGCACCAGGTGAACGCCTATCTGGACGTGCCCGACGCCAACGCCGCCGCCGCGACCCTGCAGCGCGACGACCTCCTCGACGAGGACCTCTACCGCCTTAGGAGCTTCAGCCTCACCAGCAAAGGTATGCCCCTGGCTCGGCTTCTTCATCCGCTCTCTTGCTCTCTTTCCTCTGCCCTTCGGCCCCCCCCCCCCACCTTCCCGCACTGCTGCACCGTCGCGAGCCCATCTTTTGGCGGCCTGGACGGATGGACGGACGGCCCAAGTCCACCCCCGGCGACGAGGACGATGACGCAACTTTGCGCGCTACCGAGCGAACACTCTCGGCGAACGAGAACGCGACGGCGGCCACGTGTCGCGAAAGCTCCGCGCTCGTCGACTCGCGGCCGACCAATTCAGCCGCGCCGAGGCGGCCGACGCCCGCGCGCGCAATCGCTGGTCGCGAGCCACTTTTCGCAACTCACTTCCCCGTCCGATCGGCCGACGCGCGCCGACGGAACGTCCCATTTCAGGCAGCAGCGCGCACGCAGGCTCGGCACTAACGCGATCCGCAACTGGGCTTTCGCAGGTGTGATCAACCGGGGCGACTCGTTTCGCAAGAAGCGCTCGCGCTCCAACTCGCTGGCGCCGGCCGAGGGCGGCGGCGAGGCGACGGCGACCTCGGCGGCGGCGACGGACGAGCAGCAGCAGCAGCAGCAGCAGACCGGCAACAAGTCGGCGGCGGCGGCGGCGGCACAGGCGCCGCCCAAGGAGGTCGCCTCGTACAACGTGGCCGTGCTGGGCGCCCGCGGCGTCGGCAAGTCCGCCCTCGTCAGCCAGTTCATGTCCAGCGAGGGCATCAACGCCTACGACCACGTGCGCCAGAAAGGTACGCATACGAGCCGTCGGCTCCTCGCGGAGCAGTTCCGCCGGCCGGTCGCTCGAGTCTTTTCGTTCGCGTGGCTCGCGGTCGTTTCGCGGAAGATGCCGCTCGCGTCAGGCAGCGAGTCGAACGACGAGCCAAACCGTTCGCGCGCGCATCGCCGGGGAGCGAAAGGCAAGGGCGAGAGAGAGGAAGACTGGAGGGGCGCACCGGCTCGCGAGTGTCGCGATCGCGCGCGCGCGCGCAAAAGTTGGAATGTAGGCCGACGAAGTTTCGAGGCGGCGTTATAACGACAGCGACTTGGCTGGCGCGCTGCGTGGCTGTGCTTGTCTTGCAGATACGCCGAGCGAGCAGTCGGTCTTTGTCATGCTGAACGGTGAGGAGAGCGAGCTGCGCTTCGTCGACGTCACCAACATAAAGGTCAGTTCGCCCCCTCCCCCGCGGCTTCGAAGTCGGGCCCGAGAGCGCGACGCCCCCTCCCAACCCGCGCGAGCCGACTGAACGAGCGCCCGCGTTCGCAGGACCTGGAGAGGCTGGCGCAGCCGCACGCCTACGTGGCGATGTACTCGGCGACGGACAAGGCCTCCTTCCAGCGAGCCGAGAGCCTGCTGTCCATCATCCACGAGCAGGACATCCGCGGCAGACCCGTGATCCTCGTCGGCAACAAGATCGACCTGGTGAGGTCGCGAGCCGTCTCCACGCAAGGTCAGTGAGCCGCGAGCCGCGGAACGCGTCCGCGCGGACACAGGCGCGCACTCCCGAGCTCCCGAGTCGCGGGCTCCCCCCGATCTCGCGCGCCTCCGCCAGCGGCGAGCCATAATGACCGGCCGACTGCGCGCGTGCTCTTTTCAGACGGCAAGTGCCTGGCGTGCACGTACAAGGCCAAGTTCGCGGAGATCTCGGTGGGCATCAACCACAACATCGACGAGCTGCTGGTGGGCATCCTCAGCCAGATCCGGCTGAAGGTGGCGCACAGCCAGGCGGGCGCCTCGGGCTCCGGCGACGCCGAGCACTGGTACAAGTCGCGCGGGGTCGTGCGCGCGAGCATGAAGGCCAGGCAGATGCTCACCTGGCTGTTCGGCAAGGAGGACCGCAAGTTCAAGAACTGCGAGAACCTGCACGTGCTCTAACTCGCGCGGCTCGCGCGGGAGCCGGCGCTCCTCGTCGTCCTCGCCTCGGCCTGCCAGGACGACGGCCGAGCCGTGTGCGATATGTATATTTACGTGGGAGTGTACAGATGCACCTGTGTCGGGGATGCTCGCCGAGCGCACGCAGCGACGGTGCGCTGGATCCGTTTCTAACTGGTTATCGCGAGCGAGTACGCGAACACGGGCTGCCCGAAGCGTTGCGCGCTTTCTTGTGATCATTCGCACAAATTCTATCGGACAAACAGTTGATCGATCAAAGGATATTTATACGCAACTTTTATCGTACGCAATGTTGAATAATGCCGTTACAACGTTATTAATTATTATATACGAGCAGTTAACCGAGGTAATGTAACACGTTCAATCATTCGACTAATATCGTGTGCGCCGATCGATTGCGCAACGTAGAGTAACGAACACTTGGCCGGCGTGAAAGTGTAGGCGTCCGAGACAATCCATGCGAACTGCAATAACGTACTTTTCGATTTCTTCTTTTCTAACACACAGATCTTCGATGTTACGAGCTGAACGGACACCAGTTGTCTCTTAGTCTTTCGTTATCTATTTTTCTAATCAAAAGAACAAAGCCTCGACTAATGTTCTACTTTTGAAGATTTAATCTTAAGGTTTTTTGCATAAGACAATAAACAAAAAAAATAACGCGTGTCCCGTTTCCGTTGAAAGCGCACTCGTCGAGACAGTGAGAGAGAGGGGGGGGGGGCGATAGCGATAGAGTTGAATGTATTCGGAGGCACACGTTGAACTTACTCAAACAGTGTTGTAATCAAAGCTCTTTTATCTCTATTTGCCAAACTACTTGTATTATCGTCGTTACGGTGTAAAACTTGAAAAAAACATGGCTGCTAATGCACAGCTTTCAATTTTGGGGGCCAGCAAAACTCTGAGTAACCCAGGGAACAAAAGATTAATCAAGAGAGAGCGAGAGAGAGAGAGAGTGAGAGAGAGTGAGAGAGAACAAAGAGGAACATTTATATAAGAAGCGTTTTCAAACAAAAAGGTGTCTAACCGCATATTTAATTATTGTATTTATATACTCGTAAGGAAAGCCGCAAGTGCACGAAAACAAATCTAATGCTCTACGCCGCGCATACGACTGCATTGTCGCGCGATACAAGCCATGAAAATTCATAAAGAAAATCGATGGCGGCCTTATACGTGCAAGTACGTATGGACCTTCGTTTCAATATATATTTAACCGTTGCGCTTATAGAGTGGAAAAAAGAATCTATCCGAGTTGATCTCTTATTTTTTGTCCCCGATCTTCTTCCTCTTACTCTTCTTTGTTGTTGTTGTTGTTTTTTGTTCGCTGCGTACTCGTATTAATAATTTTTCATGTCTGTTTTTTATCTTCGACGACAATAAAATCAAAACAAAAAATAGAGAATTTGTTTTCCAAGTTACGTATTAATAAACCGTACAAAGCCAAGTAAAAGGATGAGATTGCCATGATTTTGCCATGCGTACTGCGCTAGTTTTTACACGCATCAGTCGAGTTGAGCCTGCCAACGATGTGCGAGGCAGTAGGGCGTAGGCGCGCTGCACTTGCGCGTTACTATTTATTTATTATTATTTTTTTTTTCCTCTTTCCTCGACGATGAAATAAAAAAGTAAGAGTATTCGAGCAAATGTGTTTGAATTTCGAAACCCACATCTCCCTCACGCTCCTCCTCGCTAAGTAAAACAGAGACGGCGAGACGGACGCCCCGGGGGATCGATGAAAGCGCGATACGCGGCTCGTTTGGGGTCGCGAGCGACGGAAATTGGCCACGCGCGCGGGCTCGACGGCCGATCGTCGTCCTCGCGCGCGTACGAGTAATCTTTCGAGTATCGCGCGCGAGAGTTTTACTTTTTTCTTTTCAGGGACGCCTGTCCCGCAGTTGGCTGATTCGCTCGCGCGAACTGCGAAGCTCGGCGAGGGGCCGGGGGAGGCTGCGAGCTCGCTTGCGTAAGGGAAAAAAGGCAGCAGTGACGTCAGTGCGCGGTTCGCGCGAACTTCGTACGTTCGAAGAGGCGCGCGCCGATCCTTTTATCCGAGAGGCTTGTTCGGAGCAGATGTCCGATAAGCAGGGCAAACGCGCGCGCCGCGCGAGCCTCTTATCGCTCGCGCGCTCGTGCCTCTTTCTCCGTGATCTTTTTTCGCCGCTGCTTTTAGTGCATTTCGGCGTCGCTCGATACACGCGAGAGCCCAGTTTCACGAGTAATCGCCGATAATCGAGATATCGCCTGATGATTAACGAAATGCCATAATGCATATAATAGCCAACTGAATATTCTCCTGAAGCTATCTTCGTTTATTTTATACGTATTTGTTACCGTTTTATTCGAGACGAGACGGTTGAACCCGATCGAGACGTATTTATTCTTGGTAATGACGTTTTTCAACGAGCTTCAGCGTTAAAAAGAAAGAGTTGATTGACATTTTTAAGTTTACAGTTTTATTTTGATATTTTGTAGATAGCAATAATAAAAGCAATCAACAAATATTGTTTCAATCATCTTCTTCTCCACCTATCAAAGGATACAACTCACATCAACATTGAGAAGTGTCATTTATTTGGAAAAATATCATAGACATTTATAATTGGCATAGACAAAATGACGCATGGCTATGTGGGCGTCGCATAAAACTGAATTAGAATCAACCAAGACAAACAAAAATTGTGATGATTGGCCGAAAATGAAAGAAACATAATGGACAACAGGATATCAATTAGCCGTCTCCTAATCCTGTTAGACGACTGAGTATACTTTCAAACGTTTTCAATGGAGACATAGTTTTTGCGCAGAACTGTCTTGCTGTCCCTGGAGCCTCAGCTGGTTTAAGACGTATTATATGCAATAAATGATATTTGATTGTCGGTCCAGCAATATACCTGTAAGTGATTGGTTTTTATGAATCACCACGTGCATCAAATCGCGGATACGGCATTATTCCATATTTCGAATATTTCTCTTTGCAAAAGCCATTTTAGCGTAGCGTACACGGGCGAATCTGAAAAAAGCCTTTTTCCACGCGTCCAGTTAGATCCAATCCATCCTCCCGTTATCCGCGCTTTACCATCGAGGCGTCGATCAACATTTTTTCAGCGCCGGCAATAAATCATTCCGGATATATCCGCTGTTTACGCAGGAAAGACAGTTCTGTTACCCAGCGGGAATTGTGCATTATTATCCGGGTATCGTAGCGCACGTTAATTCATTTTTTTCCCCATTCCTGCGTGCGATCGCTCGTCAAAGGAAAAGCCACTCGCGTAAGGTGGTTGGCCCCACTTGCTACTTCAAACGTAATCTGCTTTGCCTCTCATACCTTATGCAAAGAAGTAGCGTCATCTGTCGTTGGTTTTACGTACCGATCGGCCAGTTTCATTCTCAAGTTTGTTTCCATTCGAGGACGTCGTACGATTGCAGAGTGCAGGTATTGTAGGTGCAGATGAATTGTAATATTTAAATATTATTTTCGGAATTATTTTAGCGTTTATACATTGAATACAAATGTTTTTTTAGAAGGCAAATAATGTGTATATAACCTTTCAATTGAAGATAATTTTTTCAGTGACACTACGTGAAAGTCGATTAATTCACAATACAAAGCTGTAGGTGTTCGATGGTTTGTCGAAAATATTCACATAGCTTTGACAGTATGCAGTTATGGGGATGTATTTCCTCGATAATCCAATGTGTTTGAGCCCTCTCGTCATTTCCAAATACAATGATATTGATACTTTATGGTCAAGCCAATATTGAAAGGTTTAAGTTTTCAAATATAAGAATAAATCTTTTTTTATTCAGTACAATTATTTTATTATATTTGAAATAATTATTTAGTTCTTATTTTTCTATACTTAGTTATAATTTTTTATGAAGTGTGTGCAAGTATTTATAGAAGTAATACTTGTACCTTAATAACTCCAGTAAATTGATATTGCCAGTTTGAAATTATTGCACTTATCCAGTTTGAGTTCAATTAAATTAAAGATTTTCACGGAAGACAAGCTTTTCTCCTCAACAAACAAGTCTTTTTGAACAAAATTCAATAATAAATCATGTATGTACGATAGTCGCTTAAAAATGTTTGCTAGATAAATTAAAAATTAAATAAAAAAAAACTTTTCATATGTTATTGGAAATTCTTTTCATTTTTAGGATTAATAATGAGTGTCTTAGTTAACATAACTTAGTTTATACTTAAGAAAAAAAAATAATTTTTTGAATCTATCACAATGAATCTATCTGTTATAGAAAAAGAAAATATATTTTATAAAGTGTGTAGCTAAATATAATTTATTATACCAGGGAACTGGTTGGATAGTAATATGATAAACTTTGTTATTTGAGTATCAATTATCTTAAAATCGATGAAGCCCTAAAAAATTTTAAATTAACAGATTTACATATGGTAAATTAACTTTTGAAACTCATTATTTATTTTCTGATAAAGCATTCAATAAGTGAAAAGATGTCTCATTATAATCATTTTAGAGAATATCAATCCCGAATTAACTGTTGTAAAGTGAAAATTATATTTTTATACAACGATCGGCGAGAAATATTTTAATAATAACTATCAGCTAAATTTGAACTCCACGCCGCCCATTGATGAATGGATGTCGCATTGTAAAAAAGCTTCAGTGCGTTTCGCGAACAAATAAATGATCAGCAGAGCTTTTTCGAAAACGAACAACGTTACAGTGAAACAGGTGGTTTTACAGGATCATTTAGAATAAAAAGAAAATTTAGAGTCTGTTGACGTGGCAGTCAAGTAAGAAGACAACGACAAGTTGGTATAGAATTCACATATAGCGATTTTCAGTATAAAAATTATAAGGAGCTTTTCACGAAACAAGTATTGGTATTATTCACGCTTCGTGATTTGTAACTTTCTCAAGTGCAAGCAGAAACAGAAGGATTATCTGAAAGCATTTATTACTAAAGTACGTTCTAGCAGATAGAAATGCCAAGACCACGATGACTACTGTGATTGCGAAGTAACGAAAAAAAAACTCGAATTCGTCACGCGAACCCCATCGAAGATCCAATCTATCATGGTGAGTATACAACTTCGGCGAAAACAAATACAATTGATCGGTATTTCAGTTAAAGTTTTTTTTACGAAACTATCGTTAACATATTATTTTTTATATCGAACTATTATTCACTTCACGCGAATGTTTTTCAGCATATTTCTATAGAACTAAAACTTTCAAGCGGAGTACAGTTAATTTTTCAATAGCTAAATATATTTTACAGAATTCCATATAAGAAGAAAGCGAGAAAAGTCTACTGCTGCAATAAGTGCCATTGCAGAACATTACGAAAAACAGATTTGACGAGATGCACGATTGCTGATTCGCTGACACGTAAAAATTGCGGGAAAAAATTAAAATCTATGAGAGGATTGGAGACTCATCACTGCTGTTGTCGATTGCAATTTCTTTTTAAATGCCAGATCCGCATGGTTTCCATCACTTTTAAGCTAGCAACGAAGACTCACTTGGAGACGGCGCATATTGATTTATTTCTCGGCAGAATTCAATATAGACACTTCAATGAGATATGGATTGATTCTACAAGAGGTAATTCAATAAATAGCGATATATCCCATAGGATAAATAACGAGTGTAATACGTACATACACGTCTTGTTTGTTTTCCCTTCGCTGCAGATTTCACAGCATACCGCTAAGAGAATACGAACTAATTGGCATACTTTGCAGATGAGTTTATGGGAATCAAAAAGTGTCTAGAGGTAAGTAATTACTATTTGAAAATAAGAACACTTATAATTTGGCGAAAAGTATTAATCGTTACTTTACTACTACTTCGTTGCAGCAAGCAAATCTGCATTTATGCCGAAAGTACAATCCAACGCGAGCAAATTATTGGTCCATTAATAATCATTGGAAAACTAAACGTAGCAAGTATGACATTTCGAAAAAATTATTTGTCTCCACTGACGGAAAAAAATCGGGTATAAGAGGTCAAGACGATTGACATGTTTTATTTATTAGAAATTCACGATTGTAGTTACTACTATTATTGAGTATATAACGTTTATTATGTGCTGGGATTGTTGAGTCAGAGCAGTTTTAATATTAAATGATTTATATAAAAAAATAAAGGCTATGGAAAGAGTAAATCATTGAACATGTTTTAATCCGTAGCAGCCATTTGTGATCATCGCAGAGCAAAACCTATTATAACTGCGTAAAATGCAGATACACGTGGACGACAAGATTGCAGCTGTATAAACACATTTTAGCCTTGCACATGGTTGACGATAGGACACTTGTGAGCTCCAAGTATGGCAGCGAATTCCGTTCAAGTTGCCAAAAGCGATTAAAAAGGCATTGAAAAATTTGTGGCATTTCTATTTATTGTACATGTCGGCTTTGTTTCAGATCTTTCAATGAGTTTCGAGGTATGAAAAATCACCTTCATACACATAATTATCAGCCGGGTGATGTAAATTTTAAAGACATTATCAAAGAGAGCGCAACCTTTAGAAAGATGATTTTCTACTGTGAAGTCTCTTTTTATTAATACAATGTTATAAATATGTATATAACCTGCGTTCCTGGCTAACAGGACTAAATGTTACAAGGTTCTATGAGAAAATCGGGAGAGAAACCGTGACATGCGAAACAACTGACGATTCAAGTTACTACCTCAATGGTAAGTAGATAAACGTTAGTACAACGAAGACCGCCTTACATACTATTATCGAAAACAGGAAATTAAATGTGGTTCTAGGAATCCAGAATTTGCTCGAGTCAGTCTGTCTCCGCTATAATGCAACAGTTCCACGGCAACGTGACATTTGTATCGAGTGTAGGATACGTCCAACTTTTCGATATTTACATTGCGACGAATACTTGGTAAAATATTTCACAGCTGCTTTGAAATATGTAACTCAAACATGTGAAAATAAAATAATCAAAATACTCGTAAACAGCAGAAGCAACAAGAATATTCAAGCAGCTATAGATAGTTTTATACAGTTATACGGTCCCTTCCATCTTCTTGATCATTCCTATTCTCTTATTAAAAATTAATTGACTTCAGAAAAATGAACTTACCACGGCTGTAACTTCAGAATTGATGATTATTCAACGTTGAACATCTGTGTGATAACGCTTGGGTTATTGATTGATTATCCAAATTTTAGATTATTTTTACAAGTTTTGTTAATAAATTCATAAAGAAGTATTGATATTTTTTCAAGCGTAGACATCTTTTACGAAGTCAAAGTCTAAAAAATAATTATTCAAAAGAAAAAAATGTTAGGAAAGATATGATAAATACCGGAGAATAATGTATCACGTTTTTCCGGCCAAGATATCATTTGAACATTCCAATACATTTGTATGAAATTTGTTAAAACTGTATTTGACATTATATACCTTGAACACTTGCCACGTAAAAGAATAAATTATTGAATCGAGGATCTCTCTTCACTGAGAGAACATATGGAAGTTTGATCAATTTTCAAGATTCCATTATCAAACGTGAAAGATAATATTTATGACTTCAAGAGCGAGGTCGCAGTGTGTTGTTCGTTTTTGCTAACTAACCGAGAACGTAGAACAATACCAATTTAGTTTGTACAAGGAGTTTTTTTAACGGATTATCCAAAAGCTTCTCCGTATAAAACATCTAAGTTTTGATCTATTTGGTCAATTTTTTTGAATCTTTGCAAAATTTGGGCTATAAAAATAATTCAACACATTAAAATAAATTTCTGATAATTTTATTTGCTATAACGTATTTCTATGAAAACTTAGCTAAACATTTCGTTTGCTTCATAAAATAGTCGCAATTGATTTTTACATACAATTACAATTTAAAAAAATTCGCCTTTAAATACTTCACGCCATTTTTACTCAAAATTAGTTTATTTTCAACTAGGGTACAAGACGTGAATAACATTTAAAAAAGAGCACAATAGGAACAATGGAACATGCCAAAAGTGTACGCGTATAGTCAATGATAATTAACAATTTAGAAGAAGTCGCATTTATTTCATAGAAGTAATGCACCATGTACAATTATCATTGTTCACTAAAAAAAGAAATTACTAAAGGTTACATAGCTCTGATGGAAATAATCCACAAAATAACTGCATACGGATATCAAATAAAAAAAGTATATTGAACACAAATAATATTCGTATACAGCAGATATACACGTTCCATATACCTTTGTAAAAAATATTAATAAAATCTATAATTAAGTATACTTTTTGAGTCCACTTACATACGACAAAAATAAAAACGAACATTGCTGTATCTCATACACGATTATACATATAATATTATACATATAATATTATACTATTTCTTTCAACTTTCATTTGTCTAAATAAAAGTTGATGTCCATGCAAATATTTCTTTTCATCGATATCCAAACGAAAATGAAATAAACGTTGTATAAACTATCTTACGAAGTACAATTGCCATTTCATAGTAAGCTCGTTTGTTAAAAAAGAATACAAGATACAGTAATTAATCGACAATGTAAAATGTTGAATCACGTTCAATGTCTTAAGAAATCAACTTGGTAGACTGAAAGTTGCGCTCTTAAAACAGACTAAAAATACAGATCATCTCTTTCGAAAAATACCATTATCTTATCTCCTAGAAAAGTTTCATCCTCCGTATAGATTCGCATCAAAAGTTATAAACCTCCAACATTATAAAAAGCATTCTAATTTGTTTTTCTTCAAAAAAGGCATTAAATGCAAAATACAATATCTCGTTAAGTATAAAACTATACCTTCAATGCGGAGCATTTTCATTCGCTATCACAAAATACTGTCTCGAAACACTTTTACGATCTCGCGCTACACATTATAGAATTAACAATATCATATTTACCGAAATGTCACAGCGAATACATCGAGTATAATTTTGCACCGTTCGTTAGATTATTTTTCCTCGCAGAATTCATTTGAAGCATCGTCCCGACGTCACTTCCTCAATTCGAGAACGCGATTTTACAACAGTTACAACATTGGAATGTTTGAGATTCCAGCCCCAAAAATATCGTCGTTGTCTCTCAAAAATGCACCTATAAAATGCTATCCGCTTGAAATCAGGTCTTCAAGTTTCAGTTGACAACAGCGTCATCGCTTTCGCGCGCAAAATCAACGTATCGATTACACAAAAATTAAAAACAAAAGTCCTATAAGCTACACAGCACCAACGTTATTATGTACAGTTAAGCCGTCAATTCCTACTGATTATGCACGAATACTGTTATACCCTGGAAATGTAATTGCAAGCGAGCGACTCGTGAAAACAGTCGTAGCTATGCGATTTTCAACGGAGTAGGGGCATCGTTGCGCAAGTCGAGGCAGCGTCGGACGACGACGGCTGGCCGAGCAGATCTCAGAGTAAGCAGAACCAGGACGATCTGCGACGGGATTCCGGAGCTGGCTGCATGCGGCGCGTCAGTACCTTCAGTAGCTGGCAGTGCACTCTAAAATCCAATTAGCACGTTACACGACCATCCCGCGGAGGTTTATTTGCCAAATACGAACCGTTCCTCGCTACGTTGTCCCATTAGGAGTCTATGCACGCGAAGTCGACGGATTCGCGTCATTCGGGCTTCTATTCCGGGTCGCTTCTCGGTTCATTTTATTTGTTTGCTGTCCGGACAGCAGCGCGATTCGATTGTAAATCTCGCGGGCAATTCGCGCGAAATTAAAGATTCCAGCTGTCGGTTTGCGTCAGAGAAAGCCAAGATAAAGCGAAACTCGCGCGTACGCTCGCGCAATAAAACTGCGCTGTGCAGCGGAAGAAAGAACAAAACAAACGAAAAATCGAGTTTTTCTCTCGCGAGATAACGGCTGGCGACGAGCGCGAGCTCGCCGCGCCACAATCTCGAGAAAACCTCTGGAGCGACAAAATCCACGCGCGCAAATCGAAATTTACACGGACAGTCCGGGTAATCCGGAGACGAGCGCGAGCCTACCTGATCTTCACGCTGGCGGCGTCGATCACCTCGCCGTCGCAGTTCCACACGCTCAGCGCCGAGCTGCTCAGCTGCGACTTGAATCCGCGATTGGGCTTTGCCTTGGCGTCCGGCTCCGGCTGGTCCTGCTGCCGGCGCTTCGGCTCGGAAGCGCGGAACGTGAATTCTCGGGCTCGATAGACTTCGACGAACGGCAGGTCGTACTGTGCGATGCGAATCGTTGGTTTTTAAGAAGGCAAACGGGAAAATGGCGCGAGTCGGCGAGGCTGATTGTCCTTGTCGCGGGCGACTCACCAGCGTCTTGTCCTTGCTCCCGAGCCTCAGCAGCATGCGGATGTTGTTGATGAGGGAGGTGTGCCTGACGAGTATGACGTCGACGCAGCCGTCGCCGATGTGGCAGTGCGGACTAAAGCCCATGGGACTCTTGGCGCAGGCGCACGAGACGTTCGCCCCGTTGACCATGAAGAACTTGCCCCGCACGGTCAGCCACCCTGGCGAGCGAGCAGAGCGCGTGAGTGTGGCGCGAGGCGGCGGCCGTACGCGAGGGCCCGGCGACTCACTGGAGAGGCGGTCCTCGGGCCCGCCGGGGCCGGAGCGTTCGCTGCAGCGCGGGCAGTCGCGGGTGCACCTCGAGCCGGAGGCCGGCTCGTCGGTGTCCGAGAGCAGCATCACCTCGCCCTCGTAGCCCTTGTTGGCGATGATCTTCTTGAAGCCTGCGCGGACAGCGGTAGGCGTCGAGAGGCGTCGAGAGGAGGCGCCCCCCCTCCTCCCTCGCGGCGCCTCGGTCGCTCACTCACCCGAGTAGTCGTACCTCTGCGGCCCCATCCAGCGGAACTTCTCGCTGTCGCGCACGACGTCGCCGAGGTAGCCGTAGCTGAGTATGCTGGCGTAGATGCGCAGCAAGCCGGTGCCGTCGCCGTGCACCGTGGACAGATCGAGGCCGGCGGTGTCGCCGAAGATGATGTGCAGCGCCGCGGTCTCCGCGTCGCAGGTGCCGTGCAGGCTGTAGGCGAGCGTGTCGGTGCTGCCACCGGGGATCATGCCCACGGGCAGGCTCGGCTGCGGCAGCGGGGCACCCGGGTCGTTCAGGTCCAGGCGCAGGTCGCGCGCCGCGCGCCAGATCAGCCCGTTGAACAGCTCGGAGAAGGTGCCGTCGCCGCCCACGCAGACCGCCGCCTGCAAGGCCCGAGGCCGCCGCCTCGCGTTAGCCGGTCCGTGGGCCCGCGCCCACTGGGGGCTCGCTCTCACCTGGTAGTTGTCGAGCTCGCAGGAGAGCAGCGTGTCGCGGATGTGGCCGGCGCGCTCGGTGACCACGACCTTGGCCTCCACGCCGGCCAGCTGCATCAGCGGCGCCACCCGCTTCTCCCAGATGCGCAGGCCCTTGCGCTTGCCGCCGTACGGGTTCACGAACAGCAGGATTTTCCTTGGGCGCTGCGGCAGCGCTGCGGCCGGAGCACGCCGTCGGTCAGGTCTCTCGCGTTGCGTGGAGGACAAAGGGGACAAGCGCCCGACGCGAGACGAGCGCGCTCCAACGGCTATTCTCTCGAACGTCGCGACCTATTTCTCGAATTGAAAATCCCCTCCCGAGTGACAAAACGCAATCCGAATCATTCCCAGTCGAAGGAAAGCCGAAGGATGGGTGTCGGGGATCGATGGCGCGAATCAAACGCGAGCGAACGTAGGAAAGACGGAGGTTCTCACCAGCGAGGTAGTTGTTGATGGTCTTAACCCAGGAGGCGATCTGGCGTGGATCGTCGTGACTCATGGTGACGGTGTGCTTGCGCCACTTATTCTTGGCCGCTCTGGCAGCGTAGTTGAGGGCGAAGCTGGTGGGCGCCTCGTCCTCGAAGCTGCTGCCGCCGCCGCCGCCGCCGCCAGGCCCGTAGGTGGCCGATATCACATCCGTCAGCGCCAGCTTCCATCGCGCTGCCGACAGCCGCAGTGTATCGCATTGCGGGTTCGCCGGTCGACGCTCGCGACGAGGATCTGCCTCGTGTTCGCGCGTCGCGACGGCGGACTCGGGATCGTCGTCGTCGTCGTCGTCGCCGTGCTCCGATCACGCGAGCCTCGAGACGACGAGTCGCGACGCGGAAAGTTCGGCTGCGGCTCGCCATGCGCGCGACGCTCCTCGAGCGTGATCCTTGACGCAAACCGGTTCTCGGAAACGCGATTCGCTCTCCGGCATCCTTGATCGGCGCGACGATCGATGGTTGGGACTGCGAGACAAAAAAGATAGGAAGAAAACACGAGTGAAGAGAGCGCCTCTCGAATCTCCTTGCGCGCGATGTATATTTTACGAAAGACACGCGCGCGGATCGTAAATTAAAGATAAGCTCGGCGCGCACCGACTTTCGCAATATCACGCACGCGATCTCGCGAAGGTTCGTCGGTCGGGCCTTGACGACTTGCTAATTCGGAATCGAGTCTGCGCATCTGCGAAGTCGTATATTGCGCGCGTAGGAAAGACAAAGAGCGCGGCGACCGTTACCGACCTCGTTGTCACCGTGGCGCCCCGAGTGCCACGCGACCCACGCGAGCACGACGAAACCCGCGGCACTCTCGCTTTCCCGTTGTCCCGCACGCGTGGCGCAGCCGTACGTACGCACTTTCTCCTCGTTTCCGCGGGCCCTTTTTACTCTCTCTCTTTCTCTCGTGACCGAGTTTCGTCGTTGCTGCGCGTGCAACGCGAGATCGGAACGCAGCCGGGGGCTCGCGAAAAGGTTTGCCAGCCCCGACGGAGGATCGAAGCGCGAGACAAAAGGGAAAAAAAGAACGCGACTTCGGCGAACGCTTGAGAAGGAGGAAAAAAAGTTCGGTTCGCCGAGCGAAACGCGCGCGCGCGCGAGAGAGCGAGAAAGAGAGAGACAGAGAGGGAGAAGGAAAAAAGCGTAATAACGAGCGTTCGCGTCTATGCGGCGAGCGAGCGACGAATGGAAAGTATGCCATGCGGCAATCGTTCTCGCGTTGTGCGTTATTACCGCGAAAACGACCCGCGTTTCTTTCATTCTCATGTTTTCCTTCGGCTCCGCGGCTCGCGGACGGCTGCGAAGCGTAGCGCGCGTTACGTAAAGAATACGCGCGTACGTAGTGCGCCGATCGATCACGAGAGCGACTGCTCGCGCGCGACAGATAAGCGCCCGAGAATAGTTGCGCGCGCTCCGAGTTTTTGGCAGCAGCGCCTGCCGCACTGCCAATGACACTTTCGAGTTACGTTATCGACACCGCTATAGGCAACTGTCGCCGGTGCATGCGCACCTCGGGTGTCTCGCTTAGTCCGCGCTTGCGGCGCGTATAGGCAGAACGACTTGTCGCGGCAGGCTCGCGTTTGACACGTCGTTCCGAAAACAGTTCCGAGCGTCAAGGCGACGAGCAGTTGGTTCCGCAAATTCCTGGCGACACGACGAGCGAGAAAGAGAGGGAAGGAGGGAGGGAGGGAAGGAAAGAGCGCGCGAGCCGCCGCAGCCATGATTTGCGCGAGGATCAGCGCACGTGTACTCACTGTAAGGCGGTCGCTCGGTCTCCCAGACGAGCGTGCCCCTGTGGAAGTAGACGCGGCAGCGCTTCCGGCGGATGACGAAGGTGGTGAGCAGCACGGTGCCCCGCATGGGGTCCTCGTCCTCGTTCGCGGTACCCATGCTGCCGAGTCAGCGCTCTCTCATGCCTCCAGTCGCGTATGCTCGCGCCGTCGACGGCGTTGTGCTGTTCGACGCTTGCTCGCACGCTCGCTCGCGCGCGCGCGACCCGTGCCCGGCAGCTCGATCGAGTGACTGACTGCGCTTTCGCGGAACAGCTGGAGCGGTCCGCGCAGTCTCGCGGCCGCGCGCGTTTCCTCGGTGTGGTGGGAGGCTACCCGTAGGAGGAGGCGCAGGAGAGAGAGAGAGAGAGAGAGAGAGAGAAGCGATCTCGTTCCGTCGGCCAGCGTGCGCGCGCGATTCTCTTCTCTTTCTCTCGTTGCTTGATAAGCGCGGTTTATTTCGCCTGATTTACACCAAGGAGCGACTTTTACAATTGCAGACGAGAACGGCTGATTGTTGGCCGTCGACGACCTGGACTTTGCCTCTTGCGAAGGCTTCGATCGATACGGCAGTGGAACTTGCCTTGCTAACGACGTACTTTCATTGATTTGACGGGTTTACGTCTAACGATCAATAATCGTTAAATTTTACGATTGGGAGAGAAGTACAAGTACAGCTTGAGTTTTACGAAGTTACTCAAAACGTGCACGGACGAACACGTTGCCGGTAAGTTATAATTGTGTCAAGGTTGAAATCGCGCATTTACGCTTTTGGAAGCTCTCATTCGCTCGTACGAAGCTGCATTGCGCGAGGAAGAGTTCGAGCGCGCGCTCGCGTTATTCGATCCACTGGCAGAGTCCCTGCTGCCGTTATTACGATGCACACAGGAAGGGTCGGTGGCGAATCTTATCAAGCGTGTGTGCGCTGCTCGAGGAAACTTGACACACGCGCGATGGAATAAAGGTTCTGCCGCACCGTCGAGATCGTACGTGTGTGTACATCGCGACAAGTGCTGGGCGATTCGTTTTGCGATAAGCTTCGCTCTCTTCGACTGCGCTACCACAGCCCGAGACGATGGTTTTAATGAAAAAGGAAGACGAGCTCGATTTCTCGAAAATTTTATTGATCTTGACAATTGCTTTCAACTTGAGTTATCCATTCTTAGACAAGTTGAATCTCTTTTGTTTTCGTCATCTTGAAAGCTCCACGTCGGGTGCACGTCTGGTAAAAAATCGCAAGCACAAGCCTCGACTTTCGCGAAACCGGGATCATTGAAATCTTAGCGAAGTCGTTCGTCAATTCCAATTGCTCGGAGCTGTCGGGTGGCTGGTTGTCTTCTCTTTACATATGTCTTTGGTGACAAGTGACGAGCGCACGAAACTTGACTTTCAGAAGAAATTTGAATTTAATTTTTGTCAAAGTACTCCGGGACCGCGACAAGTTGCCGATTCTCTTGGAAAAAACTTGGCGATCCTTTTGCGCGAGTAAAGTCGTTGGCAAGTGCGATGCTATAGCCGAGACCGATCCGAATAAATCGACTTTTCCGTTCGCGGAGCCGAACGCAGTCGACATCTGCCGGGTATGGCGGCAAGCTCTCGCGGTCGGAGCTTTTACCGACGAGAATGCGCGCGATATACCGCGGAGAGGGACGGACTGCGAAGCTGTCATTAATCGACGCGCACGCGGTACAGAGGTTTCGCGGAATGATCATAGCGCCACTTAGACACACAATCCTCGAGCTCTTTATTACACATAAAAATGAAAACAAAAATAATTGACCGCGATAAAACTGTACGTCGCTATACAAATATATGAACTAATGGAAGAGTCGGCTCGCCGCGGCGAGTAACGTGCTCGCGGCCTGTGCGTTTTCACCGCGTACAGCCGTGCTTGGCCTTTATCACAGCGTGTGGCGCTCGGCAGGCTCCGTCGCCTAGGCGTACTGGGCGACTAGCTCGCGGATGCTCGGCCACATGGCGTCGGTCGTCTGGCCGGAGAACGAGCGCAGCAGGTTCAGCTCGCGGTAGTAGTCGATCACCGGCCTCGTTTTGGCCGCGTACTGGTCCAGGCGCGCTTGCACTATCTCCGGCTGGTCGTCGGAGCGCTGCATCAGCGGCTCGCCAGTCACGTCGTCCAAGCCCTGCGCATAAAGAAAGAGAGAGAGAGAGAGAGGGGGGGTAAGCGAGAGTCGCGCGCGTGACTTGCCAAGGGCGACGAGCTTGCGCCAACCTTGACTTTGGGGTCGTTGAAGCCGATGTTGTAGACTCGGCCGCTCGGCAGATGCACCCATCGGTTCTTCAACCTCTCCAGTATCACGGCGTCGGGCACGTTCATGCTGATGACCAGCGACACTGGGTGGATCCTTTGGAGGGCCTCGGCCTGCGATAGCGTCCTGGGAAATCCTGCACGCACACGCAGACGTGCAATCAACGACCGTGCATCTCTTTGGCGCGCGCAGCCGTGTAATCTCGAGACTCGACCGTCTACTCACCGTCGAGCAGCCAGTTTCGATCGCCGACAGCCTTTATCTCCTCGCTGATAAGCGCTATCATCGTTTCGTCTGGCACGAGGCTACCGGAGTCCAGATATTTCTTCACCTCTTGTCCCAGTGCTGCGTTCAAACAATAATCATCATTGTCGATCAGTAGGAGCAGACGATTGGTCGCGACATGCTAGCCCGAAATAAAGCATCGTGACGAATCATTTTTTTAAATTCATCCTCATCGAGAGGAGACATATTTTCGCGACCGACACGATCGCCAAAGTGTTTTCCTCCCATCAATTTGGACGAAGAAGCCCACGCGACGATACGCTGATGAAAAAAAACACTGGTAAGGAGTCTCACGGGCGAGACGATCAATTGGCGCGCGCGCGTTTTCGTCAATGCCGTGACCGTCGATTGCGAGCCTCAATAAGCCGCCGACGCGAGTCAGGGAAATCGAGGCTGCAATCGCGTCGATGCGCGCGATCTGAATGTTGATGAATAACCGAATGCAATTGGATTCAATATTTTTTTTCGCGCGTCACACGACGACAAAATTCGAGATGGGTATTTCACGGGCTTGTTTTGCTACTGAACCGTCAATTTTGACGGAAGCTTCGTCGCGAGCAGTAACGTTTATCGTGCAAAGTTCGTACTCTCGGTCGAACTAAATAGCGCACTGACATCTCATCGTGCGCTCTTATCGTTCGACGTTTCTCCAATAGTCCGAGCGATAATCGCACTGCGTATATCCGTTCTCGTAAATATTGCGTCGCACACTTCGCGCTCGATGCAACATCACCGAAAGCGCAAACAAAGCATTGAAATGGAATCATACCTGTACGATTGGCTATGTGCTGGCGAAGCTTGTCGCCGCTGGACAAGTGACAAACGCTGAACTGGTCGACGATGCGCGCGGAGATGGTGCCCTTTCCGGAGCCCGGCGCCCCGAGGATCACCGCCCTGAGCGCAGCCGCGCGCAGGTTTCCTGCCATCCTCACCACCGCCGCCTCCTGCCGCTCGTCCTCCGATCTAAACGTTTACGTTACGGCATTAGTGTGCTCCGCAACTAATTTTAGTCCGTTGATCGACGAGCGCACCGAGGAGGATCGCTCGCGCGTATCGATTTGTGCCCGATAGAACGCTGAAAATTTCAAACGAGCCACACTCGCCGTACCGCGAGACCATGCACGCCGCAAACTATATAGCCCCTCTAAAGCTTGGGGAACGGAAAGGAAGAAGCGAGATGCGTATGCAGGCGACGAGCGCCGGAATTTTCGCTGGGCGATGCTTGCGTTGCGTCATGCGACAATTACAATCACGCGTGCACGTGCGCCCCCCCCCCCCCCTCTCTCCCGCCCCATTCCCGGGCAGTCCGCGGTCTCGGCTCACTCGTCGTGCATATAGACGCTCACTGTTCCACGCGTATACCCGTCGCTGTTGTTGATCAGTAGTTGCACTGGGACGACAGTCGTGGGAACGCGTGAGCAGCGAGCCGAGATATATTTGGCGCGAATGCCGGCAGCGGACTGCAATACGCGAGAGCCAACTGTCGATCATCGATGTTGTCTACCCCCACTTTCGGCGCGATCTCGCTGATGACCCCCCTCCCCCTCCCGCTCCAACATCCCGCTCGCGCGTTATCAATCCGCTCGAAAAGCTCATCTGGAGGCATAAAGCGCGAGCTAAACTGTCGGCGCGACGCCAAAAATTTTTTGGACTCGGCACGACGCGCTTTCTATGTATGTATATACTTACCGCGCGGGAGAAGCTACAGGCGCGGTGTCGTCGTGGACGTAGTAGTGCAGGCAGCATGCGATCGCGAGTGTCAGCGCGACGCCGACTAATAGTAGCAAACGAAGACAGATACTGACTACTTTTGAGTCCATGACATTTGTTTCTCTCACTCCCTCGTGCAGCAAACTTTGTTTCCAAATCAACTTGGTTTATCGACTGATGTTTTCGTTTCTCACGGGAGCACGTCCAGCACAATATTTTTACTTGGAGAACGTACAGTTTTGCTTAATTAATTACTAAGTATTCGATTCTTGTTACGAAAAATTATGTTAACGATTCCTTTCCAACTCTACAGTCTCTACACTAATGTCGAAAAACATCAATAGATTCCCAAGAATCGATTATTACTGTTCGATTCGAATACTTTTTTCGAGGAATCGTACATCTCTATTGCTGTATTATCATATTTATACTATCTACTTTCATCCTACAAATTGTACTTGACTTGTCACTTGACTTCATCGTCTATTGATCAAATCAATAACAACTACATTGGTCGCAACTACTGACTTGAAAGGTTAGAGCAGTATCATCATTGTAAAAAAGCTCTCTTTGTGCAATGTAATAAAAATAATTATTACCTGGCCACGAAAAAGACATTTTTCTAATTGCTTTATAGCAATGACTGGTTGGACTTCATCATGACCCGTATCACTCTGCTCGGACTTGCATGATGATCTGGATAAGGTTACGTAATACTGCATATTCGTGTACACAAAGCGCGCGCACTAGTATATGCGAGCTACATACGAATTTGAAATTAGGCGGAACGTGAGAAAGGTTCTTTTAGCGATTGAAAACAAGTAATTTATTGTCTTTGAAAATGTTTTATTTAAACATAGCTTTCATTTTTCACGAGTGAATTGTCTGATATATATATATATATATATATCGATAGAATTAATTTTTTTACGAGTCGGCAACGCAGTCTTGAAAAGCCAATAGAAGCTACATTTGATGATTTTTGGCACCAACTCGATATCACGACAAATTTAACAATCGTTTAGTTCCTGTATGCTTAATATACATCAAGAAAAAGAGAAGGGTAAAGTATTCCTGTTTGTTAGATACAGTGAGAATTTCAAATAACAACAATTTTGAATCTTAAGACTGACGCAAATCTGCAATTCTTTGAGGATTAATCATTAACAAAGTAGTTTTATTTATCTACGCGAAAAATTATTACGTCAGGATCTAGGCCCACCTGTCTTCACATCTACAAATGACAAATCTTGCATTACAAAAATACTTATTGTTATATATTTTCGTCGTTCTTAATACTATATAATTCTGATGTATTTTTTCAATTTATAAAACACACATGCTTTAAGATACAAAACTTTTCGTAAAGTACAGGAAGACCTAGGAATAACCAACGCATCACTTTCTTTCTTTCTATAGTTTAAAATTTGTCATCTTAGTTTATAAAGTTGATTTTATGAGAGAAAAACCGATTGTTCACAATAAAGGAAAAGTGCCTGCCATCTTATGAGCTACGTATACGATTAATCGGATAACAAAACAGAACTTATGTGGTCTCAGAAATATATAGGATAACAAATATTTTATAGAGCATAGTAATGGACCGCACTTTTTTTCCTTCTCCGAACCAATTGTTGAAAACGATTAAACATAACTGCAACCATAAGTATCCAAAAAGGTAATACACGTAAACATCAAAGTCTTTTAAAGTGGGAATGGTAAATAATATCTGTCCTTCCATCTAATGACTTGGAATTACCAAAGCTCGCCATCCTTTTCTTTTGCTGGCACTTCAATCACTCGTGGCTTGTCAATGATACGCGCAGTACGACTGCCCTTCTCAACTATTCCAATAATCCAAGCTTGGTAGCCTTCCTGTTTCTCGATGTCTTTACAATACGCTGCAGCCTAACAATAGAAAAAGTACAAGTTAATACGTCATTTGCTATGCGCGTTTGCTACTATTGAATTAAATTTCTCAAATTTCACCGACCTGTTCTCGAGGTAGACAAATCAACAATCCACCGCTTGTCTCTGCTGAGTGTCCTTGCAACAATTGGAACATGTTACCGCATGCCTTGGCTACAGCAGCCATCTTTGCGATAACTGGCAAGTTGTGAATGACAAAAGACACGTCGTTTTTTTGATGTTTGGCGAGATTCTGTGCATGACCGAGAAGACCGAAGCCCGTGACGTCTGTCGCGCCATGTGCATTGTACTTGTGCATTAATCGGGCAGCTAAATATCGATGACATCATTTTTAGCGATAGTGATTCTATAATCGAGTATAACATTCTAACAAACCTATTCTGTTGAGTCTGGCCATACTATCCATGGCACGTTGGTAAGCTTTACGTACGTCATCTTCACTAACAACAAGTTTGATGCGATTCCAACGATCAGGTTGATCCAACCACTGATGGGCGTTGACGGCTACTTGCGTACCCAGAGGCTTCGTCAATACCAACACATCACCAACTACTGCGTTGTCGGGACTACAGAAAAAATAAAACATACAAAGTATACGGAAAAAAGTAGTTCGTGGAACATTGACATGGGAAAACTTACACGATATATTCATTTGGCTGACAAACTGTGGTAGCGACACCGCCGATAGTACACCAGGGGTTAACGACAGTTTGACCGCCTGTGACTGTTGTACCAGCTTCCAACGCGGAATCTTTGAAGCCTCTCATTATCAATGGAACCACAACATCTCGTTCTTTTTCCGTCATCTTTGTGCTAACTCCCAGTAGCATCAACATATTATCGCACTCGGTCACTCCCATCGCATACAGATCACTCAATACATTGGCACATGCGATCTTACCTGACAAAACGTTTGTATTTTCAATATCAATTTCAACTTGATTAAGTAAATAAATAATTACACAAGTTGTCTAAAAAAATTTATGAGCGACCTGCAACCACTTGCAGAGGTACACTAGGAAACTTCCACAAGTTGGTTTTTTTATATATTAATTAAATAATGATAATATATACTAATAATAAATTATAAGCATGGATGAGAATAAAAAGGTAAAAACGCTAAATGGGTGTAATTTACCCATCATGTAAGGATCGTCGACGAGTGGGTAGAAGAAATCTGTGGTTTGTACCAGGCTAAGGCCACCATGTCTTAGTGGGGTTACAGAGGAATCCATGCCAATACCTGCAGAAAGAAAAAAAGAGATTGTAAAATTATCACTCGGTGGAATAATAGCATTAATTTTTGAAATTTGTACTTACCTATGCGCGGCGTAGCCATATGCATGAAATGAGCATGCTCATGATCCTGGGCGTTACCATCGTCGGCCTGCAGTCCCTCAAGAAGTTTACCAAGAATCTCCTGAGGGACCTTGCACCCTCATCCTTTTAGGTCGGCGAACCGCGTTAAGCGGAAGGTTGCGTCCAGGTCATGAGCTGCTGGATCAAATGGCCTACGCAGTGCAAGGGCATTGGGATTTCCACCCAACTCCAACTGGACAGTCATATCCTGAGTCACTTGTACACTTTGTAACTCTGCCATGTTCAGGTCCACTGTGTGTATTCCGTCGGTTGGGGTTGATTCTCCTTCACAATGGAATTGAAACCAAATTTATTGTTGCACAGAATATATTTTTAATCAAAGTTTTTTTAACGTTTTAGCTTTTTTTATTTTTATGAAAATAGGTTTATTGAATTTACTTTTAGTTAATTACAATTAACATAAAATTCAATTGCCAGATTACTTTATTTGATCAATGATCTATCAAATATTGTTCTGTTTCAATAAAACTAGTGCTATTAAGCGCGCTCTTTATTTGAAATTTTTTTGTTATTTATTACATTATTTTAAGCCTTTACGTGTCAACTTGGAAATTCTAATGGGCACAAATAAATCGTGTTGTTTGAATAAATAGACTACATATATTCTTATACATTGACGAATAAAAATAGAGCTTGCACCCATTTTTTCACAGAAACCGATGAACTTTTACTCACATCACGATATATCGGAAAAATAATCCAAAAGATTAATTCCACTTGTGATCGATAAATTATACTATTATAACACACTAAACTTTACATACTTAATAGTAGTGATTATAGCTCCAATTTTGTATTAGTACAAATAACATTTAATATCGTGTGCTTTTTGCTGTCTATATAAATACACCCGTGAATATTCTTCAAATTTAACGGGTTTAATATTTTGATAATTAGTTTCCATTAATCGCATACTTCTTAATTTACAATATACGTTAGATAAAAATATATTTTCGTCTATTTTATTCTATTCGTTATCTTTCTCTTTCTACCAAATTTTAACACGACAATATTAATTTAAGTATCATAGATGGTTATAAAAATAACGATTTGTACTGATCATTTCAAAACGTAACGTCTTATAATATAAAAACGATTTATTAATGGCATATTTTCATTCTTGCAGATTATTATCCATGTTAATTATTCATAAATTCACTGAATTTGCTGGTGGAATATAAATCTCACACTCCTAGATATACAATAAAAATATATCAAAGTATAGGAAAATTCAAAATTTTGTGCTCTTAGCATCAACCAATCACAACGCTAGGTGTCAGCGACTCATCATTTTTTTAAGATAGGAAAATTGTCGCAAACGTCCTATATTTTCATGCAAAACATATTTTAACCATGATAACCCCCCTCCGAATTAACGAACTTTTCTATATTTGAGAGTTTTACTATCAATAAAAAATTTGGTGTATATTTTATCACATCCGCGTGTCAAATATTGTTGATGCTATCGAGTTAAGTAATATTTAATAACACATTAGATTTTATAATTGAAATTTTACCTTACAAAAAAATTATTATAAGTGTTTAGTAAAAACTTTTTGTCAGCAGCAATGAAAAGTTGTAAGTGAAGTATAAATCTCTAGCAAACCAAATTTTTACAGTATTTTACAATTTATTGCATTATTTTGTTGCAATTTCAAAGTATAGTGCTTTTGCGATAAACATTGGCACTGAAGATAATTAAGCATTTCTAATTTTGCCTTTCAATTTCTACAAATCGCACGCTTTCGAACACAAGCGTATGCGCTTATGTAGCGTCACTGTTCTTTGAAGACATTCGTTCCAAAAAACAAAGCGCGCTCAATTCTTATTTTGACAAAACAATTCCATGGAACTAAGGAAAAGAATAACAACTCTATTTGTGACAAATAGGGATCCATCATGCAACGTTAAAAAAGTGATGAAAAGAAATTTGATTCATTGTATTGATAACCATATTCCTTTGTAATTTTTCATTTTTATTTTTTGCATGTTTTTTTTAATAAATACCTCAGGAAGCTAGAAGTTACACTAGCGAAACGTTGTTATGAAATGTTAAGATTTTTTATTTTTATTTATTTACATAATTTTTTCTGTATTATTGACTTATAATTTAATAAAAACTCTATTCACGGTAATTCAAAGTTCTTATGCTACTTGCGTTTACCCCATGAAAATAAGAGTTGAACACATTTTGTTTATGCACAATGAATGTCCCCGCCAAATTTTAACTTAATTAACTCATTTATTTGAAAGAAAACCTGTATAAATCTCTTTCTACTCAGCCGGTAATGTTTTTCTATTGAACATGAAAAATAAAATACTATTTTCTTAAAAACTGAAATATTATCTGACATATCGTGTCACAAAAGAATTCATAAATAATTAAACAAAATATTCTATTTTTTAATATGAGTAGAATTTAAACATATTATTCTTTAAAATCTTTATTTATCCCTGCAGAAATATTTTATGTAGAATACTTTGAGACAATTATTTTCTAATCAAATTTTCTGTCGCGAAATTACATGTTTAATAGTATTTTCTTTTCCAATAAGTACTATTTTATGTTTTCTGTTCAATTACAAAAGCATTACGTTGAATAAACAAAATTTCAAAATTCATGAAGTGTTAATACGCGTGTAGAATTGATACTTGTTCGAAATGAACCCGGCCTAAATAAATATTAATAAATATCAATAAATAAATAATTTTATATCTTTTCAAAACTTCATTAGACATTAAATAGCAGGCAAAATCGACGAGAAAACATGCAATTGTTTCGAACTCGGTTTTCCTTACTACATCAAATTAAATTACTACATTTTATAAATTTAAATTTAATTAACTACCCTTTCATCGATTCCCATTTTTACGCAATGTAGAAGTAATTTTCGATTTAACCACTCGCATTTAAAAAAAAATGTAAATTAAAGAACGCGGAAAAATCGGCTACATAATAGGGCTCATCAACAAGCAACAATTAATACTCTGATTTTTAGAAAAAATTGTGAATGCAACGTTTGAGGTTAGAAAAAGCAGGAGCACACATACAATCAATTTGATTAATTCATAAAATTAGCGGAACATAAAAAAAACTTCGCATTTCACTAAGCGGCAACAAATTCAAAGTCACAATAAATCAAGTCGAGGAGCCGGCGAATAATATACGAATGATGAGAACGAGCGTCGCGTATTTGGCCCGGCCGACAAAGCCTTAAAGAAGCATCCGAACAAACGCACACTGACATAGCAACATAGGTAATGGAGCGACTACGGGCACGCACACACTAACTGAGGCAAAACGGTGGCGCGCATTTTTTACCGGCACTTTTTCATCACAAAATGAACGGTTATGAAAAATGATGACATTCTACACTAACCGCGATCTGGAGAGTCGACGATGATCAACCAATTCGTTGAGGAATTCGTGGTGAAGGCGTAGTTTCGACGAGACTGGGAAACGAGTGTGCAACGGCGTCGGAATCCAAAATGGACGTGGAGTCGCGTCGCCCGTAGCGCCTACTTCGCTGACCAGGAATGTAGCAAGACTTTGGTGGTTTCCCGACACGATGATTGGTGAGCAAGTTTGAATTTTTTGCCAGGGGCGTAGGTGGCTTCATGGAATGTGTTTTTTTTACTTTGTTTTCTTTTTTAGCATTTTCTTTTTCACTAACATGGCCTCGACGGCCTAATCACCTATTTTATAAACAATTTTTATTTGTTTCTAAAACGCAGTTTTAGACGTTTTCTAACTACATTTTTCGAAATATTTATTTACTTTTATATTACTCATTCTCCTGATGATGTATAAAGACAAAATTAAAGTTGAAAAGAAACAAGTAAAGGAGTAAAGGAAATAATTACAATTGACATTTTAATAATTTATTTCGAATTATTCATGGTCTATCAATATTTTAGTCATAAATACATATAAAATTTGCCATCAATGCCACTTTATTTTGAATAGTAAAAGTAACTAATTTTTAATGAAAATCATTTTAAGACTTTAATTTAGAAACACTAATTGAGAATTTTGAAAATTGCTGTCAATGTTATTGTTTCCATATTACAATTGGTAAATTGTTACACAAAATAAAAAATAGGAAATCTTATGAATTTCTTATAATCCCTTAACATATATAGTAATAATAGTAACATTTATTTACAACCCATGAGCAAAGATGTAGGTTGTCTTGTATTAAACAAGATAGTATCCATACTCATAAAAAATTATAAAATAATTACAATACAGATGTAAAAAGTCTGCATACTTGATGTTTTTTTATCACATTGTCCATTAAATAAATGTTTGATGATAGATTTTTGAATAATGTTATATGATTGAAATAATGCATATTTAGGCTAATATCACTAGGTACATTCACATACTTAAAAAATTATTGCTTACACTGTAATGGTAAATTTATTTATCCTACTACTCTGTCTCATTAAAGCTTCTAATGAGATATAAAGTCTGCTCGTAAAAAGTGAAATGCAATGCAGTCATAAGAGCAGCTTTAAATTGACTTGGACCCAAGCCTTTAAACAAACCTGGTACACCTTCTTGCTTAGCAGTTAAAACAAGACAGTCTACTAAACCATTGCATTTAAAAAAATTTCCAAATCCTTTTCTACCATGCTCAAATCCTTGAATTTGCAGTCGCTTTCTTGCCAAATCAAGAGGATAAACTATAGTTTTTGCCACTAGACCAGCTAGGCAGCCAGCAACCAGAGTATTTATGATACCTATCTTTTTGTGATGATGCTGAAATAAATACAAATTGAAAATTTTTACAAATTTTTGAGATGAGATATTGAGAGATTTTTACACAAAACTAACTTACATGATCTTCTGGAATATCAGCATCTGGCTCAAAGAACTTTATATCCTTTACAATTTCATATGTTCCAAATTGTAAACCTGCATGTGGTGCTATTTGAAGTAATGTAGGCAACAAACCACGGAAAAATCCTTTTGGAGATTCTGTTTTATAGATTATCCTGCAAAATTTTTTTTATTAAAAAAATTAATATAAATTAAAATAAATAAGCATAAGATACTAACGCGCATGAATCTAAAGTTCCTTTGTATGTTTGACTTTGTGTAGATTGTGCAATTAACCTTGTCCTTATTGTATCTAATGGAAAGGATGTAATGGTAGCAAAACAACCTGCTAAGCTACCAGCTAGGAAATGAGTAGTTTTATGTTTTTCTTTGAGGTATTCAAGTGTTTCCAAATGTTGATTGATAATTGTATAAACATAAAACTGAAATTTAAAAAAATGTGGAATTTATTCGGCTTTATAAATCAAGTAACTTAATAATTGCTTATACAGACTTGATTGGTTCCATAAATTACTGATAACAGTTGAGCTGGAACATGACCTTTCCAAAGTGCACGGAAACTTTCTTCCTTTGCGATTAGCTGAAATGACTGTATCATTGATTTATACTTACTGTTTGAATTTTTTTTAATTGGCTCAACTTGCAACTGAAAAGGAAAAATGCAATTTATTAAATGTCAATAATTTTCATAATTATTAATTAATCATTGCCAATTGAAGGAAGCATGATCTTTATATAACAGCAGTTGTTTACAAGCATTTAATTCATTACTACACTAGTTCTATAATTATATACCGAATGTGACATTGAAAAATAGTAGTGCATAGTAAATAAAATAGTTATGATTATTACTTGAAATCTAATCTTGACAACATCTAAAGGTTGGCAAATGAACCTTGTCAAGCATCCGCTGGCTGCCCCAGCAATAGCGTGGTGGTAGCCTGGTTCTGTGGAAGCATACACCATGATCAGTGATGTTCCGGAAGTTTTCCTCACTGAACATGAAAAGCTCTTGGTAGGCTCCTCTTAATTGGCACTCAATTTTTCTGATGAAGTCACCTGTTTTATAACAAGCTGCCACAACAGCTGTATTTGATATGTAGAAGAGTTACATGAAACACCAAAAACAGACTTTTATCACTGAACTACTGACCATACAGTTATGAAACACGTAACTTGGTTTGTTTACAACCGTGAAAAAGTCACGTAAAAAATTGTAATTCACTGTACTTACGGTTTCTCTCTAATTATTTTTCTATAGTTCTGCGACTGTTCAAAGTAAATTCGAGATCGAATTCTTATATAATTAGTACTGTTGTCTCGAGTTTTTCGAGAGTTCGTTCACTAAGAGCCGCAATACACAAACACCGAATAGATGTAACCAACCTTCCTGACTCTCATCACGTACTGTATCGTATATATAGCGTATGAAGACATCTACACTTATATAGTACTTACGCTACACAATATCATACGTGTAATCGGAGCAGAACACTTTATACACTCATCAGTTTTCTCAGTCGTAATTCCAAATCATCTGGAATGTGATTTTTGCATTTTTTCTTTATGACAATTCTATTCTCTCCATATGGTTTTAGTTTCCTTTTAAACACTCAAATGTGATACCAAATAATGTATCGCCTGACTATTTCGAAAAATGTTTGCGCGCTTTTTTACTCAATACAATTTTTAAAGATTGCTTAAGTCAGAGTATCTATGAAATGTTGATTTTGCTTAGTTAACCTTTATATAAACAATGCTCCATTGTTACAAATGAAATATAAGTTACTAGTGATAAGAGTAAATTATCTGAGATTTTTATTTATCTAGAATAATTTTGCAAACATTATTGACAATTCACGTAATTTGAGTGAATATTTTACACGTAAAGTATACTTTTTTTGAATAATTGGTAAATTGATAATTTTCTTTCCAAAATATTATTTAATAAATCATTGTTCCTACAAAATTCATGAATGTTTACTCCATTTTAGGAGGAAAATACTGATTCTTGCAATATATCAATGAGATAAGCTTGTTATTTGTAGTAAGCAAGTTAACAATTTCATTTTGTTGATAGGTAATTTTAATTATTTAATATGAACCGAAATATATCAAATTTCTATGATCTTTTAAAGCAATGTGCAAATGTAAATGCATATTTAATAAAAATAAATGTCAGACAGAAAGCTCAATCTGTCAGGGATGAGCATCCAATTAATAAGGAACTCAAAGAAATTATTGATTTTAAAGCTACAAATAACAGTAGTTGGATTGCAGAGGTATGTAGTATACTTTCATAAAATTTCATTAGTTAGATATTTTCATGTGGTTTTAATTCAAAAACCATATGTTGACATCTATTTCTTTTAGTCAAAGGTGAATTCATTATGCTTGAAGTACAACAAATTAAATAAAGATGAAAGAGCAAAATTTCTTACTTCGTTGGCTACTCAATATGCTGTTGATCACGATAGAATATGTCAGCTTGCCAAAAGACTTGCTTGCAACGAGGTCTGAAAAGAACTATAAGAGTCTTAAAAATGTTTTTAAACATTATATCTAACTTTGAAATCTTTTAGCCAAATAATCCAAACCAATTGATTGCTAGAGAACGAGCATTGAAAGATACTCTAACACCTCCATACCATTGGCTATTTACTCGAGTTGGCAGGTTGGAGCATGGAGTCAAGTTTTTGGTAGATTTAAGAGCTAATGTGCTTGTGAGTATTTTATGCAGTCATGAAGCTGAAAGTTATAGTAATCATCATTTAAATATAACGATATTGTCATTTCTAGGATATTATAAGTCAATCTTCAAAAGATTCTGATAAATCTTTGTCACTTGGTCAGATGGATGTTACTTTGAAAGAATTATTATTTTTCTGGTTTTCAGTTGGATTTTTAAAATTGGAAAGAGTTACTTGGCAAACTCCATGTGATATTTTGCAAAAAGTGAGTATTGTGAAATTTGTGTAATTTATTTTTATACAATTATTTTTTATACTTTAAAGGTTTCTGATTATGAAGCCATTCATCCTATTAAGAATTGGGCTGATTTGAAAAAACGTGTTGGTCCTTACAGAAGATGTTTTATATTTACTCATCCATCTATGCCTAGAGAACCTTTGGTAGTATTGCATACAGCTTTGTGTGATATTATACCTGGTAATTTTTAAAAATATTTTACAAAATGACTTTGAAATAAAATTTATTTTAAATTATTTTATATTTCAGATACTGTGAAAGGGATTCAAGAGGCTGAACACAGAATTCTTGGACAAAAGCAAACTTCTAATCATGAAAGTATGGAAGAGGATAAAAATAAAATCAAAACTGCAATATTTTATTCCATATCTTCCACTCAAGTTGGCCTGCAGGTCTTTTTGTTTAGACAATTCTTTAAGAATCCCTGTTAATCCCAGTAACTAACTAAAACTTGTTTGTTTATAGGGCATTGAATTGGGGAATTATTTGATAAAAGAAGTAGCAAAACAAATAACTTCAGAATTCCCTATGATTGATCAACTCTCAAGTTTATCGCCTATACCTAATTTCCGTTTATGGCTTTTGGATAGAATGAAAAGAGGTATAATTAATTATTAACATGACTAATTTGATAAAGTAGCAAAGATAATACTTTTTACAATAAATTTTTCAGATATAAATACAGTTTTCACTAAGGCTGAGCAAGATGCTATAAGAAAAGACTTGGATTATGATAATGCAACAATTGCAACCAGGGACTTGTATTTAGATTTGAAAAAAATTTTTAATAATTCTTTATGGTCAAATGACAAAAGATTAACATCTACTTTAAGAGAACCATTACTTCGAGCATGTGCATGGTATTTATACAGAGAAAAACGACGAAATTATGCCTTGAATAATGTTGGTTAGTAAAGGAAATGGATATTCTAGTTTATTTATTTGCTTTTTTTTAATTTGAGTGTTTAATTTGAAAAATCTATTTAATGTTATATTTAATCTATTTAATTTGCAGCAAATTTTCATTTGAGAAATGGAGCCGTTATGTGGAGAATAAACTGGCTAGCTGATCCTTCACCTAGAGGTATGGCAAATAGTTGTGGAATCATGGTTAATTACAGGTATGTTACAGTTTGATATTTTCTTCTACAATTTTTATTTTACTGATTATTATATAATGATTAATTCTAGATATTTTCTTGATGAGACTGAATCTAACAGTAGAAACTATATAGAAAAATACCAGATCAAAGCATCAAACACTGTGATTCACTTAGCTAAAGAGGCTGAGAAATACTTTACAACTGCTCTTGTAAGTGTAAAATGAAAAGCAAAGGTGAAATTGTAAATATTATTATTTAATCAAAATGATATATAATGATATTTTTTACAAAACATGTTATATTTTTTAAGAAATATAATTAAATTATCATTACAAAACAGTCTATTTTACATGTTAACACTGCCTCATTTTCCTATTTTATTAGATTTGCTATATTTCTTTCTTGTAATTCGTAGTTTTTTTTCACTTTCCTCCTCATTCTCACTCTCACCAGAACTCTTTAATAAGTCACCATTGGTTTTATCATTATCATCATCATCAGGAAAAAGATATAATTTTTTATCACTGCTAAGTTTTTTATTTGAATCTTCTTTATTATCACTAACAGTTTGATCTATAATAATTTCATTATTTGAACCATCTTCAAGAATTGATTCCTCTTGCCAAACTGTCTGAAACAGATTTTTATTCTTCTGTCTTTTTCTTCTTGACAGTCTCGTACCATTTTTCTTTTCTACTGGTTCTTGTAGAACAAGCGGTTTCAATTTTTTTGGATTCTTTAATGGTGTTGGATCACTCAACACTATTTCTCCCGTTTTTACCAAATATTCAGCATACTGTTCTGGAATACTTTTCAATCTGTTAATTTTGGCTTTGATTTGACGCCAAGTGAGTTGATTATAGTTTTTACGATCTCTAACCATTGCCTTGAAAAATGAAGTCATTTTGTGCATAATAGTCCTCAGAAAATAAAAATTTTTAGACATACCTTATAATCATCCCCATACTTATCCATCATATAAGTAGCAAATTGCACTTCATTATTAGGTAATCGAAAAAGTTTCGCTCTAGGATGTCTGGCTTCTTTCTCTAAACTTTGTGCAACATATAGTTTATTAGGAACATTTTCCTCTACATTTTCGGTTTCACTTTCATCTTGTTGACTATTTTTTACAGTTTCTAAAAATGTTTGTTTTAAACTGGGCACCTTTAATACATCATTAGGATCATATGCTAAGCCCATTTGTGTCAAATTTTTTATCGTTGATCTCGTTGCTTCCCATGATTCTTTAATTTGTTTGCTGAAATAAATATATTGAATTGCTCGATTTATTAAACTAAACTATAAGCTATTAACCAAATATGAATGATCAAAGAATTAACTATGAATGTCACAAAATAAACACATACCACTCAATATTTGGAAGTTTGTTCAACTTGTTCCTTAGTCTTTTTCGATTAACATTCGCTCTGAAACGCTTCCTGCGTTTTAATTTCTTTATTTTCGTCATACCGTTTTTATTTTAAAAAAGCAACCTTAAAAACTTCCTTGCTACACGTGCTTTTAATGTTTGCGATAATTGCGTCTTTGTTTTTCATGACATTTAGTGTGACGAAGAATTGTGAATTTAAAATAATGTAAAATAATCTATAATAAGATAAAATAAGTCTTGTAAAAGTGAATAATTCTCCTTTGGTTGTGATTTTCCGTCTAATTTTCTAAAAAATTAATCAACTTTAGTAATTAATTTAATAATTTCGTAAAAATGACGTCATGATACTAAAAAAATAGCGACGAGGGAAATCCAATTAATCGAGTAAGCTCAAAACGTCAATGTCTTAATGACAATCAATTTTAAATCCAACTAATCGATAAGTAAATAACAGATCTATAATTGAAATCCGTACTCGTTAAATTCATACCATGATATTTAACAGAGAAAGCAAAAGTTGACAGTCACAAATCTTCAATTTGTCCAATTCCGCAGCATTTCCTGTTACTCTCGTCTTGCGATTGGTGCTACCCCCATCCATCTTTGTCGTCTCGGTAGCGAAAGGTAAAGTGTGTGGCTGACGAGGACGACGGACGGCGCAGTTGCTGCAAACGGTAGCATTGTTTCATTTGGTGTGTGATAGACAGTTGGTGTTTGATTAATTAGCTGCGAATTATGGGGGCTGTTCATCGGAAAAAATCCACAACTTGCAGGAAAAGTCGGGTGAGTGTACGATATCTTCAATCCATCACATATTTGGGCGTATATCCATTACGAAGTGTGAGTCACAAGCGAAGGGTAGACATTACTGCAGCTTCTGGAAAGTTGAATATCATGTGCACTTGAGAGAGAAAGAGAAAGAAAGAGACGCAGATTCCCTAATTATGTAATTGTCGCGATATAAAATAGTCTTTAGCTTTGTATTTGTGGTCTTTTCGTGCGACGATAAGATAATTATCGATTATTCTTAGTATGTTTTGATTTCAATCATGGCTGCGCTTTGTTTTCTTTCTTTCGCGAAGGATTTTCGTTGAGTAACCTATTTTGCTTTGCATAAAAAGTTCATATCCGATTAAAAAAGCACACAACGCGAATATTCTTATTAGAAATAAGAAAGGGATAAATGAATACGACTGATGATTTTGTCTTACAGGTCAGTAGAATGGTGTCAAGGTCATACTCCTAGGAAGCCAATTACAAGCCCAGGAGTCTTCAAAGCAATCCAGATACTCTGGAATCTAATGCTTTTTTATCTGATTTTCATTCCTACGGAATAGAAAAAAAAGCGCTTGAGATTTGCAAATTTTTCCTTTGAACATTAGTACTGTACACACATACTCTCGCAGATATATAACTTTGGTTGTAACAGTGTCGTTTGAAACTCTAAATTGCAAAAATGGGATCCACAAGACCGACTGACAGGTCTCTTGGTGAGACTACTTTTTTACCTCAATGGATGAAAGGAAAGTTGGATAAAAGGTAATAAGCTAATATTTTATTTTAACTACTACGTCGGTTGCATCTTCTAGAGTGCAACATTATTACTTTACAAATTTAAACTTAACTCGACAATTTTTACTGCTAATTAGTTCGTATACAATTTAGTCTAAAAGTTTGTAAACTTTGTCGAGCTAGCTTATTTTTTTGCTACTTCCTAGTGCAATTTATTAAAAATTCATTAGCTCTTTACGTAAGTGTCTATGCTAGTATACACAAAAGTGTTTGTGTCACGACAGTCTTTTTCTGAATTTACACAGTCACATACTTACATACTTGCATGTTTATTGAAGTGTAATAGCTTGATTAGCTGTAAATACTTCGATTAGCCATTGATATAACTATAAATTTCAAATTGAACAAACATTCGTGGTAGGTGGAATAAAACCGTGAAACAGAATCACGCTAACGATCGCGACATTTTTCGGCACTCGGCGATAGAGAGAAAAAGTTGCCTTTTGTTTTTATTAATAGCCTGTCGCGTTTGCGTCCTTGGTCGTCGTTTCATCTACTTCTACTTGCACATGCAGCGAGAGACAAGAGAATATATATGCACGTGCCTGTCTCTTCCGTACCGTCGCGCGTAATCTCAATAACAGTTGCCGCCGCTACGAACGCCTTCATCTGCGCGCTTGTTTATTTCTCGAACTTTCTAGCGTTTTTCCTTTCTAGAAATTTTCACCGGAATAAACTAGACACATGTATCGAAGTAAAGTAATAGTTTTTATGTAATTACATTAGGCAATAAACATTTACAATTGTTTACGCGCAATGGAGCGCTCTTCAAACAAAACAGTACAACACAAAATAGAACAGACGGTCACATGTAACTTTCCTAACAATTTTCCGCGATTATTGTTATTATTATTTACTATATTATTTTTTTTTTCATCGACGATGTTTCTTAAAATAAATTGCGCACACGCCTATATCGACATGTACAAAAATCTCTAAACACGAAATTCTGCCAGTTCATACCTATCTTGCCGTTCTTATCCGGCGCGTGGTCGCGAAATCGGAGTCGAAGCCGCCGTTAGAAGAACAAGCGACGCTTGTCATAGCGTCTCCGCGTGGCCTTCTTGCGCGTGATCAATCCCGTGGTGATGATGATGGCGACGACGTACCTCTCGCATCGTGATCGTAATCTCTCCCACATCAGGGTGGGTGCATCCATGGTCTCGTCCAGCCACAGCGACTTGCAGTCGCTCCACGAGTGTTTGCGCAGCAGACCGAACCAGCGTCTGCATACACGCTCGTTGCGTACGCGGTCCAACACGGGCAACCACCGGAATATCAGGATCAGACAGTCGTCGTTCAGGTCGCTGATGCTCGTAGTCGAGTGCATTTTGTCTTGACGGCTCATGGGTCACGACTGACACGACGTTGCGTTCCCCCAAGGCAGAAGGTTCGTTGCTAAGGCGCATGGATCACGACTGACGCTGCTTCGAGTTTCCCCAAAGCAGAAGATCTGTTGCTAAGCGCATGGATCGCGACTGACGCTGCTTCGCGTTCCCCCAAAGCAGAAGGTCCGTTGTTTAAGCGCATCTTTTCTTCCTTATTGGTTGTCTGGAAAATCGGACTCGTCACCCTACATTTCTACGAAGGGTTTTTCTCTGTAGGAGCGTGACCTTGGTATGCAGGATAAAACAGTCTCCTGAACCTCCCCTCTCTTACCGCTCCACCCAGGAATCTGGTACAATCGCGTTGTTATTCAGGAAGATGGAGAGACAAAGAGAGCAGACGTTTTGTTCCTTTCTTGTTGAAACAACTTTATCTGAAAAACTGCGATGGTCGGTCGCGGTCGAAAACGAGGGTTTTTCTTTCGGGGAATCGTGACTCTCAAATGCAACAAGCGACGTCACCAGTAAATTTTTTTTAAATTACGCGTAAAAGGGTGTACTTTGATGATATGAAGCAAACAGTAATCGGCCGCACGTCGGTGCTGGATCGGCGCTGCTACCAAACTTACTGATTTATCTGCATCGTAGGCTCTGTGAGCATCCACTATTATCGCTCACTGTATTGCATCTAATGATCACTCGATGAATTTTAAAACGGATTCTCAAAGAAGAAATGTCAAGTAATTCAATGAAAAAGAAATTTTTTAAATAAAAATAACACTTTTTGTGATATGGCCAATTGTTTAAAAAAAAATGTTAATAACTTTTGGAAAAATTGATATTAAAGTATTGTTTGCTTAATATCTTCAAAGTACATCCTTTTACGTGTAATTAAAAAAAAATTTGTTTCGATAACTTGAATGGTTGCAAAGATATAAATTTTTCGTCAAACATTTTCAATTGTTTATAACTTTTGATATAATTATTATAATCGATATAATCTAACAATCCATAGTTAAGTAAACTACCATATAGGCAACATTTAGACGAAATTTCAAGAAAATCTGAAACCTACCTCTGATAAGCTAATCGTCATAGTTTAGAATGTGCCAAAGGCAGATAAGGTTTCTCGAGCGTGTCTGCATTGTTATAAGCGATTCGCCATTATCTTTCCGAAGTATCAATTGTATTCTCTCGTATTCCCATTTAATTATGCGACGAAGAAAGAAAAAGTAAATGGCTCTTGATCGTCGTATAAGTACATTCGTGATCTATTCGTCAAAAGAGAAACAGCAGTGTTCATAAAAAACTCGTGACTGAGAGACGATTCCTTATATATTTCGGTTGGATAGCTCGTTTATTCAGTTATAGTATAGCTGCTTTATTTTTTCTTTTCCTTTTGGCACGCCTTGAAGATTTTCCGTCGCGCGCAACGCGATTTGAGCTTCGCGCCGAGTGCCAGGTTTCTCCGTGACGCCTCGCTCGTCACAGACAAACTGGATGTTAGGCTGTGCGCGTGGTGACGTGAGAGAGGCGCGCAAGGACGAGAGAAACTGGTAAAAAATGTTGCACTTGCGCCAAAAAGCGATTGCAACACGCGTCCGAACGTGCTTCGGTCGCAATATCGGGGCGCGTTCCCGACGTCGAGGTTTTGCGTTTATATGTACGTGTGTGACGTTCGTTTGATTCGTCGAAATGAGGGGAACGCGCGCGTGCCGTCGCGGAAGTTTACCGAGATCCGGAGGAAGATTTGTTTTGTAAACGTTTGATGTTTGTTGGTGTTGATTTCTTATCATTAGTTCATACAGTACCGCTCAATGACACTTGCCACTAACTTGATTAAAAACTCAACACTATAGCTCGACTTAAGGTAGTTGTAAAAAACCCTGTGGGTACTATTTTGTAGGATTTTCTAGTATCTATCAAGTGGTGTAAACTACATATCTGTTTTTGTTTTTAATTTTTTTTCCAAAACTATGACGTCAGAAGTAAAAAATGAAATGATTTTTTGTTTTGCCAACTTTGATGCGATATAATTTAAAGGGAAGTGAAGTGATGGGAGGTAAAATCTGTCTTTACCATTTCAAAGCTTGTCCCAAATACTAGAATGTCCCAAATACCAGAATACCCACGTCCGCGAAATTTTTCTTCGTACGATTTTTTTGAGCTATATTGTATTTTATTAAAAAACACATGTTACGAATCAAATCGTTATATCTCGGAAAATATGCTCTTTACAAAAAAAAACTCTAAAGAAAACAGTTGCTGCATTTTGGTCACATAAAACCATTTATAAACTTATATAACGATAAAATTTTTTTTTTAACTTTTAATTTTTTGACTTGTAATTTTTTACATTTATGAAAAAAAAAAACATTTTTATAACAGTTTTACAAGTTTATAAATGGTTTTATTTTTTGACCCAAATGCAACAACATTTTTTTTTAGAGTTTTTATGTAAAGAACATGTTTTCCGAGATATAACGATTTGATTCGTAACATGTGTTTTTTAATAAAAATACAATAGTCGAGATATAAAACTTTAAAGTTTTAGGTTTTTAGTCAACAGGATGGTAAATGTCATTGAGCGCTACTGTAGTAGTGTACCCGGCTGACCGAAGAACTCACTTACTACTGCGAGCTGGATGGTTCGTGGGGATATTCGGATAAGGGTATTGCCCTCGAAATATTCCAGATCTTGTTGTTCCTCCGCGTAACTCATCTTATGTTTGATTTTCGTCCGACGATGATATGCCATTGTCACCGATAGCGTTTTGTTTACCGATCAATTGATTCAAGATAAAATTAATCATGTAACCCAACATGTGAATTCACGATTTGTAAATAGACCGAACGAGGCAAGTGGCGGCCTGTCTATGTGTGCACATGTGAGAGAACATGTGGGGGAGGGGACGAGGGTAGAGTTCAATGACAGAATTGACAGGTCAGCATCTTCAAGCACTAACAAAAGTTACCCCGCGTAGTGTTTAGAAACAGCTGTTGAGAGGGGAGAAGGCAACAAATGGCAACGCTGCCTCGGAGCAAAGGCATCGACGGTGAGCAGAGCACGATTCGGACTCAGTGTTAATGATGACCAGCTACGTGTCGCTCGCTGTCTCTCGAATCTTAGCCTTAGTTTTTAGTTTGTGTACCATTTGACGTTTCGCGTGCGCGCGCGTGATCGCTGATCTCTCGTTTTGGCTATGAAAGCGTATTGATGCAGGAGCGACGCCGCTTCCAGTGCGCCTACGTGGGCAAGGCACTGTTGAATAACCTGTGAGTGACATCTGTTTCTGTCCCGTGAACGTTTTGACGTTTGCGTTTCGTTTTCAGATTCGATTACACCGACAGCACATTCAGTCCGCCAGCCGACGAGGCAGGTTTCTTCTACATCCGCTATCCGAAGCACGAGGAGACTAGCAGCAATAACAACAAGGTCGAGCAGAAGGAAGGCTTTCGACCCATCAACGAGCTGTTCGATCACGCCGAGGCCAAGAGCGTCGATTTGAGTAAGCATCCGCTGCCATGTCAACCGTTCATTCCTCGTGACGCTGGACAAGGTGCGATTCTCTTGTAAAGTGGAAAGGAGCAAACCTTGAATAATTAAAATTTCCTTTTACGACATTTATACGTTATACGTTGAAAAGCAATCTCTTCGTTCCTGAAATTCTAGTTTACAAGAAATTGCGGTTTCGCTTGTGGCGTTATGCGTATTCGTTGCTAATCGTATCTCGTTCACTACAACAAACATTCTTCAATTTACTTCATACTTAAATTGACTTTTCTTGAATTAAGTATTTTTTTGAAACAAATTATTATCTTTTCGTAAAATAAGAAATGTGTTTTCAAGAATTTTGTTGGTAATGTCGTTGTTTCGATATTTTCCCTTTCTGCGTAACACTTTCACTTTCCATTTTGAGTGGTATTTTTATTTTCGACACTCCGTGCGGAAAGTGCGTTTTTCCCGCACGCTCGGCAAAAAACGTGCGTTGAAAATCGCACTTTCCACACGTCGTATAAAAAAATACGGTACGGCACATGTTCGGGAAAGAGTTTCTCGTCTCGTATACCTTTTCACCCTCGCTTCGCTCGAGCGTAAACGCCACACGAGACAAGAATCTATTTTCCCGCACTTGTATCGTAATGTACTATTTTATACTCTAGTATTCTAGAAGAACTAACACGTAAATCGTGCATGAAATTCCATGACATTTTGTCATAAAAATCTGTATAACATAATAATTTGAAATATTGCAGGTACCGAGCCAAAAATCGTAGTGGCGAACAAGCCGAAAACACGTCCAACGGCAAACGATGATTTTAACAACAGCACGACCTCAGAATGTGGCCGCTCGATCGTTCACGTAGCCAGTCAGATTATGTCATCAAAGTTCAGCAAATCCACCTCCTCAGACTCAACATCATCCAACAGCGAGGAAATCGCTGCTCAGGTAATTTATGCAACATACCGTCTACGTTAACGCAATTTTTAGAGTGCGCGACTATTAGACTTGCTGAGGAAAAAATTTGGAAGTAAGCTATATAGTTACTGCAGTTATTAAATTGTGAAGGCAAATTGTTTTCTTTATTTTGCGGAGTTAGCGTCCACTACTGGTGTCACCTCCGTCATATCTAAATTAAGAAATGCATGTATAATTTGAAAATTTGTTCAGGATTTTGAGGCGTTAATATAGTTTTGATATTCAACGTGGTGTCTTATCAAATTTGTTATTATAATACTGTTACTTCTTATAATTTATTTTCTGTTTACAAATATATTAACATAAAAAGCTTTCATCAACGTCTATTTTATATTTAACAGCAACATCGAAGAGGCAGTAAATCCCTTCCCGCAACACCGCTGACATCGCCGAACATAACACCAGACAGTTCGCCAAAATCTCGTCGCCGTAATCGTTTCTTCGCTGGTGCCTTCGTACCTGTAGAAGGAACCGAGGGTCGCAAGAATGGCTGGTTATTGAGCAGCATTCTTGGCCAGTCTCGCGAACTCATCACGTCAACGAAAATCGACGAAGAAGAAGAAATGCAGCCTGATCCACTTTCTCCACGAATAATAAACCGTAAGAAGTCCATCTCTTCTCAGAATCTCACTTACGTCGGCAACGAGAACAAAGTTCCCAAGGTCTATCTACAGCCTAAACCATCCGAGCTGAGAGAGATGAATTTTTGGTCTCCCACATCCATGTAAAACTACAGTTTAAGATTTTCATATGAAAACGATTTAATTTTTTTTTGTTTTTTAATTATTTTTCATTTTTTATTCACTTGAAGATACACGTTTCTTACTAAACGTAAGTGTAGCTGGATAATGTCAAGTATTATCAGTAAGCAACGATGAATTTTTATTTTAACAAAACATTCACATGATCTTTTTTTTGTTTTCGTGTGCTTTTTTCCACGTCATTGAAACTTTTGTGAATTTCACGTTCTTTTTTTTCTCTCATCGTATCTACGTAATTCGAGCGTTAATGTAGTAGGTAGTTGTTGTAATAGGCTAGTTAAATTAGAGGACGATTTAGCCGTCAGGCTAGAACCGAATTTAAGATAGTTATAATCGTGGACAGGTTGAAAGTAAGTCTTTTAATTGCCTATTATTATTGAGCAAGAAAAATATATATATATTTTTAAATTTTCTTCATCGTCATGGTTCGAATGCATCGATTTTAGTTTTATTATCTCTTCCAAAATGTCGACGTTAATTGCCGATCACTTTGATTAATTATTACACATTTACTAACATTTTTTTCTGCCATACGTTCAAGTAACCTTAACAGTTATGGAATCATTGTTTCAACGATGATTTAAGGATACTTGAACGTGCTAATTATTAAATCCAACTATGTAATCCTTACCTCTGAAAAAATGAGTCCATAACCGGTGGATTTTTCTCTGCCTTCACCCGATGTGAACTGCAAACTTAGTTGAAATGGACGCTAAAGTTAAAACGGCAATGCGATTTTGTATGTTAATCAATTGAGCAATTTTCGCGAAAAATAAATTTTAACGTCGTGTATTGCGAAACATGATATTGCTCTCTAGGTAATATAGATCATCGTATTACTGCTTCGCTAGCACGGCGATCCTTTGTAAAAAGTGCGTTGTTGAATAATCTAATGGAATATCAATCAGAGCCAAGCGACCATTATCCAATAATAAAAAAGTTTTGATGTCGAAATCTTTCACAAATTTGTATGAATCTTTGGATGCAATATATTTACATGTTATTGATTTTTATCAAGCAGGTAAATAAAATAAACAAAAGTCAGGTTCAATTACTTCGACGTCGAGACATTTTGCGAAGTATTTAGTAGCTTTATAACTAATAATTATCTTATACGATCGAGTGTGTAACGCATGCGGTGCGAGATTTTTGGATCTCGTCACTTTAATGTTTTGGAATTGTCAGTATCTATTTGAAATAATAAATTAATATATATACAAATATATATATTACACACTTTTAAAACATTGTATTTTCATTTTTTATCCTCTATAGCAAAATTCGAGATAGATATTTGTTAAGTTGTTCTTTGAATCTACGCGGTAAGCTTTCAATAATTCTTTTCACAATAATTGGACGCTCGGATTAACACCGATATCATTTCTTAAGTATTTTAAATATAGCTTACTTGTGTACATTATAGATTATTTATTTTATCTTTAGCAATAAGATTTAATCGTTTCCCGTTACAGACTTACGTAGTAAACAATATATAAATTATTTATTTTGTTTTATGTCTCGCCACCTCTAGAAATAAGAGTAACGTCAATATTTTATTTAAAAAAAGGACTTCAAGAAATACTTGCTAATAAGTCTATCAATTGCAGATTAGAAGAAAATATTTAAATTAAATATAAAAATACGTTTTTTTATCAAATGAAATAGAATTATTAATCTCTGCATTGAGCTGTTTCAGAAGAAACAATGACGAATCTACAGATAGTTATGTAATGGCGGCCCGTAATTAGACACATGCATACACACACACACACACACACACACACACACACACACACACACACACACACACACACACACACACAAACAAACAAACAAACGCACGCACACACGCACATACACAAACATAAGAGAAAAAAGAATTATAACGCAAGGTACCCACTACCAGGTAGGCCAATCACATGCAAAAATAGACCTGTTTTTCAAGTGTCAATGGTTCAGTTCTCTTCCAACCTAACAACTGATTATTTATTGCATTCATACGACCTATTATTTTCTAGTTATTATTACCACAACTAAATTTACTCGAAAGTTGATAAATTCTTCGTATCTCGCATCAATCTCCAGTTATAAATGAAGATTTCCGTAGAACCGCAGTTGTTGGAATAAGAGCCAGGGCTGTTTCAGGCCAGATCTGGTCAGAAGAGCCAAAAAATGATCGAAAGAGGTCGACGTGAAGGCAAGCTGAAGCAAGTTTTCTTGCAAGAAAACTAAATTTTTCGAAGAGGCAATAAGCACTGATCATACTCGTTGATCAACTAGTTCTTCGTCAAGTATCGCGCAACATGTCGGTACAACTTGAAACTCACTTTTATGCGCTTCCTTTGGGTTACAACAATATTCAATTTTTGAGGAAATCGGTTATTGTGTGAGTAGCTGGACATCTACGACAAATCCCCCCCCCCCCCCCCCCCCCAGTTTATCGCATCCTCAAGCCACCAAGAAATTATCAATCAAAATTTAATCGACTGCGTAGTAAAAAGAACAAGTTTTGTGAGCAATCGGTAAATTCGCCATGTAACAGACAACTATCGTAAACCGCGACACGCCCGAACACGATTAGATAAAAACTACGTACAACTTACAATTTTGTAGGAAGAAGCTCGGTCTCGTCGTCTACCTTCGTGTATATCGCACAAACATGCAGTGGTATTGATTTATGCAGTTTGTGATGTAAAATAAATAAGGGTGCCGCAAAGCCGACACGTTTTTTTTCGGTACGGATAATAGTACCAACGTGACTACTGACGTTCTAATTAACGATTTTCCTAACCTCCGAGCAGACGACGAAATATCGTTCTGCCGTGTTTATCGCATGGTAAAAGATGAGCAACTGCTAATGTTTTTCCATCGAAAGTTCGTTCAGTAATTTTTGAAGATCAATATTCAAGAGCATTGTCAGACTTGCAGACAGGGTTTTGACGCGTTTTTTTTTTCGTTAATCTTAAGTACCTAAAATAAATTGATAAGGATTTATTGAGATTAACTTTGTCTTCCTGAAATATTTCGATTCGCAAATGTTTGCATAATGAACAATATAAAGATGCGTGTGATTCACAAGATGAAAATAAATTTCAGAATGACTAAGTGTAAGCAATATTGAAGCGTAATCATTCAATCAGCAGTCAATATAGCCTTGCAGCAATATTTTTATAAGCTTTAGTTGTCATTTACATTGATGAATACACATTGATGTAGCAATTCAATGAAAAACACACGAAACGTTATTTGTTATAAAAATTGAGTATGAGCTTTTATTTGTCAATAGCTCATATAAAAATTAGAACGAGATATATTTAATGACTGAATTAAATTCAATGTGAAAATATTACAGAAATAATACAGAAAGATGGCAGAAGTGAAACTTTGTAACAATAGCATTAGTCAACCTTTCACTCTGACAACAATGAGAAACAACAGCCTGATTAGATCATTTTTATTACCCCAAGATATCCACATAAAAGACAGAGAAGGCAACAGTGCATTACATTTTGCAGCTACAAACAGTGATACACACCTCTTGCAAATGCTGCTAAATGCTGGGACTGCTGTTAATGATAGAAGAATAGATGGATGTACTCCACTTTATACAGCCATTGAATCTGGACAGGAAGAAAATATCAAGGTACTTTTAAATCATGGTGCAAGAATTGATTTGAAAAATTTATTCAGCAAGACTCCACTACATTTGATAGCTTGCTTAGATTATCAAGATGCCGATAAAACTGTGAGGCTAGCGAAGTTAATCCTTAATCGAGGGGTTAATATAAAGGTACATTTTTGTGAAATTCGCTTCAAAGAAAATAAAAGTGCTTGGATATTTTTCTAATTTTTCATTGGTATTTCAGATTTTATTGAATGAGTGTACAGATTCTGGAGAAACAGTATTGCATCATGCTGTTTTAAGTAATAATGTGAAACTTATTAAACTATTGTTAGAATATGGAGCCAATATCAATGCCAAAAATAGAGATGGCAAAAGTCCTCTTTACTTTGCAGTTGAGTGCAGTAATACCAAAATTTTAAATTTTTTACTGGAGAATGGGGCAAGAGTTAACGACAAAATGAATCATGGTTTTACAGCTTTACACGAGGCAATAATTCAGCGATCAGAAGACAACATTGAGTTACTTCTTAGTCACGGAGCTGAAGTAAATTCCAAAGATATTTATGGTAAAACGCCTCTTCATTTGGCTGCAAGGCTAAATTACTTGGATGAGAAAACTATGGATAAAATAGTGAAACTGCTTCTGGATAAAGGAGCAGATGTCAATGATCACACAAATTCTGGAGAAACTGCATTTCTTTGTGCTGTGATTAATGGCAATGAACGATTGGTCAGACTATTTTTAGAACATGGAGCAAATGTAAATACCAAAAATTATGATGGCAAAAGTCCATTACATTTTGCAATACAGTACAGCAATAAAAACATAGTAAAATTATTACTTGACAAAGGAGCTTCAATAGATGACAGAACGAGCGATGGCAAGCTGGCTCTTCATGTTGCTGTTGCAGTAGAAGATGAAAATATGGTAAAGATTCTACTTAATTATGATGCAGATGTAAATGCAATTGATAAAAGTGGTAAAACTCCTCTATCGTTAGCCTTTGAAGTAGCCCATATGAGAAGTATATATAACCCATGGAATGGCTTTAATCCATTTCACTCTCATACAGGATCGGACGACAATATCTTTGATTTGCTTATCAAACATATAGCAAAATTCACCAATGTGTGCGAAGAAAATCTAAGAATGATAAATAACAACGAGCATTTACACCAATTCTACGTGGACTGTCAGATTGAATTATCGAGAATGAAGAAGGGTCGCGTATGCGATAACATATCCATGTACAAAGTATTAACCAGAAGTACAAATGCACTAGTGTCCTATTCTAGAAACAGAAACCTCGCAAAAATCTTCGATTCAGATCGGTACGCACGAGAATTCCCCATTTATTATCCCATGTTAAAGCACCGATTTAGCAAAGCGCAATATCGGCGAAGATTAATGGAACCTTCAGCGGTGACTTTCGCATCGCTACTTCGGCCGTATTCCTTGCCAGACATCGTGACCAACGAAATTCTAAGCTACCTGACAATAGAAGACTTGATGAATTTGCAAATGAGTTAACGGGCAGTTTTTATTTCATTAAGTGAAAATTGATACTTCGAAATATTGTGATATATTTTTTAGACGTTGGTGCATCCGAGTGTACTATTTATAATTGTCAATGTTTTTTTTTTAATAAAATCGTTAAAACTGTTATTAAAAAATTAACTTGCGTTTTGTTTTGTAAGTCTGATGCAACTGTTTCTAAATAAACCAAGTGACATCACGAGAGTAAATAACATGTCGTCACTTATATTAGTATAGCTCCAGAAATAAAAGGTTCGTAGAAAAATTTCGCGTGAATGCTGCCTATACTATTGAAATTGCAAATGATGTGCGGTTTGCGGTGCTTTGTTTGAGAACATATCAAGAGAAAATCAATTCAAACGGCCGAGTATTCAAGGAGCAATGAGAGAAAAGGAAAAAATAGTGATGGGAGCGACTCTGCTCTGGAGAGTTCTTTTTTATTTATGGTATGGTTTCCACTTGCAACTTGCAGTGCAACATTTTTTTCCGACGCGACTGATGTTAACGCATAAATTCAAAGTAGTTCTTAATTAATTCATTTGTTTTTATGCACTTCGAGTACACTTTACCGCTGTGAGTTTTATAGTTCATATTTTACAAAATTAAAAAACAACTATATCATTCCTTCCGAATTTTATATATATTCGTCATTAAAGACAGAACATGATTATTGTCATTTCAATTCAATTTTAAATAAAAATTTTCTTATCATTTTGTATCTTATTTATTAAATGTGATTTTCCAAAAACCGGTTGAATATATACCCAATTGTCGATGATAATTGATTCAGCAGTATAAAAATGCATAATGTATGAAGACGAGACTCAAATTGTTCGCTCATTGCTTTTACGTAGTTCTTTAAAAATAGATCCATTCAAATCGCTTTGAAATATTTCTATCCAATCAGAGGAGCATCGTAAAAACAGCATTAATTGTTCATTTTTTCGCGCGAGATCCCCACTACCGTAATCTCTGCGGGCGACAGCGTCGCATGTCTACTCTAGCTACAGTCCACTCTGTAGCTCCTGATCAGTGATCGCGCAGTTCAGCATCGGCGTTTTGTAAAAAAAAAAAGAAAGTCGCGTGTGCAAACACAATACATGATGAATAACAATTAAACGATTTCTGTCTCCAAGTACAAAAAGTTGGAGAGGAATTACGGTGAGAAATAACGGATACACAGACTACACGGAAGAATTGTGTAAGTGCGTTTCATTTATTAATAACGAAATGCAAACACACGCACCTGGCCAAGTGACTTTGCACGCTTGAAAAGCAATACCCGTGCACTCGGGACAAGTGTAAACAGAGAAAGAAGTTGGCTGTGCACATGTAAGATATAGTGTTAGCTCGGGTGGCGACGTTGAGTGACCTCGCTTTGTCGCGCGTGAGAATCGAGAAAGGACCGCTAAAAATTGGCCAACATAAACGAAAAGGTGTGTGTGTATGTGCACAATGCGATAACGTAATAATCTGACCTCCGCGGGAAGTCAGACGTTTGATGACGAGCAGTGATAGCGTTTTATCGTTCTTTTCGTCAGTTGGTGCAGAAAATAAGCAAATCGGATTTTTAACTGCCGTTTGGTTTCGATCGACCCATAATCAATTGTAGAAATAGAGGTTATCTTGGAAACCAATACGTATTGACTCATAATAAGTATCAGTAGATTAATTAAGCAAATTTATTTCGTAAGTCACACGCATTATGAAAAAAAAATAGTAAATCATTGTAGGTTAGGTTTCTGCGACTACTTGCGAGTATGAAATTCCGGGAAAGTCCAATCCAGTTTTAGTATAAGATGCCTCTCCCTTGTAGGGCGATTTATTTATAGCTAAGCGAACATGTGCGACGTCGACGACCGCCCGGCTAATGCACAATCTCTGTACTCGCGTATGCACTGCTCTACTTGGTCGAAAAATAGTTTCGAGCTCTGTACTTTTTTTTTCAGCATGGAGCAGCCAGAGAAGCATTACGAACTGCGAAACCGCAGTCGCTCCAGATCAGAAACTCCACAGGCATTTAGTCGCACTGTCACTGAGAATGAGACTGGGGAGCATCATTATGACCTTAGGAGTAGGAGTAGAGAGAGATCTATGACTCCTGGAGAAGTCACCAGCAGCAACAGAAGATCTACTTCCAGATCATTGCAAGTTTTAAGATCATATTTGTCTGGATGATTATATTAAAAGGTTTGTTTGTGTATTTGTAGACCCAGCAGTGTGGTAAAAGCACGTACCAAAGCAATGGACACAATAGAGGAGCAAAAGGATGATACTCTGACAGAGAGTACTATGGGGACACAGAGCAAGTCTGTCACCAAGGTAACTAGAAAGTCTGAAAGACGTTTGGAGAGGCAGAGGGTCAAGAGGCAGCTGTTAGTCAATGGTCCAAATAAACTAAAAGATGATTCTTCGGATACTAAGTCTGAAACCAAGGAAGAAAGACATAGAGAAAGTATCACACCAAAAAGGAATATGACCAGTGATTATTCCTCTGAAGAAGGTGATAGGGATGACAACAGGTCTGGTTCTGCTTATGAGTTCTATAAGCAACAAGGCGATTATTGGAAGTGAGTGATGCTGTTATATAAGTAGCTGCATTGTAGATTATTTTTAGTTTTGGATGTTCATGGTATTAAGCTTCACTGGATAGGTAATGATTTCATTTTCTATGCTATAATTGGTGTTTCATAGATTCAACGCTTACAATAGATTAGACTACTATTCAGTGAATTAGAATTTCAATTTGTAATGAAGATTAATAAAATTTTCATAAACGAATATTAATTACAATTATGGAGCAATAAGCTTGAATCTCATTTTAATAATTCATTACTATTATCTAGTACTGCTAATCAATAACTGAAATTTATTAGTTCAGATTTTTCATTGCAAATTACATCAGCAAACGAAGTTGTATTATCAACTTGTTGATAACAGTAGTGAAGCAACTACATTATGCCAGTAGAATATAAATTCAAATATCGCGGCAAAAACAAATTCTCATACAATGAAAACTCGCTTTGCTTTAGCTCATCATTTCATTTCTTTGTGCGGCAGTCCGGCAGTTTCCTTCCGATTCTGTTTACAAACACCTACCTACTGGCACTGCGACCTCTCGCCTTTCTCGTGGTTCTTATAACCTTGTGTAACTTAAAATTTTTCTTTCAATTTACAGCAAATTTCCGAAGACAGATTACACCTACTCGCAAACGTCGACATGTCGATACGAGGTTGCTCCAGGAGTTATGGCCATTCCTAACATGTCGCGACGATCACTACGCTCTGATAATAGCTTTTACAGCAGCCAGTCTTCCAAGGCCAGCTCCAATGAGGACAGTAGTACTATGGACGCTAGTGAAATTCGGCGTAACTTAGCGGTAAATGTGATTTCTTTCTTCTTGTGCTGTTTGTAAGCGTAAAACAAAAAAAGTGTTCTTTTGACTCGTTGATCGCTAATAGTTCTTTAACTCTACGGTATTTTTTTAAAACAGAACTCGGTTTCTCAACTTCCACAACACATCAGAGGTTCCAGCAATTTGGGAGTCATCAAGAGAACGTATGTCGAGAGATCCACCGTCAGGAGAGAGGAGTACATTTATGACTCCTCCACTGACAACCAAATCAACGAAAAGTTCGTTCATAATTTTATTTTTTATTATTTTATTTGTTGTTTTGTATTTGTATTTTATTTGTATTTTATTTGTATTATTTTTTCACTTTTGTCATTTGTGATTTGCCACTCACTTGGAGTGTGTTTTATAAAGTTTCATTATTAAAAATCATCTATAAATGCGCTATCACAAAAATACTTAAATTATTTTCGTGGTTGATTCAATCTCCTTTTAAAGAACTAAATTATTATTGAAAATTTTTATAAACAATTAAATAAATCAGTGTATTTTGTATATTGAAGTGCACACTGAAGTAAATAAAATGTAATTTGAATTTACATTTGAACTAAATTTCTAAGTATTTATTTTGTATTTTTTCTTTATAATTAAGTAATTTTTCAGACTTATTATTGTATTACTTGTATGTGTGTTACTGATTCAGTTTTGAGGACAAGATTAATTATTAATTTTTTAGATATGAATCGTGGGCGAATCCCTTATTGAATTCAAATTCGAATACTCGCCACAGGATTCCATCGAACATAGATTCTGATACGGAATTGGACAATGCAATAGTGTCAAATCACACGAGCAGTTATCTGCGTTCCAAAAATCGTCAGAGTATTTTCAATAGTATAGTTAGTCTCACGTCGACGTTCATTTTCACGACATTACATTTGATCACATTCAACCAGTTCAAAAAGCGCAATTACGTCAGTAGTACTAGTCATTATTACCGCCGCTACGACGGTATGAATAAATATGATTTTTTTTCTTTATTTTTACTCATTTAACGTAACTGACGAACTGTTTATTTTCAGAGAGCAAATGGAACATAGTTCGCCGACAGATTGTAACGTTAATGCAGTATATGTATTTATCACTCGTTAAAGTTGGACTGCTCGACTCATGGTTACTTAGCAGAGCTTCCAATATTCGAAATCGAGTCCAAGGCCGTCGCGCTAAAATACTTTGGCTTATATTTCTTCCACTTCTTCTGACGATTGGTAAGCTCATGTCCATCTGGTAAAAAATAGATTATGAAATTTACGACCACTCATCACTTATTCGCGTGTCCATTACAAAAAAATTCTGTTAATAAAATAATTGCTATAACGTTTATATTCTTATGTTTAGTTACATATATTATATTATTCTTTTAACATACCTATTGTTAGTTCGGACATCGTTCTACTTTTGTTTCAGGCGCTTACGTTGCACATAAGTACACGAATGATTGTCTAAATTATCTGCGAAACGTTCGCGAGAGCGCCATCGAAACCGCTCCAGATCTTACAAATTTTACTTTCATTGATTACGAAATGTTATACAAGTACTTGACTACCTTGAAAAACGTATCTCTATCGGATTTGCCAGTTATTAATGTGTCTTTACCATCCCTGCCAACCTTTGGCTGGGAATAATTGTTTAAATACTTATAATTTTTTCTTTATTTTTTTGTCAGTTCATTATTATTTATTATCTAAACAACCAAATTATTTACTTTGATTTTTGGACTATTCAGATTGTAGATTTTTATTATTCCGTACTGATTTGTACGAGGATAAACACTATACTTTATTAAATAATATTTATGTTTGTGATTAGCTATTGATTTGCAGAGTAATTGTATAATTAACCAATTAACATTAACATAATATCAAAAACATATCGTTGAATATTAAAAAATATTTATAAAGTTTATAGTAAATATTTTTCTTTGTGCTTTAAAAAAATATAGTTATTTTATGTGTGACATCACACAGTAACAAGTATTATAACACTTTAGTTAAAAAATGAATAGATGTTTAGTTTTTATACCAAGTCATCGTATTCAAACAATCGTGTCTTACAAAACTTTGAGCTTCCTTATTTCAACTCAAAGACTTCAACATATTTGTTCCAACTGTTTTGTTTCTGTTTCAATAATTTACCAGTACGTTAAAAACAACTAAAGATTAATAATTATCAAAGAAGAGAATCAAAATGTAGCTATATAAGTCAATACGATATTATGCATTTTTGAGGAAAGTTATATGATATAAATGGTGTTTGTTGCTTTATTTTTTATAACACTAAGAATGGCTTATTACTAACTAAAAAGGCACACGATAGTACTAAGTTTTTCATTGTAAACCAAATGTAATTTTGATAAAAAAAATTATGTTAATTAACTAATGAAAGTAGTTAAGCACATTGACACTGACCTCGAGTAGAAAAAAGGAAGCATGCTATAAGCAAAACGTTTCGCAGCAAATTATCTTAGACAAACTATAAATTTAACGAGAGAGGAAGACTCAAGCACACCTGCAATACGATAGCACGAACTTGAATACATGGTGATTATAAAATGATTTTTCTACTAATAATTCAATTTTGTAAGTTTTTTACATTAATTTACATAGGAAAATATATTTTTAATAGATTGGTATACGAAAAATAAAAGATAAACATGTAAAATTTTGTCTTTGAAAACTATAAATGTATTTTGATTAGAGACAAACTTTTTATTGTTTTATTTGGTAGTTATGATTATATTGCTACTTTGTATTAATTGAAGGCTATTGAAACGGGTTGACATTTTTAAGAATCAAAGTTCCTGATAATTCAGATTTATTTGTTACTTTAAAGAGCGTATATTTTTTATTTATTTGTTTTCGCTTTAGTACAAGAAAAAGAAAAATTATTTTATAATCAACCAAAAATATTATGAACACAGACATAATATTAAGTGTTGTTATAATTTTGCAGGATGCTGGTGCATACCACACTTTATGTCTGCCATTCCATTGTATACCAAACAAGCCATAACCAAAATTGAAGAAATAGCACAAATTACAGAAAGTCCATATATAAGAGAAGATTTCCAATCAAATGAAGAGTTGAGGAAAACAGTTAATCTCTTGATTGCTCGAGTTCAACATTTAGAAGCCGCTAAGGCTGAACAGTTTGTAAGTTCTGATAATTTCTTATACTAAAAATTAATGGAGAATAGCCCCGTAATTTATAAAATAATTTTTAATTTCAGAAAAATTTATCCAATGTTACACGAATGTTAGATGATTTCAGACGGTCTGACAGCGAATTATGGAAACATTATGATGTATGTTACTTAATTTTAATCAATGTTGGAGTATATACATAAGTTAGAAAGAATAAAATATTACTTTACTATTTTCAAGGAAAAACTGCTGAATTTGGAACACGAGTTGATCGAACAAGACAATGTTAGGGAACAGTGTAAAAGCGAAGAGATCGATTTTATACGCGTTGAGTTTCAAACTCTCAAAAAACTCTATACCGAATTGAAAACCTGCTGTGACAAGACTATGAATCCCATCAGCGAGGAGGACATAAGGAAACAGGCAGACCAAGTATTTGCCAGTTACTTTGGTGATTCGTTTTTAAAGGACGATGTTGCCAGGTTATTCCAAATCATGAATTCAAAGATCCATCAGGAGAATATCGAAAAGGAAAATATTGAAAAAAGTGTCGATTATGGTGAACATGCAAGTTTAGGTGTAGATGAGATTCGACGAATGATTTTTAAGATTTTGAAGATCTACGATGCGGATAAGACTGGTCGAGTTGATTATGCTTTGGAATCAGCAGGTAAAGACTACTTTCGTTATCAAGATTATTCCATCAGCATTGTTAGGATCAAATACAAATAATAAAAATTTTGCGATTCTTTCCAGGTGGGCAAGTCATCAGTACTCGTTGCACGCAGCTATACAACATCCATTCACGAGCTTTTAAAATTCTCGGCATGACATTATATTATGAGAGCAACAATCCGCGAACTGTTATTCAAGGAAATACTCTTCAGCCAGGCATGTGTTGGGCATTCCAGGACTTCCCTGGTTACTTGCTGATTAAACTTCGTAGTACGATTTATGTAACGGGATTTACCATTGAACATGCACCGCGAAGCAATTTGCCAAATGGAGAAATGAAGAGTGCGCCAAAGTTGTTTAACGTTTGGGTAAGTTGTGAATCGCTGGTTATTCATAGCTTTAAGGTAAGGCCTTAATTTAATGTTAATGAAATTCTAGGGGTTAAGAGATGAAAACGATATGGAACCCGTGAAGTTTGGGGAGTACAATTTCTTAGAGAGCGATGAAAGTTTACAGTACTTTCCAGTTCAAGTAAGTAGCATTTGTTGGATGCGACTTTTTAATTTTAATTTTTTATGGCGTATATTTTTGTTACAGAATAAGTCCATAACATCGCCATATGGCTTCGTTGAATTGAGAATTCACAGCAACCACGGTCAGTTGGAATACACGTGCCTCTATAGATTTCGAGTTCATGGTGTTATAGCATGATTAACTATTGAACAAAGTGAATTAAAATCATTTTATAAATTTCGTGAACGGTTCTCAAACAAGTAGGTCTAATAATTCATCAATAAATGAATGTGCCTTTGCGAGTGAACCGTTAATAGATAACGGAAACGCATAATATTTTTTACGCACCAACGCAGATCTAAAAGAAGTTTGATCTGAATTATTTGTAATGGAGATTCAAAGAGTATTTTTTATGTAATTGAAAGACTCTTATTTACTCTTAAATACTTTTCTCAAAGTTACCGACTATTGAGCGAGAAAGATTTGTGGGATGTATATTGCTGTTGCTTCCGTAGTCTGGCGTTATTGATTGCTTGACACCCCCTATTTTTTTAACTTATTTATTTTATCCGAAAGTGATCAGTGACGACAGATTCATTAATGATAATGCTACATTAGTGATATATATCGTTGCTCGGAGCGACTCTTACAGCCGGACAAATATGTACCGACGCAAAACAGTACAAATTGTAAAAAAACACCTTCCTAGTTTAATAGACTCTAAGTCATGCTTTTTGTAAAGAAATAAAAACAAATCATTGATTAGTCGTTGAGTGATATTATGAAACTATTGAAGTCTACTCTTATTGATTGTAATATAAAAAGAAAATAATTAAGGAGCACCTCGCACGTGCAATTTACGTCGCCGCGTACTATAATAAAACAGGGAAGCAGCCTTCCTTTTTTTTACCCGAGTGTCATTCAATAATGCACGCTTCCTGTCGAGAATAGAGTTTAAGGTTTGAAAATGAATAAAGTTTGAAGAAAAATGTTTATTTTGTTGGATGAATTTCACAATATTCAAATTTATCCTGTCCCGCCAGCAATTTGTTTCTAACATACACCATTCATTTAGCAATAATATTAATATAATGTTTTCATATTTCCATTAATTTTAATGGTGAAAAGTTTTACTTTTTCTGAGATGAACAAAGTAAAAATTTACTCAACATGAGAGACATAATTCTCGGTCTTACTAACTATATTTTTTACATTGGGTGTGTATATCTACTAAATCTTATTTTAATGTTTTTCTGAGTTGGAGGTCAATGGTGCTTTGTCGCACAATTAATGTACATTAAAAACTATTTAACGCACAAAATGCTTGCCCGACCACACTTAAAACTTTTTTTTCCTTTGGTTCCAAAGTTGTGCCTTGGATACGCGAACGATACCTTTTCAATTATTACACGCAACCAAATTGATATAATCCTTCAAGTATTCATTGATTATCTTAAAAATTTAAAATTTATTTTGAAAGACTACTGCCATCAGAAAAAAGAATAAAATCTTAACATTGGTGACAGAAAGACATTTCGTACGGAAGAATGGTTACATTTTTATCGACAGAATTCATTTGAATTTAAGAAAAATATTGTCTACAATTTCATTGACTAGGCGTTTTTAGCATGCGACAAATGATGCTATAAACTGATCAGATATGGCAATTAATATCTTGTTTAAAAATTTGTACCCGATGTAATTCATTTTATATACGTATATTCTAAAAATGATTTTTTATTGACAAAGAATGTAAATCTAAGAATAGTGTAAAAAATTTCGTAACACTTACAACTTGAATTTCTAGTATCCTCGATCTGTTTATTGATGCTGTATTTTTTGAATTGATATTCAAAGTTAAAAATTTGTGCGTGTCCCAGTCAAATTGGTGCGAGTGAGTATGGCTTCAGCATTTTTATATTCTCTATCTCCATCAATACAAGTCCTTAAATAACGCTTGGTTTCGCTGATATGAATACTGGATCACACACTTTTTGCAGATTATTTTATACACTAAGTTTGTTTTATTATTCATTTTTGTTCACTCAACTTCATAATTGAAGATGTAATTCTTTTAGCTAGAAAAATAATATGGAATGTTATGCCGCTATATCATATTGGAATATGTCTGTTATATGAAATACAAATAGTGGTACTCGAATATCGAATGTTATGATTATTATTATTATATTTAGTTGATGGTTTGTTATCAATATAATACAATTTTTGACATGTCTGTGATGTGGGATTTGATAAACTCAATCGGATAACTGATTGTCACGCAATAAATTAACAACGTCTCTTATTAATCACGATAAAAGCACTCATGCGATAATAAATAAGCAGGGTGGTACGAATAATAGAGGTGAATGATTTGTTCCGATGCCATAGATTTTTGGTATCAATATATAATATCCTTATATTATGTTTCATTACTGTGACATCCAAAAAACTCAATTTTCCATCCATCACTAGTTTAAACGTGAATTTCCGATTCTTGTTGCACGCATTAAACGCACACTCAAGACTAGATCTATACTTATCGCCGCTGCACTATCAAGAACGTATCATCAGCAGTGTTACGAATGTGAATATAGATCCTGAGTTTTGTCGTCGAAATGACGATTGGGCACGTTCGGGTCTAGGATTTGCGAGTGTCTCAACACGCGTTGATGCGTCGACACCACGAGTTAAGGGAAACTCTGGAAGCTGCGATCCAGGAGCGCGAGGTGTTCCCGCGTTTTACTGCCGTGGACGCTGTTGGGGAGAACCCAACCGAAAACCGCTCGAAAAAATCCAACTCGCTGTTTCTATTAGCCTAATCAAGCACATCCAGTCTTTGTGTTTCGCGTTGAGACGCTTCTTAGGCTTAAGTTTTGATAAATATGTTCAATATTTACGTGCGTACGCTATGCGATTAAATAAAATTTAAGCGATCTATTTCAATAACTTGTCGAGAATAATTCATTGTTTTTATAACTTATCTTTGTTTTGTTAATCGAAGCTCTGATCCTCTCCCTTGCAGTTCGATCGGCTCAAGCGAATCGATACGAGCGTTGTCCTGGGGCCGTGAGTCCACCAATTCCAGAAGCTTATTCCTGGAAGATATTAGACTTCGCGAGGAGCTTGGTTCTAGAAAATATAGGAATTGTGTGTCACCCAGGTACGACAAGAAAAATCTGCAAAATTGATCCTTTGTATATTTAGCGGGGGGGGGGGGGGGCGAGAGCTCAGGAAGCCATTACCACTCGACAGTGGCTAGGTTGTACGTGTAGATCTTATTGCGCATTCGGTCGAGTACCTAGCAACGCAATCACCATTATAACAAGCAAACTAAGTGTATGAGCATGAGAATAAAATACAGCAATTACAGTTAAAGGTTTTGTGCCGATAGTCTTGATTATAGAGCGTATTCGTATTTAATCTAAACTGCTCATCGGAAAGAATATCATCAAATTAATAAATAATATTAAATTTCACTTCTGTCTATTGAAACAATTAGTAGCTGTTGATGACTTGTTAATGTTCAGTAACAAATTAACTGATCGCTATTATACACCATTGACGAAAGAAATGAATTTGATCTCGAATCAATATTGATTGAATATACCATATAGTGGCTGAAAAAGTCAATCGATAATGTAGAAATCGCTCGATCGCACATTCAAAACAAATCCACTTCCTCGCCGATCGTGTTTTCCTGGTAATTTCGCCGGTCCCGAACTCGAGTCCGTCAAACTTTTTCATTTATTTTTTTTATCTTGCGACGGTAGACCACGTTGACAACTAATATTATAGAATGACTTCTTTGCACTGAAGTTTAATTCAAATTCGCCACATGTCAAAACTGCAATGTTTGTCTATTTCTTGGACATGATGAAACTACCCTGTTGGAAATAAACTACACTCGCGGCAGAGACTAGGAAGCATGGGCTAGCAAATATAACAATGAGAAAGAAGTTTTGTGGAGTCTTCGTGATCATCTCATCTATAACCAGATAGCGTTGGCAATCCTAGAGCAATAAGAAAAAAGCTCGTTATACATGTAAAGCCGTTTACAGATACATATAAAAGATGTTTGACATAGAAAGTTCTATTGAGGCTATATATAAGGACAAATGACCAAAAAGAGCGCGTTTAGCTTGAGCTCCAAAACAATCGTGCCTTTAGTGGATGCTACTCTGACTACTCAAAACATTATATCTCTGTCCACATCGACGTCACTCTCGGTTACCAGATATTCGAACGTAGTAGCGAAAGATTCTCGAACAAAATTGCATGGCCGTGGCGATGGTATTTGATCAAGTTGACGAAAACATTCGTTTGCGATCGTTCTATTCTGTGTAAACGATGTTTCCATCAACAAATCCGATGAAAACTATATTTCAATTTTAAAAACTGTAATATTACAATAAACGTGTATCACAATTATTACAAAAGCTTAACAATAAAAAAACTACGATAAAGCTTTGTTAACTCTATCTTATAACAAATAATTTTAAATGTTACTTGAGTATTACGAGATTAATAAAGTGAATATTTTCACGGAATTTACTATTTTTCTCATCCAATTAAAAACACCGAAATACTCACAATGATATCAAATATTTATTTGTCTTTATTACAACATAAATTTGAAAAAGAAATATGTGTAAACGTTAAGATTGCTGCTGCTCTCCACCTATAAAAATACATTTTAGGGAACCGATTCTCAAGAAAGTATTTTTTTAGATTTTTCAGAAATAGAACTGGTTCTGAAGAAAGTATTTTTTTTAGATTTCTCATGAACAGAAACGGTACTCAAGAAAGTATTTTTTTTATTGACTTTGCAATCGTATAAGGCATAAACAAGCTTATCCAAAAAGAATTTTGAAAAAAATTTCTAAAAGCTCTCATAAAAATGATAGAATCGACTATTTCGAAAAATCTTTCACTTAATCTAAAGTATTGATCTGAAAAAGCAAACTGAGCTCTTCAAAACTGATTTTCGGTTCACTCTAACGTTCAGAAAAGCATGGTAAAATACTTTTTTTTCCTAAATGTAAAGTGTTACGGTTATAGAAACTTTCTAGGGCACATAATAAACTAAATTTATCTTATTTTATATTATAAAAATAAAAAATATATAATAACAATTAAGGCTAACTACTCTAACAGTTTTAAGTGATAAGACTACCTGACATTATCAACGTTTGGTATTGTGCTAATCTAACGTATTTTATTTATAAAATTAATATCCTTTTTATTTATAAAATATACAATTTTCGAAAATAATTTATGGCGCGCGCGCAGCAAAGTTTTGAATTGCCAGCGAAGTTGCTTCCCATCGTCCATGAGCTCAAGACAAAGAAGAAAAAATGCAATCACGTTTCTCGCATCCAGCCTTATGGAGGCCGAATAACAGCATTCCTTAAAATAGTTATGCGTGTGTGCGTGCGTGTGTGTGTGTGTGTGTGTGTGTGTGTGTGTGTGTGTGTGTGTGTGTGTGTGTGTGTGCATACGAGGAAAGTCGTACGTACGTTTTCGCTTGCGCGTGAATGAAACGAGCGCGGGGATAAAGGAAGAAGTGATCTCGGCGCGCATAGATAAGATTACCACTCCGGTCTGGTACGTCGTCGACTGGTCTCCAACTTGTGAGCGCAGCAATGTCGTCCGCTTGGTTGGTGTTTTTCCTGAGTTTACTCGAGCATCGCCTTGCAGAGGCATACGTTCCCCAGCAGCCGCTGGTCGAACCACTGTCGCCCATTGGCATTCGCATTTCGATCCCACGTAAGCTCACCTCAAGCACGCGCGTAATATATTTGCTTCTGTACTCGATCGAGGCGTTTCGAACGGACTTTGCGATTGCAGACGACGAGGGCATCACATTGGTAGCGTTTCACGTGAAATTCAACGAGGAGTTTGATGGACTAGAAGCTGGCACTATAGCGAGAGACATTCTCCGGAGGACTGACGGGCGCTGGACCTACGAGGATCGAAGTACCGTGCTAAAGAGAGATGACGTCGTTCACTACTGGATCCACGTTGTTTACAACGGCCTCGGTTACAATCTCATCAATCAGCAGCATATCGTCGCAGGTGTGCACGACAGAATGCGTTAGAGCCCATTGGCGCGAGCGTGCTAACGTCTTTTTTCTTCTAGAGTTCTACAATTACAAAGGGCAGAGAATCGGAAATGTGGACGCGAACGATCAGGTTAACGCGAGACCCCCTGGCTGCAATTATTCGGCAACCAAATTGTACGACTCGCACGGTAATAGCCGCTACGCGTGCGAGGGACAACTTCTATTCCAAGAGGATTTCCGCGACATAACGCAGTTTCAAAGAATGCAGTGGTCGGTGCTCGAGCAATTCAGCGGCGGTCCGGTGAGCGACGAGTACCTTCCTTATTGTTAGTTTACGGAGTCGTTTCCTGTCCCTCGCTCAAAGTCTCCTCCTACCAGGATTATGAATTCGTGGTTTACAAAAACTCGAGTGAAAATCTAAACGTGAGCAATGGCCTGAAAATAACCCCGAGGCTGAGAGCAGAGAACAACGAGTATTGCGCTGCGACCGGCAAGTTGACACTAAATCAGTACGTGAATCGTGAGTAGAACGACGTCAGCGTACGTTTTACAACTAAGAGTATTAACCGTTGCGAACGGGGAGAAAAGGTGCACAGGACGAATAGGAACGGCCGACTGCTCTCGTGAAGCCCAGGGTTGGAGCATATTACCACCCGTCACGTCCAGTCGCATCAACACTAAAAACTCATTCACTTTCGTGCATGGCCGCGTGGAAATGAGAGCTAGATTGCCACAAGGGGACTGGATTTACCCACGTAAAGTCTATTCTCCACGAGTAACTCATTCACTTGACGCGTTTATAATTAATCGATAGCGCAATCGTGTCGCAGTTCTAATGCTAGAGCCGACGAGCGCACGTGACTTGCCACAGATTCGCGTCGCCTCGGCGAACGGCAATCCGGAGCTGAGAACAGCGACGGGCAAGGATATCAGTGGGCACGTACTGTGGGGTGGTGTCACCTGTGGTCCCAGTCAGTGGGGCGCACGGTTCAACGGCAGTACAGTGGCCAAATTCAACAACGACTTGTGGACGGACAGATTCCACACGTACGAAATGACCTGGAGTCCCGACAGAGTTGTTCTGAGAGTCGACGGAGAAATCTACGATAACAGGAACCACGATCTGCCGAGTGATACGCCCGTGAGCCCGAAGCACCGTCTACTTTCTGTCGTTGCCCTGTAGGCGCAAAAACTCATCGGCTTTTCTCTTCTTGCAGTTCTATTTGACTATTGGCGTTGCTGTCGGCGGTCTGTCGGAATTCCCTGACAATTGTGCAAGCCACGGCTATACTAAAACTTGGCGGAATATTGAAGCAAAAGTACGTCAATTATATCAACTTCTAATTATTGGTGGCTACTTTTCGCTACTTCACTAAATATTTACCTATGTATGTGTATTTTAGGCTCTCTACCGTTTTTGTAAATCAACTGAACTTTGGTACAAAACATGGCACACAGACAAGATTTCGCTAAATATTGATTACTTGAAAATTTGGGCTCTGTAATGCGAATATTCCGTCTGAATGTTGAAATAAGTTCTGTATAAAGCATCAAATTCAACGGAGGCCGGAATGATATCTTTTTAGCTGTTATGGAAGTTCTTTCATATGTCGTGGTATGCTTAAATTTTCAACTATAAAACTTGAAACAAATATTTTGTAGGTAAAATATTTATCTTGTCAGTGATTTTCAGTTTTCATCAATTTCTTATTGGTCTTAACTGTTTTGAGTCTTAGTTACGCTATTAATTTCGAGCTCGATTATGGAAACTTATTCAATGCATTAATTAATTGCGTATGCGTTTTTTTCGTGTGTGATGTATCATCATGTTGACAATTTTTTACGACAAGCAAACAACTTTATTGACACAGAGTCTCATATGATTCATAACGTTGTATCGAGGTTTATTTATCGCCAAACATTTTCATATAATTAATACAAAAACTATAAATTTGACCTCAAATAGGCATATAACTGTCCATGTAACATTTATGTATTGATTTGAGTTATAAGATGAACATTTGTACGATTTTTACAAAGCTCCTTATGTATATCCATACGAGTAACCACTGTCTAGTGAAGTATAAATAAACCTTTTTTTAATTTGCAAAAATTAAATAGTTATTAAAATATACTTTAATGAAGAAAAATAATAAATTATGATTGTTTCTAGTATTCAAAATCAAAGTATAGCAAAACCAAAAACCGATATGTAAACAATTTCAATTTACATAAAAATTTTCTAGGTATATGTTTTTACGGGGAAATTCAGATAGGACTTTCTTGAAGGTTACGAAGACATAGAATCTTCTAGAGGCAATTACGAATATGGGTTCTTCTTATTAGTGCCGATGTTATAATAATTAATTATTTTAAGAAAATTATATTATTTTTCTTTTCGTTCAGAATAATAGCATCGAATGTTTTAATCTGTATTCAGAGTCAATGATACACCTTGTAGAATCCAATGCGACGGATGTTCTTTGGTAATGAGATCGGCCTCAAACACTAATCCAACGCCCATTGCGTTTCGCCGATTGCAAGTTGTATACACAGGAACTTTGATCGTGTTCTGAAATGTCAATACAAGCACATGTTATATTAAAAATAACGTTGATGCGACATAACTTTCTTTCTCACCAGTAACTTTAATCGATGAGCTTCGATAGGTATTATTTTAAAAATTGGCAATTCTTCGATCAAGACTTTCGGGTAGGATCGTTTCAAGCAATTTTCCTGCAAATCCCACCTTGCCCCTTCCAAAAATAGACCTTGCACGTAGCAGCCCTTTACATTTAATGACGTGGTAAAAACAATTTTCCAAGTGAAAAAGGGCTTCGCAATATTCGTTACCTCCTCAGGTCGTTCCTCGACTTGCTCGGCCTTTCCAAAGGGGGATACGGCTGTATATATAACTGAACGATCGAGGGGCCAATTATTTTTGCGGCAAGCCATTTGTACAAGAGCAGCTAGATATGTTTCTGGATTGTGCAAGCCCGACAACCAAACGACGACCGGCTCATTGCACCCAGACTGAAGGATGTAATTTGTTCGAGCATCATTGTGTAGCCGTAAAATGAATAAACGAAAAGCAGGAAACGATGCTCACCCAACTTGTGTATTGAGAAATCCTTTTTTCAAAATGTTCCATCCAGCTGGCAAGTCTTTTGCGCGTATCAGGGGCAAGTCTGGCCCATTCCTTGGGAAGAGTGCCATTGTAAAGTGAATTACCTACGTTCTCCAGTGTATAATCCATCCCGATTTCTCCAGCTATAGCCTAAAATAGATATCAAATAGTTCGCTCAAATTCACAACATTAAAGACAATTAAATGTTGTTTACTTTTCTCAATTGCTGCAATGTCATTGTCATTTTCGAAATCAATTTATTGAATCTTTCGAGCTCTTGGAACAGTACTATCGTCGACGGCGATACAGACAAACCAAAGTTTCTCTTGATCTTAACCATATCATATTCCGGTGGCATCTTTTGCAAAATTTCCCGAGCTACATTGTCGATAAACTGGTCTCGGCTGAGCAGTCCAGCGCCGCCAGTCACTACGATAAAAAATTATTGCAGACGGTGTTCTTGTAGCTTCTTCATTACAGCCAATGATGAATGTGTTTTCACCTGTTTGCGGCTGAAGTTCGATAAGATGGCCCCACATTTCTTTGGTAACCTGCGTAAAGTAACTGATTTCGGCGTTGGGATGAAGACCGAAAACCTCGGGTGAATTGACCAGCGGAAGTTCTTCGATGAATTGAAGGTAGATGGATCTGTCGGCGGCACCGCCAGTCGGCGGTATGAAATAATCGACCTGGTCGTCTCGATGAAAATGAAAAGGCTGAAAGGCGTCAAACAAAAAGTCGCCAAAGTACTCGTCCACGTAGACTTTGGAGACACGTCTATCATAGTTGTCGATGACGCGACCTCCGTAAATTACTTCGCCAATCAAGTACTTGAGACTGTTCCAAGGTATGCGCGACTCTTTCAGTTTCAAATTTTTCGTCAGGTAAGTAGCCAATATCGTAGTGCACACGTTAAAATCGGATTCGTTGAAATCATAATTGATGTTCCAGCCAATTTTATCGTACTTTCTCCTTTCCTGTAGAACTGCGTGATAGAATGCCAAAACGTAGACGATGTCCTTGTAAGCCCTGTGCTCGCAGTTGTCGAGAGTCTGATCGTTCATTTTGAAATAGGTATTTTTGAGATTGAGCTTCAGTCCATTCGGTGGTTCCATTACCACCTTGAAACATTGCTGCAATATGCCAATGGGAAAATTGGGATTGGGATCAGTCGTGAGCCACAGCCTAAATTCGGCGTGCGGTCGGCCAAGAATATCCAAGGATTTCTCCAATTCGCTCGTGAATTTGAGCAGCAGGTGACAATTTTGCAGCATCAGCCATTGTCCTCGCGCGACAGCGTTCTCCAACAGGTCCAAGGCTACCGGTTCTTGGCCTTGGCCAAGAGACAAGTAGCGAAATTTGCCAGCACCGAAGCCGTGTCTCTCGGCGAGTTTCATCAGCTCACTCGTGGGATCGCTTCCGGGGCTCAGCACAAAAATGATCGGCATGCTGGACGTGCTCTGCTTGTAGATTGTCTCGAGGCCAACGCTCGGAGGTGTGATGAACTCTTGGCCCATCGTCTGGCTGATGTAATTCACCACCGCGCGATAGACTCTGTCCACGCGAAAGCAGCGCAGGAGCATGAGCCGTTCGAAGGGAAGCAGCTGACGCCCCTGCGAGTCAGCCTCGTAAGGTGGAACCGCCACCTCTGGCGCATCCAAATCGAACCACTAAGAACGAGATTTCGCGTCAGCTATCTCACGTCGTTGTCGTTTTCCAGCGCGCGAACGCACCTGCTTCCACTGATCGCATCGCGCCTCCAAGTGGCCGGGCAAATCGGCAAACTTGTCGGGAAAATCTGCGGCCAGCTTCAGAAGGTCTTCCCAGCCTGCGGCTGCCAGCCAGTCGTCTGCCGGATTCGGCCTACTCGAGCGTTCCAGAGACACGTTTCCTTTGACGAAAAAGTCCAAGTGCGCTTGATCCAGCTTCCCACTGTGATCGGTTTGCAGCTCGATCCTCGTGCAAATCTGAAAGGAGAAGAGCAGCTTGTGCCGCTCGAAGAGGCCGGTGCAGCCGTAGTCATAGACGCTTTGCGTCAAGGTTTTCACGACGTTCGCCAGGCGCCGTGGGAGCATGGGATCCGGCTGCGCTCGCTTCAGCGATCGAACAAAGACCTGGGCAGTAAAGATATCGATCGCAATTACGAGGTCGCTGGCAATGTACCGATGTACGGCGTATACGCGATACCTCCAAGTAGCTGCCAAGGGAGTACTGATACATGTTGCTCACGAGGCTCATGTTTGCAAGCACAAAAAAGAGGATCGCTCCTCTTTTGGCGGCGGTTCTGTAATCTTCGCGCAGCCGATCGATTTGCCGGGACGTGAGCATAGCCGCGTCGAGCTTGCTCGAAACTTCGTGGGCGCTCGTCTTGGCGTTCTCCAGGGTCTCGATCAAGTCGATATTGTCCAGCATGTTTCCTTGGTTGCTCGATATTTCGCGCAGCAAGCTGTCCTCCAGCTGCTGTAGCAGTGCCTTCAGAGCACTGGTCTCGCTGATGAGGGCTTCCCGCTGATCCTCGATGTCCGGCCTCTCGAACCCAACCACCACGGACAGCAGCTGCGCCTCCAAGCCCTATTCGCGCCAATTATTTTACTCGCGTTCGGGTAATGTCGTTGCGTAATGCCAAAGCCGATCGATCGCTTACGCTGGTGGTGACCATGTAGTTGATGACGCAGACCTTTGCGTAAATTGCCGGATTGAATGCAGGATTCGAGTGCTTCGTCATCAGATACATTCGGAAGCGTGGGTCGTAGTCGACCTCTTTGTCTCCGAGCATGACGAAAGAGCGGCCGGCGCTCGCTGCAAGTGAAAAGGAGCGCGAGAATACGTGGAAATCGCGATCAAGTCCTTGGGAAACGCACTAGTCACGTTCTTCATCACGACGTTATCCAGAATCGGATCGACGTAATCGACGTCTTGAAAAATGACCGCAAAGCCGTACTTGATGGCGATCTCGACTTGCTTCGCAAAGTCTTTGTCGCTGAAGGTCAGCACTTTTAAATTGGCCTTCTCTTCCCGTTTCTTTATCCACTTGAGCGCCTGCTGCTGAGGATCGATGCACAGTGGAAATCGCGAGGCTCTTACCGTCAAGATTGCGTTTTGCACCGATAATTCGTCGGGCGGCAAGCCTTGCGAGCTCCAGCTGCGTGCGGAAACGCATCGGCGCGTCGTGAAAAGCTAATTAAGACGAGCTAAAAGCAGGACCAGATCGCTATCAGGGACAGTTACCCGCTAATTTCCACGTCATTGGTCAGTTGACTGTCGATTTTGAACGGTTGAGAGATTGGTACTCCCAGATCCACGATGCTCCGCAGCCAGTCCTGGTAAAGCATCTCGGCGCGAAATTCAAAAGTGAAGGGTCCGCTGTAGGCCAGGAATTCAGCGGAGAGCAGGCAATTGCCGACGATCTTCTCAGTTTCTAGTTCGAGAACATTAAGCTCTCTCTGCCAGCGCTCGTTCTCCGACGATAGGCCGCTTATCAACTTATCGGCGGCAACCAAGCGCCTCTGCAGTAGTTGCGTCTCCTCTTCTAAGCTCTGCCTCTCCGCGGTGGCGGTCTCGTACTTGGCATTCAGTTCTACCAGCTGCTTCTCCACCTTCGTCAGATCGCGCTCCTCTCGCTCCAATGCTTTCCGAGCTCTCTCCGACTCGACTTCCAGCTCGCGAACTCGATCGATTTTCGGCTTGACCTCTCGAAATACCGAGCAGTAATCCAACACGGCGAGAACGAATTTGTAGAGGCCGTATCCCGCGGTGCTTATCGTCTTCATCTGCTCCATCTTATTCGATTTCTTGAGATGCGCTCTGACCATCTGTTGCTGCTTCAAGCTGATTTCGTCGCAATTCGTCTCTTGCAGTATTCTCAAAAAGTTCGGGTCGCTCATCATGCCCTTGGCACTTTTCCACGAGATCTCCTTCAATCCGCGAATAATAGCGACGCACTCGCAGACCACTTGCACGGGCTCGGGTGGCGTAGCGAAAGACCGTATTTCCGTTATGTCGGACTTGTCCAAGTCCTCCAAGGCTCTTCGCGCGCTCTCGAGCCCCGGTTGCGCCTGCGCGAGCGCCTCCCTTGCTTCGGCGGACTCCTTCGCGATTACCTTGTTTCTCTCTTCGATTTCTCGACGCTTCTCCTCGCCGAGCGCTTTTTTGCTCTGGGCCACGCTCGTGTTTTCGCCGATGGTCGTCAGCAGCGTCTCGCAGTTGGTCGTTTGCGCGTCGACTTTCGTTTGCTGCACGGCCAGTATGGCGTTGAGCCTGTCCAGATTCTCGGACGCTTCGGCAATTTTCGTCAAGCCGCCGGACAACCGAGAGCACTGCGAACACACGCGACATCTGCGATATCCGCGCAAGAATCACGACGATGGCAATGCACAACTGACCTGCGACTCTATGTAGGCTCGCTGCTCTGTAAGCAAGTCGATGTAAATCTCCAAAGCGTCGAGGTAATGGCGGGGTGTGACGTAGTTCGGCCGGCGCAGCTTGGCCAAATAATCGCTCGTATAACGGCTCATGCTCGTGTGGGCGTGCACGGCGTGCTGCACCACTGCGTCGCGATGTGCCTCTGGTATGTCGTTGTTCTGCGAAGGGAGTGGCTGAATAAAAGCGTCTGTGGATGTGTCGATCGTGGCTTACGTCTCTCAAAGTCACGCTGGCGACGGCGAGTAAAGCTTGCTCGGGCCAAGGAAAGATCCAGTCGATGGTCGTACAATTGACCAGTCCAGGATAGCTTCTGCAGCGCGATCGGAGAATATCGCCCGCGGGACTCATCGACAGTGCGACGCGCAAGTTATCCGTACCCCTCTTCGCAAAGTAAGACCACACGTTCTCCTTCGTCACACCGTAATTGGCCTCTTTGGCTGCGTTTCTGCAGGATGCCACAATTGCGTCCTTCTCGTCGTCGCTGAACAGAGCCGAGATGACACCACTGGTCATAAGATTATTGACCACTTCGAGAAAACTTTCCTCCACTACTTGTTCGTCGGTCAGAAGAAACACCGTCTTGAGGTTGTCAACTCCAACGGTCGTCAGGACCTTCTGCAAATCGTTCGCGAGGAGCATTATGCGTCTGTCGATCGTTACGATTGTTACATTATGCGCTACATGAAGCTCTGACCTTCACGTCCTCGCGAAAGCTCGATTCGTCGTAGCCACGGCTTAGGGATATTTCAAAGATTTCACAGTCGGCGGCGAAGCTGGCTAGCCTAATGGTAGAGCGGCGGCCGCTGCCTCCTACGCCAACGACCAACGCGTGACCACGCTGCAGTCGCAGAATGCGGTGCACGCGGGTCAAATGTTCCAAAGCATCGTTGAACAGTACGACGCTCAATTTGCCGCGGTGCTCGTTATATTCTTCGAGGATCTCCATGAACAGATTGAAGACTGCTTCGTAATCGAGCAAATCTTCGTAAAAGCGTGTTTCGCCCTCGATGTTGCAAGCGTTTCGAAAGTCCCCAAAAAGCAAAGGATTTCTCAAGCTGTAACTCGATATTTCCTCCTCCCACGAGTTTTTAATACCACTTTCTATGTGTTTTTCTACGACTTGCCGGTCCTGAAATCACCAACATCACAGACTCTAATTGCTACAAGTGTATCAAATGCAATTTGACAGTACCGATTCGGAAATAAGTCGATCGTAAAATATTCTGGTGAATTCGTTCCTCCAAAGACGGACAAATTGCTGAGAGCTTTTGAAGTGACTGGCATCGCTTTGTAACAGACCAGCCATTACCCTCGACAAATCGCGCATATTAAATATGTAATGAAATTTCGAAGGGGTCGGAGGCAGCTCGGTAATAATAATCTTGTACAAGTGTAAACTCAGCTTCACAATGGTATTGGCCATCATCTGAACTGATTCTGCAAATACTTCCAAGTGTCCGGTTAGAATGCTTTCGTAAATATAATGCAATGTATCTTCAGCGGGAAAAGTGACGTTGTACACGGAAAACATAGATATGAACCGGGGATCAACATTGTGCCTGCCGCCTCCGGATCGGCCCATTGCGGCCAAAAAATCTGTTGGTAGAAACAGAAATCAGGCGTTCTATTTTATTAACGCAGTAACGTCATAAATTATAATACTCGTGTCTCTGATGGTCTTCCAGTTGAGATCTTTGCCTCGATCGTAAAAGCCATTTCTCTCCAGCAGTAACTTCAAAAGCGCAATCGGTTGTTGCGTTCCATACGTATCGACAACGGGCATATTCATGTCGTCGATAAAGACAATCAAACGTTTGCCAGGTGGGGGTCCATATATCTCTTTGGTTCTTTTTTCAATCACAGACTCGATATTGCGTTGGACGTCAAGCGAGGTTGTTCTTGATGAAAAGTTTATGGGCAAGTAATTCTAAAAAGAACCATAAAATAGGATGAACGGTGTTAAGAAAGAACAAAAAGCAAAGACAGCATTGCACGTACAAACTTCACAGGATCTACGTTACGAAGAAAATCCATAACGATGGCGCTCTTGGATGTGCCCGTGTCTCCTACAAGAATTAGAGGCTTTCGCGACTCCGTCATGAGCTTGACATACCAAGTGGCCCGCACCGTATCGACCGTGGGTACCAAGATTTCCCAAAAATTTGTCTCCCTCGCGTGCTTGTATTCATTGACCTTCCATCTCCATGGTATCCAGCAGCAGCACTTGTCCCCGTTCAAATCCAAAAAGTAATCGTACAGTTGAGGAAAGAGCGTAGGAATGTAACGATTGCCTGCGGGCTTCTCTCGAGAATCCTCGATCATCATGAAGCCAGAAGTCTTTTTCATAAATTCGTCGAAGCTGCTGCGACTCTCTAAGGTCAAGCTTGCTCCGAGCGAGCAGTAACAAGCTTCGAGATAAACAGCTTCTAAAATTTCATCTCGTGCTAAAACTTTTTCATTAAATTCGGCCTCTTGTTCATCGCTGCTGAACGCTTGACCCTCCTCAAGCATAAATTCGTCAGTTGCCGGCTTCGGATACAGCGCGTTGATGGTACAACACAACTGCACGACCTAGAAAAATAAACCAAATGAAATACCAAGGGTGAAAATGAGTTATGGCAATATTACCATGTTTAGACTTGTTTGAGGAATAATCATTTGTAAAGGAGACACGTGCTGTAATCCCAGCATGCCGTCTATTATCAGCTTGAGAGCGCTGTGCACATACTTGTCACACAGCGCACGTAGCATCTGGCGCTCCGATCTTAGTCTCGAGTTGATCCATTTGTCCATGTATGGTTGATATCCCAAGTTTTTTGGATCGACGTAGACCATTCCAGCCCTAGAAACCGTGGCCGGGGATGCGTACTGCAAATCTCCGACCTACGATTGATTACGATGAATTAGCGATTAACTTACAATCAGGGGGCATGGAAATTATTGTTTCCCACCTCGAACAAAAGGTTGCAATGGTCTTGCAACCTGATTCTTTCCTGATTGGCCAGAGTCAATAGTTTATTGTCGTCCATAACGGAATTCATATTTTCTATCCAGAGTGCATCCACATCTCCATCAAACAATATATACTTTTTCTCCAACTTATCCGCCGTTGTGTCTAACGGTTTATTAATTTCACGAAAGATATTGCTGAGCAAGCCGTCGGTCCAATCTCTCGTGGAGTTATCCAGCACACCGTATAATTCGATGACAGAGCAAGCTTTTGGATTCAAAATTGCAAGCTTGGTGGGAGTGCCCAGCAGAGTTTGCGCGTCGCAAAGAGCTTGAATAACGGTAGTTTTACCGCCACCTGTCGGTCCCACGACCATAGTCGAATGTCGCGTCATCATAACTTCATACAGTTGCACAATTTTGTCCACCTTTGAAACGCCGCGAGCAAGATTATTTATGTTAAATGGATAATTATATTTAGAATATTCCATACCTGCTCTGGTATAATTATCAAGTTTTTGTTGAACAAAGCTTTTTCCACTGCATCGTTAAAATCCGGATACCTTATTCTCGGGCAGTCGATCCCCGGGAATAAGTCCTTGATGAGCCCCAAAAACAAGGGCACGTCCTCAAATATGAACTTAGGGAGATTCATATCTCGGAGAGCGCGCATGAGCACGACGTTCTCCGGCAGATCGGGCGAACAACTCCTCTTCAACTGGCCGGCCATGTTTAGCACTGATCTGAGAGCTCTCAAGCCGAAATCATAGTGATTTTGCTTGCTGAGCTGTTCCCGTGCCAAGTGATACAAGACTGTCATCTTTTTGGCTAAAACCTTGGCTGTAAGGAAGCCAGCACTGAACAGTTTAATCTGGCATATAAGCTCATTATCGGGCACTATGCACACCACAGGGCGAAAGAAAGCCTTCACGGATTCGGGTAGCTCTGTACGGCCCGCGTATCCGGGATTCATCGTGATGAAAATACCAATTTTTGAATCCAATTTAATGTCTTGATTCTCGAATGTGAATCGCGACGCTCCGTTTTGCAAGGCAGACTTGATCGCTTGCAATTGAGTAGAAATGACAGACAATACCGAGACGTCGATTCGATTGAATTCGTCAAAACAACCCCACGCGCCGCATTGAGCGAGGCCACCTAAGGTTTTCCCAATAGCTACGTAGTCCATGCCCTCGCCGCAGTTCGTCACTACGCACAACAGGCCAAGCGCTTTCGCCAAGTCTTTGGTTGTCTCGGTTTTGCCCGTACCAGCGGGCCCAGCTGGAGCGCCACCCATATACATCGACAATGCTTGAGTGATGGTCAAATAAATACGATCGGTCAGAGGAGTGACGACCAGACGACCGTTGAGCCCCATATATTCGTAGCCGTACTCAAATGATCCAGTACACTGATTTATCCAAACATTGTCCAAATCGTGAATCCAATAAAAACTATACGTTAACAAATCAAACATTGTCATTAGCGTTAAACGTATCAAAAAATTAGACAGGCAGTTACCGCAATTGGCTCTCCCATTCAAACTCCAAAGCGTCCATTATGCTGTCCCTGACAAAGCTCTCGATAATATCTCTAGTGTGAACGTCGATTGTTAAGACGGTGTCAAATTTTTTCCTGTCGTTATTTGAGAGACTGCTCTCACCCATCAGTTGGACTACCTGATCCAGTTGTCTATTGAGCTGTTGCAGATACTAACGAACGGCAACGAGCAACCAGAGCGATCAATGACAGCAACAATCCTAGCCGGATCATGCACGCTACTTACGTTCTTCATGGCTTGTTTTTGTCCCGATGATATCTGTTTAAATACATTCTCGACCTCGGCAGTCCACCAAATTTGATTTGCTGCAAGTATCATCATTCCTTGGAAATCGAGCATCCATTCTGTTCTGGACTTGTTTACTGCACCGTATTCCAACACCGCTTTCTTTGTAAGATAGCGATTCGAGTACTTCATCTCATCGAGAGCCAATACCATCCAATTCTCGATATTTCCTATGGCAACTACAGCATTTCTAAACTCCATCGTTTCCCCCTCACTCGAGATCAGAGCATTGGCTACGAGACGTTCCTGATTATCAACCGTCAGTCTGAATTTTGCAAGGTTATCAAACATTTTTCCGACGTGGTCTTGAATGACATATGCGTTGGATCCACCCAAAATACTCAGCAACTCATCGTCACTGATGAAGCAAAATCGGGGGAATACTGAGCGTTTATTTTTAAGGTATTCGGTCAAAGATTTCTGGCATCTTTCTAGCGCCATAATCAAGGCTTCGATCTCCTCTTTGCGATCTAAACACAACAATGTGAATTTAAAATTACTAGAGATCATTGTAGATGACACGTGATGCATTGCTGATACTCACTTGGAACTGTGCAGCACTCCAAAACATTAGGTCTCTTGGCGCAGTCGGCCATGATTCTTCGAAAATTCATGTCCACATCGTCGAATCGCTTGGCCTCGTCGGGCAACTGAGATCTAATATCTCCCCCCATAAAAATACCTTCGAGATACATCCAGCGTTTCTGCAACTCCAGCCAAGCCTCGACAACGTCAGCAATTGTACGGAGAGCTTTTTCCCACTTTTGAACAACATTTAGGAATGGGCCTATAAATTGAGACGCTGACATACTTTGGAGATTTAGAGTGTTGTCTTCGAGTATCTAGAACATATTTTTGGAGACTTCTTATAACAATTACGTCATTATGTTGTCGAGCTCGTTCAATTCGCCAAACCTGATACAACTCGTCAACACTGCCGAATATAAATCCACGATCCTCGTTACCTCTGCTATGGTTCATCAACTTCAGCGTCATGTTCGACCACGTTTGCGCAACTTCTTGTACACCACGTTCAATTGCCAACTCACGACTTGCATTGTTAACAATTGATTCAGCAATATCTTGGTAATGTGTCAAGTTCATGGTAAACATATTTTCCAGAGTGAACCTTGAAAGTTGACATTTGTTAGCAAAGCAGCGATATTAGCGTTTTTGACTGAATTGCTATTGACAATGAAATATATCACAAAAGTTAATATGTACAGAAGGTGTGCCTGTTCTCATTAATTTACACGCGTTACGTCCTTACGTAGTAGGTGTCTACATATCGAACCAAGTCCAGATTGCTCACCGATTCATTGTTGAAAAGATACAAGCTTAAGATAATACATCACTAATCAATAAATACTACACTTATCACTATGAGCTCTATATAATGGTCTAACTGTCGCATTTGCAAATAATCCACAATTCTACATTGAAGAAATCTATTTTTTAACACCGCTGGCTCATGCAAATACGAGTATGTTGTCAGGGTCCTGCTAAAATCTAATAATTGTCAGTTTTACAGTAGGTATAAGTTATATTATTGATCTGATAGAAACCTGTACTGGAACAGAATTAGAAATTGAAAATTATTGTAAACGAAAACTTAATATTTCGAATAAATATTTGCCCGAGAAACTTTCGTTTGTACTCCAAAAAATTAAGAAACCTATAAACCATTTGAATTTTATGAAGTCAATGCGCTAAATGAAATTTTTTAGTTTTTATTATATATGCGATGATATGAAAAGATTTAACATACAAATAAAAATTGTGCAAATTTGTCGACGCGTATATAATTAATCCTCAAACTAGTAAGTATTTGCTAATGAGCATTTTCATAAACATACATCAAGATGAAATCCTATTTGAGCTTGGATATTTCAAATGTAATTGATAATTGTTACGCAACAACAATCGTGAAAAAATACACGTTTCACTGTTGCTCGATAGTGAAACTTCTAAATTATGACGATATTTGTGAACTTGACAAATGCAGGCTGATCGGTCGTTCAGCTTAATCTTTCTAAAATAAACAGTTTTGTTTCACTTGTCGACACACCTGCTGGGCGTCATATCAAAATGCTTTCCAGTCCGCTCCATAAGTTCCTTCCAGTGCCTCTCCCTCATTGCTTCATTTTTAAGCTCAACAAAGAGTGGCACTGAATTTTTAAAATTCTTCATGCTCGTTTCAAGAGCTCGACCAACATTCAAGTTTCTTGTGGCTTTAGGCATCTTGCGCAACTCTTTCAAATAATTGTCCATGCCGTCTATAAGTTGTTGAGGATTTAGATCTGCCCATAAAGTTTTTGCCCACGTATCTCGTGCGATTTGTTGCGCTTTGTACAGCTGAAATAACTCAACCATGGCTTCGTAGTCCCGTTTTGCCGCATGGAAACTTGAATAGTCAGCTGGAGGTAAGTCAAATAACAGCTCGGCATTTGTTAAATCTTGAAGTTTTTGGCTCAGCTCGTTTATTTGTTCTCCATATTCCTATGGATTGACAATGATTAATATTGTTAATAGTTATGCAAAAGAACGATTTCAATAGCAGCATGACGAATACCTCCATTTTTTCCAATCCTGCGTCTAAATCATCGCCACAACTACCAGGACCATCGGCTAAAAATTTGTCGACGAATTGCGCAATGTCTCTTTCAAAGTCATTGATTTCGCATCTAGTCATATCGCAAAATTGATCTTTCGTACTTTCGAGGCTAGTCGATCTGTAAAGAGCACTGAGATATAAAGATTCCCAGTCTTGTTGCAATCGATATGCAATTTTCTCCTCTTCCACTGAGAACTCAACTTTATGAAATCTTAGTATCCGAAAAGTTTCCTGAAATGTAATTGGTCGGTCATTGTCGTTGTTTTCACTCGAGACACGAGAAGTTTTAGTATTAATACTTGAAACTTTGAGTATTCAACTTCTACTCCAATGGCCGAACTCTTTATTTGACTGATACATTGCATGACGAGCTTGAATCGTTCGAGACCATTGATCACGAGTTCGATGTTATTCTTTAATTGCTCGATATTATTTTTCAACTCGTTCATCGCCTGTGTCATCTGAGTAAGTAAAAAATTAGCCAAAACTTGCTTCCATTCTCTGGCATGACGCTTAATCTCTTCGAGCAACTGACAAAGATTGATCCTTAAAGTTCGAAATTATTATTAATTAATGTGCCATCGTATAAAGGAAAAACTTCGTTGCAGATGGTATGTACCTAATGCTAAAGATGTCGTAGTAATTATCAATGTCATCCAACTCACTGATTATAGAATCGTAAAAAGTAAATTTTTCGTCGTATTGTTGCAAAGTTGGATTTGCCGCTACAAATTTCTCGCAAACTAAAGTTTTGTCCAGTGACCATAAATTACTATAGTGCTTCCACTTGTAAAGGTAACGCCAGCAATCGTGAGATAACTTGTGCCCCGCGTCTTGTAAAGCAAAAATCAAATCATTTATGCCCTGAAAGAGCAAATAAACAAAATGATAATCAGAAAATAATACACTTGCGCTTTAATTGGGCAAACCTGAACGCCCATCACATCTTCGAAAAAGCTAAATGTAGTCATTGCATCGCTCTGCTGCAAAGAATTACTACAGGACTCCAGACAAGTTCCGGACATCCATCTCGGAAAGATTTTAAGTCTCTCCATGAGATCCTTCACATCGCGTAGTATTATAGTATAAATGTCACCTACGGATGGTTTGAGCACCGCTTCGGATGCAAATAATGCAGCGTCCACGTAAAATAGCGGTTCATTAGTAAGCAGCAGTTGCTTCAAATGCTGCAGATTTTTGAGAAAGCATCTGTAACGTGTTTACAATAATAATTAGTAAAATTTCACGTGAAAGTGATGCACTCGCGTTCATTATTTACGCTGTTAGCGTGGTAAAAACTTTTTGCTCGTAATACTGATAATGGAGTGCCATTGCTAAACTTTTTCCACTGGTAGTTGCTTCTACCAGAGTTTCGAGCTTCACGAGCATTGGGTTTATTGATTGATAGCATTTCAGCATTCTACCGATAGATTGCGTTCTTTTTTTTTCAAGATCACTGAAAAAATCCTAGAAAAACGACAATTTCGAAATCATCATTACAGATCTAATACATGCCGTTAATATTGTGCAGTTTTTTTCTCGATGATAAGTTCTTCGGGCTCATATTAAAGTATGTACTCGTAGAATGGATTTTGATATATGTATACATCTGATCAACTGTAACAATATAGAATAGATTATAGGAAATTGTTTGGGATACGTACTTTACACGACTGCAATTCGTATAAATCATCGCTTGTTGCGAAAAGATTGCAGCATCCAAGTTCCTGCGAAATATGTGAATCAAGGTCAAGTCGGGTTTGCTTGATTTGCCTGACTATTGAGCTAAGGTTCTCGAGTAGTTTACTGCAAGTGTCCGCGTAATTGGCCACGCCAAGAGAATACCAATTCAATCGAGTTAATCCTGGCTGAATATGTTTTTGAACGGTGTCGAGTCTTTGGCGCAGTAGCTTCATCTGCAAGTTCAGTACAGTTTTCAATATTGCGAGACTGTTATCGGATGAATATAGCTACGTGATTACCGTGGGATCGTCCAAATTTCCAATCATCTCGTTATACTGATTAATCATTTTCTTGACCGCCCTGCAATCAACGTGTAGTCTATTCTTCTGAATGCCAACTTCTCGTATAAACACGGGTAACGTGAATCCCAAATGTTCCAATAACTCAGACTGCGCATGGTTTTTATATTATTACTCATAATTACTAGACAACTAATATGGCTGTCGGGTCGATTACCTCGTGAATGATATCGAAAATTTCATTATCAAAATTAACGAACAACTCTGTACGATTTTGAAGTAACATTGCGGCACACGCTAGTTCCGTACTGTCAGTGACGCAAGATGTTTTGCTCTTAATGCTCTTTACTTGATCGGACTTCCCCTGAAATTTGGCTTGGATCGTCATACTTTTTGACGTCGTGTCAGTCTTGATGCTGAAACTCATTGATTTTTTCGAATCTGAAAGTAATAGAACCAATGGACAATGAAAGATTTACGATGTTTCTCAACTCGCAATGTACCTAAAAACTAACCGATAGGTGATTTATGGTTAATCGAAGGATTTAACCTTCCTTCATCGCGCTGATTGGCTACAGATATTGGACGTGATAACGTAGAGCCGCTATCGACGTCTCCTTTCAACATACTCATTTTCGGAAATTTCTTTTGTGTTCTACGAGTCTTTGCTGAAAATAATATAATAAAATAATAAGCGAGCAGCTTTCGTTATGCCAACTCATTCAATGAACGTTTACAATCGACTGCGTTCTCATGCGATCGGAGTGCTAGAATACTTTTCTTCATGACATTCTGTAGCGTTCTCTGAGCCTCGGCAATAAATCTGGTAAAATGGATGTTCTCAAACTGCTTCGTCTGCTTGGCCACGGCAGCGTATTGTTCCGATATATAAACTTTCAGCTCGCTATTGTCGAGTTCTGCAACTTGCTTAAATGTTTTCACGGAACCGTCTAGTCTATGAAACAAATTGCGCTCCCAGTATATTGCTCCGGCGACAGGTAAATGGTCTCGTAGCAAAGGCGGATTAGCTTTTCCTATTTGAAACGCCAAACACCGTATTAATTTACTGAAAATTATAACGAATCAAGTGATCTCACCTTTATGGAACAACTCTTCAACTTCGTCAATTTCCCTACCGAACTGCTGCATAATCAAATCAAATTTCATAGACAATCGTTCGTGCACAGCGTCTCTCGTCTGCATGTTTCGAAACTTAATTAACATAGTCAAGGCATCTTCGGCATTAATGAGAGAGGCAAAGCACTCGTCGATGAAAATCTTAGCCTCGATTTCAAGCCTTGCAACCTCAGCTCGGAACCACGACATGGTAGCTTCCCAACTTTCTCGATTGTATTCATTGAACGCATCGACCTCGGCGTTGCGAATAGGGCCAAGTAATTGTGTAACTCGCTCTATAATACTGTCGATACGAGCCGGATCATCTACGATAGATTTGAGCTCTTCTCCGAAGATGTTGTAAAAGTCGCGTAGTACGCTAGCGACCTCGTGTAAGTTAGCGCTCACCTGTGAGCAGTTATTTGGATGAAAAAAAGGCAGAATCTAATTAATCATTTTAAATTATCAAATCACCAATGCAAGATAATCCGTCTCTTTGAATAGACGCTGTTGGTCAAATTCCCATCGCGCACCTTTACCCGAGAGCTCAATGTTGAGACGAGTGCTTAAATATGCTTCTTTCCAAAGTTTCAACATTTCGTGGGCGGAAATCGTCTTTTCTAAAATCTGTTCCACGCTATTTCTATCGATAATTGTAATTTGAAAACGTTAACCTTTGCGCATTTTAATGCTTCAAATTTGAATTCTAAGGATCAAGATTAACGTCGGAAAGCTCCTATTTTGGCATATTTTATGCTTATTTTTTGCAGGGCTTTCAACCCCAGTTCAGAAATTTTATTAGCGATGAACTGAGCTCGATTATCACAGAATTCAAATTTGAGACCAGATTAAAGTTGTAAATAACGTTTTATTTATTACCTAATTGAAAAATATCACGAAAAAAAAAAAAAAATTGCGGTATTATAATGAACCCAACCCAAGCCCAACCCCGTTTAACATTTATTAATTTATTTAAAGATACGGGTAAACACCATTTATTAGTTAAGGAAAGAATAACATTTCAAATATATAATAAGCGATATATTGGCGATTGGCGGTTGTATAAGCTTTTTAAAAAGTTTATCACTTGAATGATTTTTTACTCACTCGAACAAATCCCTGATGGCTAAATTTTTGATGACGGTCTGCTTCAATTGCCATGATATTCGCTCCAACAACGTGACCATACGCTCTTCGGTCGAGTAATACTTGGACAGAACCCAAATCATTCTTAAATGTTCGTAGATGGACGGGATGATATTTGAGATTACTTGGAAGGAATCGCTCGTCGCCACAATCTGCAACGTCTCAAGTACATCGTAAAAACGATCGTATATGGAAAAAGTCCACGTCAAACGTTAAATGTCAAACCTTAAACTGGCGCAAAACAGTGGATAAAAATTTGTTATTTTCCTTGGCCTCGGCGTAGCCATTGTTGAGCTCGCGAGCGAAATATGCAAATCCAGTAGCCACAGCCGAATGGCCGCTATTGAGAACGTCGAGTACCCGCATAACTGCTGCCGAGTGGAGCTGTTCAACGAGCACGGACAAACTGTGCTCGCGCTCGTGCCAATAGGTCAGCTCGGCCAATGGTCCCTGGTGATTAGCCTCTGGTGTCTTCGACAGGGAACTTTCCAGGACCTTTCTGATGCGTTTCTCCCAAGACATGACCAACTCTTCGAGATGCCCGATGTACATGGCATCGCTCGAATCGGTGCTTTCCGGAACAATGGTATCGGGAATGTACAACGAGGCTTCTGCCGCCTCCATGTGATCTATGGTCCTACAGCGAGTAGAACAGCATCGATTACCGGATATTTGCGAGTGCCAAGTATTTTGGTGGCAGTACCATGCGACCGATTCAATAAGATTAGTCAAATATTCCGTAAGTTCTTTTACACTCGGCTCCACGTCTCTGTCCCGACTGCCGGTGCGACTCTCGCTCGCCGCTCGTTCAGTAAGCAGAGACACCTGGCGCATGCTTGACGGCGCTACGAATGCAGTACCCTGCCAAATACCCAGCAAACAAGATACAGAACCGCTACTGCAATAAATCTCGACGTACCTGTGATTTTAAAAGATTGCACAGAGTAGCAGCGGCTCGCTCCATTCCCGGAGTTTCCGTCATCCAAGTCAGTGAGTTACGAAGAGCTTTATCCCGAGCAGCTTCTGGGCCCCTGAACTCCTTCTTCACCAGCGGCAAAAACACTTGCTGCAGTATCTGGTCCATAGCGAATAAATATTTGCCGCGCAGAAGCGACCCAGCGATGACGTATCGTGGCATTTCAGCCCAGCATTCTGCTCTTGTCTCAAAGTCGGGAAAGGCCGAGTCACTGATACGCACGAAGTAAATCAGCCGTTGCTCGTCGTTCCTGCTGTCGTGGTCCATTTCGCCGAACAGGCAGTGCAAAACCGGAATCCGCACTGTGCGGTCAACTACTTTCTGTATTATAAAAGCGGATCAAATCTCAAGACTTTTTATGATCCTGAGCGAGTTCAATGTGACGCTTACGCACCCTTGTTAAAATGTAGTTGTCCTCTTCGCCGGCCGGTGGAACGAAACTCGCTGCTGGCTCGTCTTCAAATAACAATTATTTTATAGAAAAGTTAGTGTCACAGTAAACTGCGAGCAATAATAAAGAAAATTTAAAAGAAACTAATATATACGCGAATGACTGACTTTGATCTTTCATCGTGAGTTCGGAAGCTTCATCGCTTAATTTCTCGCCATATTCGTTATCGGCAAACTGCTCGTCGCCCTCCTCCGTGTCACTAGCGCCGGCTGCACTGGTCGACTGTAATGCTGTCGATGACTCTGCGGCATTATCCGATACAATAGCTTCGTCCGATTTGGCTGATGGATCGTCACCATTCGATTTTCCCTTTCCGCCGATGATTTTCTTCGCTTTCTTCTCAGCGATCTTCTTCCCAGCAGCAGGCTTGCCTTGCTTTTTCCGCTTATCTGCGTGATATTTCATTAACTGGGTTTATCGTGAAAAACTTTATGACATATATTTTCGTTTTTTGCAATTCAGCAAAATCATCTGTAATCTGTATTATATTACCATCTGGTGCACTTTTTACAAGTCTTTGCGATTTGACCTGTGCTGCAAACGATCCCATTACTGCTATTTTTTTACGACCTGACTTGCAATAGTGTGAAACAGTTGTAATTTTTTACAAAATGAACTTTCTTGTAGTTTAATGTGTGCACTGTAATATGATTAATGGAGTACGTAGCCATTCACCTTCTTCCCAAACAGCGACTTCTTCTTGAACTATCTCGTCTCGAAAGGTTTTGTAAAAGAATACTTGTTTCTTTTTAAGATCGGCCACCTCTTCTCCATAAGTGTCCGAGTTTAAGAATTCGACAAGTTTTTTTCTATAAATGTCGTTCTGAAGCGCCGAAATTAATAGTTTTCATTTCGTCAATAATGTTATTTTTGAAAAGAAGATTAAACTTACATATATGAGATTGTCGAATAGATTACGACTATCATCACCAAGATCTAGGAAACTCAAAACTTTTTCTCTTATCCAATCGATCCTATATTATAAGGGTCAGTTACATTTTAAAAAAGAGCACTGTCAGTCAATGAATATTACTAAAAAAATCAATTGATCAAAACTTACTTTTTGGAGTTCAAAATAATCAATAAATTATGATTATGTTTAATTAACCTTGTTGTTAAATGCAATTATTTTATTTATTATTTTATAGAAATATCAAAGCTCAATAGAGATATCATATTACAAACAGAATAAAAAAAAGACTAATATGAAGTTAGATTCTTTAGAGGAACATGATCTCAATACCTATAATCTCCTGAAAAAAATGGTTGTGCTGCAAATGATGTTTCGCTCTTCGAACCAGGTACTTCATACTCTAAAAAACTGTCAGTCGTAGATGCTTTTTCAAACTCTTGCCACTCTGACATTGTTGCACACTGATGTGATTGTGACGCTTACACTGAAAGCTCAATCATCAAGGCAGTAATATTATATCGTTAGCTGCAGTAGCGATCGAAACCAACGTATGCTTACGTTTCCATGGCACCACAAACTTTCCTCTGAGCCGTCAAGTTTCATATTCGCGTGGATAAAAGCAAGCGGCTTCATTACGGCAAGCGACATTACGTATAATTTTTTTTATTTTGTATTAATGAAATTCACGATAGCCTTAAGTAAATTGGGTGCTACTGACAATATACTTAGATTATCTCAATCTGGCAGCGGATTTATCAAATGTATTCGGTTCTCGAACGAGAAAAGACGTGATATTAAAATCTCCAAAAAAATTAAAAATTGAGGAAAATTATTTACTATTAACATTATATTTAGATCTTGTTAATTTGAAGAAGGAGCGACAATATACGCTCGGTTTTTCATTTAAATAATTAAAAATCTCAAGAAAATTAATTGCTACTGACAATATATTTCGATCTTTTCAGTTTGAATGCGGCATCGACAAAATGCACATAAATCAGTTTTAGAACGACACGATTCAAAAATCCCAAGAGAAATAGGAACTATTGAGATTATACTCAGATCTTGCCAGGTTGGAAATGGAATAGACAATGTGCACTTCGGTTTCAATTTAAATAATCAAAAATCCTAAGAAACTTAAGTTTTACTGGCAATGTACTTGTATTTCGATCTTTGAAGTTTGAAAATAGGATTTTTGAAAACTTTTAGCAAATTGAGTACTACTGATATGAATTTTACATCTCATTTTGTAAGTGGAATTGATACAATGCACTTGGTTTTCAATTTAAATATCCAAACATCTTAAGAAAACTGAGTGCTACCGATGTGAAACACTTAGTTTTCCATTTAAACTATCAATAATTCCAAAAAAATTAGGTATTACATCATACTTTTATCTTCTCGGTCAATAAAACGAATTCATAATATGCACACGTATTATCACATTAAGCCTATTCTTAGTCTAGAAGCAGAATAATTCATCGAATTTACTCGAGTTTTCAACAATATCTGATACTAAAATTATATTTTCTCAATCTGAGAACAGAATTTTATTGATCATATTTTTAAGATTCACTGACTGTACCAACCAACCCTTATTTAATTTTATGCAAATCGAAGCCAAATCCGCCAAATATATCATTCTTGCTGTGTGGTTATTGTCGTGAATGACAATGCCGATTTTATATTTTTCTATGTGTAGGGTGAGTGTCCCTATTATACAGGCCCCCACCCTCTATCAATTTATAAGCAAAATAATTCGTTTGACATTAATCTATGCAACCTAGTTAATGGATCGAAACTTGTTTCGTGTCAGACAAAAATATCAAATATATTTATTTGACAAAAGTGTAAAAATGACCGGATATATAGTCGTATTCGACTTTTTTTTTAAGACGACCAATTACTGTCCATAAAGCAAATGCAAATAAGGAACGTTTTTTCTATTTCTTTCAGTTGTGTAACCTTTTTTGATATTGTATTTTATGTTCTATTGTAAGTTTATAAATTGAATAAATAGCTTAAAATGCCGATAATTAGTACATGGATTTCTTTATAAGCAGCTGGTAATTGGGACATACTATAAATGTGTGTGTGTGTGTGTGTGTACATAAATAAATGGTCGCATATTTTACTGATTACGCTTTGTACCGTGAGCTACTAGCAGTAGCAGTGTACATAGTGCAGTACGAGCAATATGATGCGAGATTGCGAGCTAAGCTCAGCGTTGTAAACCGTCATGCTGTCGGCATAAGCACTGAAATAGCCTATAACTAAGTCTAAATCTTCAGCCTTACTAGTACTTGAGTAGGTGGTTATATGAGTGATATAAGTATAATATATATTTTTATAATCAAAAAATTGGCTCAATGGCTATTTATTTTCAGTTTCAGATCAATTATCATATTTACCTACAATGCTTTCATTCATTTCCATCTCTTAACATATTTATACTATAGTAAAATTATTGAACGATTCAGTCACCTGTCATATTACTCTCATAACTTTTAAAATATATTTATAATCTCAAAATTTTGTTAATAATAGGTCAGCGTAATTGCCGATCTAAATTTTATTAAGATAATATTACAGAACTCTACATTTTGATAAGATATCGTCTATAAAATTTTAAATAACCTCAACATATAAAAATATTCAAATATATAAATACTTTATCCTACTTAATAATTATGAAATAATGATGAATCTGAATAAGTGCGATGTATTTTTGTGAAAATTACATAAATGTATAATTGATATTCCAGGGGATGACAAGCCATATTTTTGGTATTGGTCTAGGCCTTTTTGTGATACTAACACTCTGGATATCAGCTGGACTGATTTTTCTTGTGTCACTGAGAATAGAAAAGAGGATAGGAGTGGTTGCTCTTGCCATAGCTGCATTAGTTACAGTAATATTAGTTAGTGTTCCTCGAGCTCCTCAATATCTTATTGTTCATGAAAATAAGGTGCATATTCTCTAATATTTTTTAGTTAATAATTATATTCCTTCTTAGATTACTCTCAAATGTAATATGTCATTTGAATTTATTTATTATTATTTTTATTGTTACTTAAGAATATATTATTATTGAATATATTATGTTATTGAATATTGTTAAATTTTCTAGCCATATGACCATTTCTTTATTTGGCGCATGATTCTTTTGATTTTACTGGTGGCATCGTCAATAATTGGATTAATAGGGTACATAAAATTTGGATTAATGGATATTGCAAAGCCTCAAAGAATTAAGAAGTGGATCCTTTAAACTACCTTGCTGAGATATTAAGGTTGCTTTTAGTTTAGACAGCTTGTTTATCTATCACGTGGTAATTTCAAGAGATCAGAGAAAAAATGCTGTCTACTGCAAAAATTTGTTTGCAACTTTCTTTGCGTGCACTTTCATTATCAAGCCAAAGAAATAAAACATTTCAGATAAATGACAATACTGAATTTGTAGATAAAGTTATGAATAGTCAAGTACCAGTTATAGTAAATTTTCATGCAGAATGGTGTGATCCATGCAAGATTCTCACTCCTAAATTAACAGAACTGATTGAACCTATGACAGAATTAAACTTAGCCATAGTGAATGTAGAATTGAATCCAGAGTTAGTTCACACATTCGAAGTGAAAGCAGTCCCTGCTGTTATAGCTGTATCTAATGGCCTAGTAGTTGATAAATTCATTGGTTTGGTAGATTCTAATATGATTGACAGTTTGATTAAAAAATTAACAAACAATAATTCAAATACATCTAATACATGAAATGAATGAATTGTATAACTTTATTTTATACAAAAAATGTCAATCGTTTACCAATTGGATATATATTGATTGAATTTGCACTAAATTACATCCTAGATTTTTCAAAATCAAAATAACTAGGACTACACAACTGTATAGTTAAAATATTTCGTATTAATTATTTTTATATGATTTTTTGTATTTTGATTAATCATTTGGCTATTTCACTATCTTAATCAGACCAACCTTAAATAAAATAATTTTATGTGAACTGTAAAATAAATTATACAAAATAAATTATACAAAATAAATGATACAAAATAATCTAGTTTTATTTATTACATTTTAATACTTCACATTACATTACATGATTTTAATATATGCTAATGTTTTCTTCCATTTTTTAAATATTTGCCTTGTCTAAACGTAAACTTTAAGTCCCATTTTAAGATTTCCAAAACTTTTTTTTACTATTTTTAATTAAAAACTGAGTGCATTACCGTTTAAATATAATTTATCTGCATTTTTTTATACCAAACGAGTTTTGTTTATATTGCTAAACGATATATAATCCGAAAAATTAAAACGAAACGATCTTATTGAGTATACAAGGCACAAAAAATAATTCTGTTTATTTTTTTGTACTATGAATATGAAAATTTAGTTTGTGTCTACAAACTGTTGAGCGAGGAGTTCGCGTGTGCATAACATCCCCGTTATGATATAGTTACTGAGTACTGGGATTTCCGCACATGCGGTGTAAGTTGAATATCAAGATAATTGACCTATCGCAGTTTAGGTTATTTCTCTAAACATTTTGCGCCCGAAGTATTCTCCCGTGAGATAATCTCTAAATTTTTCAATGGAGACGAAAAAAAAATAAAAAATTTTAAATATTATTAAATTCAAATGTCAATAGTTTCGTTGACAGATTTGAAAATTTCCCTTTACATTCAAAAATGTATTCACAATGGAAATGACGAATGTCAATAAATGTTAAACATTAGTTTCAAATAAGTCTATTTACAATTATTCAATTGAGAAAGAACATATTATTACATATCGACCCATATATGATGTCAACGTGCGCTCAACGGAGTAGTTAAATTGTAATATTTCATTTTATGTCTATTTTTTTACAAATTCGTGGCATTAAAAATAGCTTAAGAAAAGTAAGAAAAGTGTACAAAATAACAGTGTTTAAGCTATTTACATCTTTCAAAAACAAATTAACCAATATACAAACGTATAATTACTCTATGCTCTTTTTTTTCTCTGCACGATAATACATTTATTTTTTATATTTGTTTATTGTGTTATTTATTTTTTCAAAATAATACAGCACACTATTTAATTTATATTTACTGCAAGTTAGTTAAACAAAAATCTTTTTTCTTCTTCCCACATAACGATAATGCATGTTTCATTGAAAGTGATGATTTGATATAAACTTTTATAATGTTTTCCGGTAACGGTAATTGAATTGTCTATGCACCTTGCAACTAACCAGTAACTTAAACGTCAAAATTAAGTACATGAAGTTACATAGTGTAGCAACAGCGTAACGGATCATATGCGATGGCATTAAACTGATTGGGAATCTGGTAATTTTTGGGAGACTAATAACTCGAACAGGAATAGAAATTTTAAATAAACTCAAATCATCAAAAAGATTATTAAATGTGCGCGTTATCTTTTTGAAAATATTATTTTATGTATACACATATCGTAGCCGGACGAGAATTAGAAAATAAAATTAAAAGATAATAAAAAAATTAGACCTCGGCTCCGAGATCCCGTACGCCTTGTTCGGCAATAGGCACATACTTGTCTTCGACCTTTACGAGGAGAATAATTTTGTCGACGTGAGAACGACGGTTTGGATCGCGATGATTCGGTAACCAACGGTGCACCACGCAACCCTCCATACCACGCTCTGGAACCCAATGTTGCCAGCCGGAGCGTCCACCCATTTGACGCATTTTCTCATCTGGCCAAATCACATCAATACGTCTTCCCAGATTTATAGCGTCGAAAACGTGATTCGGATCCATTATCTGTCGATTGTTGTGAGTAGCGTCAATTGAAAGCGATCGATTGAATAGAACCAAAATAGGGTAAAAGCAGCAAAGCACTCACTCGAACTCTTTGCAAGACTTCGTCTTTGTCAAGTTTGATTCCGAGATGGGCGACTGGTTGGTTGCTGAAACTAGTCTCGCTTTTAGGTTCGGACTTCACATCACCACTGCTTAACAAACCAGCTAGACTGGCGAGCGTGGAACTAGTCGGCTTGCCCACAGAAGCTAGCGAACCTCTGCAGTTGCCTGCGGCGGAGCTAGTATTGGCCCCCCGTCCAAGCGAACTCCGACCTGCTACGCTCGAGATACCTCCAACGTGGCAGCCTGACTCCATCGATTGCGAGCCCGAAGTGTTGTGACCTGACTGGCTGTAGGCTACAGGGCAGGTATACGCAAAGATTGAATACATATCCTATAACTTCACGTGTTACTCCGACATCCTTACCCGAATGAACATTGTACGTGGTCATGGCGTAAATTCCATCATTACCAAATCCGCCGTCGTCCTGCGATCCTGTGCCACCGGACGAACATCCTTGACCGCATCTTCTCCTCACCCTGTTTTATAACGAGATTGATTAGCAAGCATGAATGACACCGATATCGTTCGTTCAGAAAATAACTAAGGGCATTCAGACCTTCGCCATAAATTTAACGCATTATTTTTTATGGCTGCGAGACTGAGCGGGCCACCAGTGATAGAACATAGTTGTTCGTTGGTTTCGGCATAACTGGTGGTCAAAGGTGACACATAGATTGGATAACCAATGGGTTGGTCGCACGAGCTATTAATGATATTCCGCAGAGCTTGTTTCGCATTCTGGATAGACCCGCGCTCTGGATTACGATTGCGCAGATACACCTAAGGGCATTCCATATCAGCAGAATGTATTATTACATTTCAAGGTTGTTACAACGAACCAGCTCTTGTTGCTGTCCAGCCCACAGTCCACGAACACATTCACGATTCATCTTGATCACACGGAAACTGAGGAAGCGCTTGTTCAGCATGATGACCTTGTACTCGTCAATGCCGTCGTCCAGTACGTGCCTAAACATGGTTGCAATGCAGTTTATCGGCGATTGATTATCAAGTCGTGATTGATTATCAATACATACCTAAGGGCTAAAAGACTAGGTGCACCGCTAAGTATGGCATTTCTCCAGAGAGGATCTGCCTCGTGGCTGATGACGAGATTGCGATCATGATTGTCGATGGCATCGTAAAGGGCCGGTGCCTCCTCGTAAGTGTCGGGACTCATAAAATGATCCTGGTGGAGCTTGAGAGCCATCCTCACGCCCTTGGCTACTACGCTGCGCAGTAAATCAACGTCATGTAGGACCCACTCGTCGCGTACGGACGTGATACGAAAATCTCCTAAAAGCAGAGGCATCGAAACAAGCTTCTGGTGAGAAAGTGCTACCCTTATGTTGCAATCGCAAGTGGAACTGCGCGGCCGACCTTTAAATAATGCGTGCAAGCCGTAGAGGAAGAATTCGACGCTGGACACCGTATTATGAGAAGCTGCACCTAGGACACGTCTCCCCAGCAAGCTTAAAGCCAAGCACAGCGAGACGAGGCACGAGTCTCGCGATCTCTCGAGTGTCTGCAAGAGGAATCACAAGAGATTAATTTGTAGGTCGTAATAGTTTGCCGCCGATTGTTACGCCATTGAGTAAGCTGAATCAACCTTGTCCTGTTTGGTAGCGCAAAACTGTATCCAGTCAAGGTATACGTTGCAAAAACTGCTTCTGGTAATACCGCTTGCCCTAAAGTCAAAGTCCTCGTCGATGTTCATATTGAACACTGGGTCCAGATCCACAAAGTTCTTTTCCGAAGTCAGCTTCAGTGCCTCCACGATTTCCTGATTGTCCAGCCAGTGTTTGAGCTTGCCCGACTTGAGTACATAAAAGACGATGCTCTTCACATAGTAGGTGACCAGAACTTTTCTAAAGTCAAAGACTTGGAGCATTGAACCGGCGGAGTTATCGGATATCGAGTAGCCCTCTAAAACATATTTTGCACTGGCCACTTCCCAAGCTAACCATCGTTGACTGTAAGGTAAAATCGCCAGGTAAATCGGCTTCATATTGTGCTGTTTGGCATCGGTATACCTAAAGGCAGCATTAACGCTGAGCAGGTGAGAAAAGTGGCCCATTTCGCAGCAGCAGCAATTGTCGTTGTCCTCAATGCCCTCAGAAATGGCTTCGACCTCTCTCTGTTGGCAGTAGGTGCCACGAAACTCCAAGCCACGCAACTGAAAGGTGACGAGGCCGTTGCCCAGCTGAATCACGTGCACGAGGCAGTTGAGGTAGTCGGAGGCCAGCAGGAAGCAGTCGCCCTGCTCCACGTTACCCCAGCGACCTAGCGCCAAGTCCCCGTAAAGGCTGTGCTGTAGCGAGCGAGTTAGTTGCTCGTAGAATATCGAGTTGAGGTTGTTATCATCCGCCCCGAGATTGCGCTCCAGGTGTAGCGACATACGGGTGTTAGAGTGGTCCACCCTGCGGTAATGGTGGCAAGTACAGGTACGGCATTGGAGGCCCGAGCGAGCTTCGCTCATTCGTTCGAATTATGGACTTGTTTTACCTTCTAGTCTTGTAATCCCTCTCCCAGAACTTGACTGGTCGCACGTAGGAGGTAACGAAAATGGCGCTGCCCAGCAAGGGGTTGAGCGGTGTGCTCAGCAGAGCGGATATGGCCGCCTGGAGGAAGAGCATAGCCGAGTGCGGTACGGAAAATGGCTGGGCGAAGGCGTGGAAGGCGCTGCCCCAGGTGATCTGCCACGGCGCAATGTAGGTGACGATGAAGCGGATCTTCAGCAGCAACTCGTGCACTTTGGCGAAGACGATGGCCATGACGAAGTAATCGAGAAGGAAGGTCTCGCTAAGCTCGCGAAAATCCCTGCAGAAGAGCAGCACAGCGAACACGAGCACGAGGTAGCGCGTACTCGAGTCCGAGTAAGCTGAGCGCAGCGACTTCAAGCCACACACAACCACCACGAGGGTGCCCAAGCTTGGCCCAAACTTGTGGCAGATCTTGGGCGAGAACTCGGTCAGTGCTCCGAGGAATACTAACGGGTAAAGCACATTGCGCTCGAAGAAGCATAGATACACGTAGATCTTTTCAAACCACATTATACGAACGGGCTCCCGCACTGCAACAGATGCCGGACAGAGCGTTAATGACCGTGCATTTCTCGTGAATTTCTCCACCAACTTACCTTCGAATTGCGAGTGCTCGAAGCTGCGCAGTACGGGCCGTGCGAGGCATAGCCAGGGCAACTGCTTCCTCAGCTCCGGCAATACGTAGTGCAGCAGTAAACCGAAAAAGCCGGTGAAGGCCCACAGCACTGGATTGATTTCCGGCTGCAGAGCACTGAATACGGTCGAAGAGTGGATGCCGAAAGATAGTATACCGATAACCGAGCACGCGATCAAGTCGTTTTTTAACCTAGCTTTTACCGTGGAGCGCAACTTTTGGGGCAATGGATCGAACAGTTCCGAGTCCGACATCTGCTGCTCGCCTACAACGATCTTCATGTCCTTTTTCTTTTTCGACGCGAGCTGCTGTCGCTGCTGCTGTTGTTTGTTGCGCTTGTGCAGCTGCTGTTTGTTCGAATTCTCAATAACTTGCTGCTGCCCTTGCTTCTCCTCCACTAATACCTCTGGGGGCCACAAATTGGTCTTAACTATATCCCATATGACGCTCGGATCTGAGGATGACCTTGAAAGATGGTATGAGATGGCCACGAGCAAGCCCACGAAAATCGAAAAGAGTATATGCTGTGAAGACTTGGGCTCCATAAGGGCTCCGTAAGCGAAGCCGTAGAGGGTCATTACCGTAACGATACTTCGACAAAGGCAATAAACCGATGATGTGAGACTGGTTGTGGCGTTGCCGCCAAGCATGTGGATATCGATGTGCTCGCACAAGTACATGAGAAAAGTGTTGATCTGAGGAAAGAGGCCTAACGAGAAAACTATCGGGAAACAGAGTAAGAAAATCAGTAGAACATTGCGAGTCTGTGCGAGAACGTTGCAGTCGAGCACTTGCATCCCGTAGATCCGAAAATCTGAGTCCTTAAAGGCATCATTCTTCAAGAACAAGTCCAGAATCAAGATCAAGCTTGCCGTCAGAATGAAATAAATAGGCCTGCGAACGTAAAGTGATATTTAACTGATAAGCACACTCGGGCGCGAAATATTAATTCGTCCCTTACCTTGAGAAAACGACAATACGGTTGAAGCCATGAGTAGGTGAAGCGGCATCCGGCTGTACGGACTTTAACAGAGAATATTGACATCCGGCGGTCACAAAGCAGAATAGAAACGCAAAAATGTCCCTGTAAAATTGCTGTTGAAGAATCAATAACCCAAGTCCAGCGACGGCAACGGCTAGTATTGTCGCTATCACGGTCTCTACAGCAGTTAGATTGCGATCCAATAGAGCCAACAACGACAGTCGATCGAACCGAATCTTAACGTGTGGCAAGCTACCAATCTTCCACTTGTAATAGTGACGCGTTGATTTCAGTTTTAGTTGACTAGGATCATCGAAATTAATGAATTCGTTGATGAAGCGGTTCCACGAGAGATTTTCTTGATGCATCGGCAACGCTATTACGGGTATCTACGACACACGAGCAACAGCAGACGTCAGTACCCATAATCATTTTGTGTGTTTTTAAATGTTAATGGATCACCTGATTGCCCTGGGCATCAATGTTCGATCCGTTGGTGGATGATCCATTGGCCGAGTCGAGATTGCCGAGCAGACTTTGTAGTCGGCGGTTTCGGTCAGTGAGGGAGTCCATGAGCAGCTGGCGAAAGGGCGGTATTCGCTGGCCGACGGTAGCGTCGCTGATACCAGGAGCAACGGCCAAAGCTGCTTGGTGCGAGCTCGGACCGAGCTCGAAACCAAGAGCGCCCGACACGCCGTGGGTGTTCTGTGCCTTCAAAGCCACTGTCGCCACGGCTGTCCCCTGCGCCCCAACTGCAGCCGTAGCCGCTGCTGGTGCGGTAGCTATGCCCATTCCTGCCGTAGTTGCCGCAGATCCACTGACGTTCACTGGAAATTTGAGCATTCAGATGCTGATTACAGTTCGTGGGACAAGGCTATAGTCAGGAAGGGCGATTCGTACCAGCTGAGTTGAGCGACAAGCTGCTGCAACTGTTGCTGGACATGTTTGGTAACTGGCTGTCTTGCAATCCGTAACTCGCCTCGTAACGAGTGCTCTGATGACTAAGATGCTGGCGAATCAGGTTATTGATGAGTTTCTCGGTGTGCTCAAGACTAGGCAGGGCTGGCCTGTTGCTGCTGCTGGTGCTGCCACCGCTGACTTGCGTCGGGAACATTAACGCGGGATTCTGGATTGACGCTTGCATGTCGATCAGGGGACTGTTTCCACTAGGGCTGTGCTGGTAGACGGCGCTTGCAAAGCCAGAACTACTGGTTGCGGTAGCGGCAGTGGTGACGGCAGCAGCGGCTGCGGCGGCTGCAGCGGCCGCTGTTGCTGCTTTCTCATCATAAGTATAGGCCAACCATCTACCCGAATCATCTCGGAAGTAATGTACAGAGTCTTCAGGCGTCTCCGGATTAGTAGTGATGTGATAAAGGAAGCGCGTTAGCGTTATGAATTCTTGGTCTTGCTGGTGCTGCAAAAATTGTGAGAGGATAGGTTCAGATACCATTAGAAAGGACTGGCTAATCAGCAACGGGCAATACCGAGTGGGACTGATTGCTGGTAAGGCTGGCACTTGTACGTGGTCGCCGCTTGGTTCGACCGGATCTGTGAAGACGCTTGTAACGGGATCGAGGCAGACGCACGTCGTTGCCAGATGGTCTAATCAACCTGAGCTCCTGTGACTGCTGCTGCGACTCGTGAATGTTGCCGTTCACAGTTGTCCTCAGTGAATGGCTATTGAGCAGAGCTGCAAGCAAGGATGGCATAGGATTGGGCAACAAACCGCCACCAATGTTTATCTCGACAGTAGAGCCACCGCCAACGCCTTGTGTTTCGCATTCCTGCTCGCGTTCGAGTTCCAGCGGCGGCAGCAGCGGTGGCTGCTGCTGCAGTTGCTGTTGCTGTTGCTGATGGTGACCATGGTAACCGTGATGATGATATTGGTGATGGTGATGTTGCTGCTGCTGCTTCGTCGCTTGACGCGTGACCACTCGATTATTACCCCGGTGGATAACGTCCACACTGAAAAAGAAGAGAAAGTGTAAGATGAGCGCTTTGGCAGTAGCGTGCGATGAGACAACTTCTTACTGATTCGGCGCTGAAAAGCCTGTGGTCACGGAGGACAAGTTAGCAGTGGCTGCGGCGGTGACCGTAGCAACTGCGGTAGCGGCATTGGCTCTCTGGCGGCGCTCTCTCGTGGCAGTACTAATCCTTTTCTTGGGCTTCGACGCAAGCTGAAGGCCATCGCCACTCGGCTCCTGAACAACCTCTAGCAGCTGCGATATAGGCGAGAGCGTCAAGTTGCCACTGGCGATGCCCTCCGAGGAACCACCAACAGCGTTGTTTGCCTGGCCCCCCGTGCTGCTGCTGCAATTTTGGTTACAGTTGAAGGCGGAGCGCGATCGGCTTTGCTTGGGTATTGCGCCCTGTTGCCGCTTGCTCTCCACTTCGATGGGCAACAGCTTGCACTTCGCCTCGTTCTCTAGACTAAGGGTCGTGGTGCTAGAGGAACCCGAGTCAGGCTGCTCCTTATTGGCCAGATCTACGAACCACAGCGACAAAATATTATAAACCGTTTTCGTACTTTAATTTGACTCGCAACAATTCGATGGCAACATGCTATTCCCCTTAGCATTACCTAATAACTTTTACTATCAACTTACAATCTGTACTAGCTGTTTGTATACTATCGGAAGCATCAGTATCGTCAGATTTCTGCGAAGTCCATAAAACTGACAACATTAATAAAACGTTTTCTCATCAGTGTCTCAATTCGTTTAATTGCTCTTATACTCATATTTTAAGAGTAGTGCTAATTATTAATGAATATGTGAGAATCAAGTGAAGTCACTTACTTTTGCTCGTCCATGGCTCTCCTTCGCCATTTTCAAAGAGCCAGTCTATGCCAACAATACTGCCAGTATTAACCGAATCATCGCCCTGTTTCAATTTCACTTGCTTCTTGTCTTTGTGTTGATGTTCGTTATCGGATAAATCCCAACTACTTTGGCTTGTATTACTGTATCGTCTTTTGATTGTGGGTTTCGATTCCTCCAGCAGAGCGTCTCTTGAATTAGCTGAATCATTGTCCACGGTCGTGTCTACGATGTATCTGAAATTTTTTTCTCAACTTATAAAATGGGTGATATGAGCGATGATTCGTGCATTACCTTACAAATCTATCATCATTTTCTTGACGATCAAGTAATGGACTATAAGAATCTTGCAACTGAAAGCGCCCAGAACTTTCATTTGTAATTTGCTCATCACTCTGCTCAGCAATTGGATGCACAATTTCAGAGCCACAGCTGAGATATGGCAATAATTGCAGTTGATTACGTTTCAAAGTATTTTGTGGAAGAATCTGTATTGAAAGATAAAAATTTGAATTTGAAAAAGCTAAAACAAACAAACAAGCCTGATTACTACCTTCTTAGCATTGATTGTTTCCAAGCTTTGTGGATACAATGGCAAATTATTGTCATCATTTGAATTTGTCACCTTACTTGAAGCTCTTATTGTCTCAAGACTTTGAGGATGAACAAGTTGCTGATGTGGAGTTTTCGATATAACCTGTTGAACCAACATAAATTATGTTATTGAAACGGACAAGTTTCACGCTGAAGACTCTTGTAATATTATGGTTACTGATTGTTATTAAACATCCACTTTTATTTTTATTATTTACATTTGTTGTTTTTATGAGCTTTTCTTTGTCGTGCGTAATAGACCGTATCTTTGAACCTGCTACTTCTTTTGTAAGCAAGGCTAGAGTCAAACAATATATCTAGACACCAACAGAGCTGCATGGCGAGTCAGCAAATTATTGAATTTAGGAAATTTTTTAAATATTTGGAAAAATCGTACACCATACAAAATTAAACGAAAGTTTAGGCAAGTGGATAAATTTAAAAAATTGTACTTCAATGAAAATCAATCTTTCTTCCAGTAGATATGAAATAAAATGAATTAACAATTCAAGCATAATTACTAAAGCTTATTTAAAACAGAATCGTGTTGTAAAAAATTAAAAATATTCTCAGTTATTTCGAATTATCTTTAATTTTAATCCTAATTTTATTATTTCATTACTGAAATTTATGAATACAAGGCTAAAATAATTCCAGATAGCTATTACAGGAGAATGATTTTAATGAAACTCTGAGAAACTATTTCTTATAAAAAATAAAAATACTCGTGTTTCTCGATCTTGTCTTATCAAGATCTTTCTTTACAAGAAAACTATAAAAAAAATAAAATAGTTAAACTTATTTTTCTTAAGGAATATATTCCGCAAGTTCCATTAAAATCATTGAAATCGGTTCTAAGTAATTGTTTGGTGACATTACTATCGACTATAATCACAGTAGTGTATGAAGTATCTTTACAACTACAGTAAATCTGATAATTATATATAGTCAAAAAATTGCTAAGTCAATTATTGTTTCAACAGATTGGTAGTAGTAATCTTTATACAAAAACTTTCTAGCTGTAGTAATTCAATAAATAATTTAGACTTCTTACACTTTGATTGGATTTCCAATAATGATACTCATCTGGATGCTCCAATTCCATAGAACTAGTTTGCTTAATCTGACTTTCTGAACCTGTTTTACCAAGATTATTTGACTTGGAATAACGTGATCTAGAATCCTCTGATGCATGTCTGCTAAATTTTTTGGTTGTAGAGCGACCTTTACCTAATTTATATAAAATTTTTTACGTCCATAGATTTATAATGAATTTAATCTATTGTTAAACTGTAATTTTTAAAATTACCATAGATTCTACTTCTGTAATGATGTTCATGATCACGTTCAGATATAAGTTCAGCCTCGTGTACATTAATACTAGTAACAATTGGTTTATTCAACTGAGTAGCTTCTTCAGAACTTTCCGAGCTATTTTTTCTATGTATCTCAACTTTTAAATTAATAGTTGAATTGGGTTTTTCTCTTGTATAATCTGACGTTATACTATCAGCATCTGCATTGGGTGCATTAGGTTCAATATATGAATTACGGGATGAGCATTCTACTGGTGGTGTATCAGTTTTTCCTGAAAAGTATCAATCTAATGAATATCAATAAAAACTACTTATAATTATTACATCAAATCCAATATACCATTTAATACTTGCAACTCGATGCCATGGAAATCTTGGTTTTGTGGTTGCTCTCTTCTCTTAACTCTTGAATCTCTTTTCTTTTCACTTTCTAACTTTTGCTGGCTGACATTTTGATTTGGTTCCTCCAAGCATTCTGTTGTATCATAGACACAGTGCAATGCATGGTTGATGCATTTTATGGTACCAAATAAAACCACGATAGCTGAGCAGTAAGCAAGCCACACATAAAGTGTTGGAGGAAAATACTGCAAAATAGATCATTTCAAAAATTAACAGTAATAATCCATAAATTTAAAAATACACATTTATAACACTATATAAGAAAAATATAAAAATGTACAACTTACCAAGTAAATGGTAAAAGGCAAACAAAGTAAAAATAGCCAGACATAGAGATGAAATGTATTAGAAAAAACATCTAGATGTGGATCATAAAACCATCCTCCTGTAAGACTTGCCCAGATACCCTGGCGCAAGATTTCCAGTGTTTGTGAGCCCATGCCAACGTCTATACATCCATCTCACCATATTTTCATCTTTATATTTTATTCACATTTGGACATAATTTTAATTTAAATGAACCTAGAAAATATATACAATCAAAAGTTATAAATACTTTGTAAATATTTCTAATTTAAATGCTCAATAACTATTCATATTTACAACAAAATAAAATATTAAGATTTTTAAAATGCCTAAAATTTTTATCAGAGTAGCGATTAGTTTTTCTCGCAAGTAGTTCTTTTTTTAACTGTTACTCTACCAAATTTATATTATAGGTTATCTCCCTTAAACGTAATATATTAAGAAAAATTGATAATTTTTGTATTACACTTTCTTCGGATGTTTTTCATGCACTAAATTATCTATTTTCTAGCAAATAGTGTGTAACATTTGGTAAGTCACGTACTTGTAATAGTAAAATATAATTAATAACAACTTTTGTTAAAACTTTTGGTGCATTTAAACAATGCGTTACTACTTACTCATCTTTGGCAGTGGTATATCTTTGGATAACGTTTAATGATTTGAGAGATCACTGCGAATTAGCCGATATGAAAATATAAACAAGTAATTTAAGGTATACAATCAAATATGCAAGTAGAATGTTGCGAACCATTCAAAGAACTCAGCAATAAATCAACGGAAATCGTTCCAGCAAATTGATAGGGAAACTGAGCGTCGTTAGCATGGATAGTAAAATCGAATAATAACTCAACATAATTTCATTTTTAGTATTAAAAAAAGTTCTTAAGTTAACTAACCCCCCCTCTCCTAAGCATCCACATCATTATAACTGCATAACGTTTAGACACTGTTTCTATACAGAAATAAACGTATCATTAGCAAAAGTCACGTGTAGTTTTTCTACGCTATTGGTTTCGTGATCAGATGTTTTATTAATTTATAAATAATGATTTTCCGTCAACGTCAGAGAAATACCGAAGTTACTGACGGTACCACGGAAATGATCGATATATAAGGTAGAACTCTTGAGAAAATTATCACTATATATATAGTGATAATTCATATATATATCCCTTCTACAAATATTGTTATTATCATGGAGACTTATTAATCTCCATACAGTTAACGTACTATAATATATTACACTCTCAAATATTAATGAAAAATTATTATTTATAAATTATTCTGATCTCGAAATCATAATATATGATAACAAGCATGCGTAATTTTTGTTTCATTACTTTTTCTTTGGGTCATATATTTCATCTCGAAATATGCATCGGAGGATATTCATACTTCATAGTAACATTGCATGGCAACTGTATATTTTTCTCAAACAAAAATGATATTGATCCAATTTTATTTTAGAAATATAATTTTTATCAATTTTATAACGAGTCCATCACATTTCACTTTCTTATCTAATATTCAATTATTAGCTATAAAGTACGAGGGTCCTCTGATGTGTATTTTAGGAGAAAAATATGCCTCTAAAAAACGATAACATAATTAATGTATATTTTTAAATATTTTTATTACTGAAAATCAAATTGTGTGAAATTATATTAATCGGATTATCTTTGTTAACGACCAGCAGAGATTTTATAATTTTCCGAAACGGTTTTCATCAATTTTCTACTGAATTGCTTCACTGTTAATTTAAATTCTTCTATGATTGTTATATAACGATGGAGAAATTCGTTGCGAAATCGACGAAAAGTAACCATGAAAAATTATAGAAAAATTGTACGCGATTAGCAAAGAAAGCAAAACTTCCGTGCAATTTAATTTTTGTTAATAAAAAAATTTCAAATGTTGAACATGCCCAGATCAATAGAAATTGAATCTGCGTAGCGTGTTAATACAGATTTCATAAAAATGAATGTTTTGAATCGTTAGCAAAAAATCACGCGCAATTTTCCATCCAATCAAAATATTATTATAAACACCCGTTAAAAAATAAATATTATTTTTCATTATCATAGCAATACGCGATCGACGTACCCGAAAGAACAGTTATAACATAGATTGATCTACACTTTTGCGGGATATATACACTCTGACAAGGGGAAACACACTCTTAATAATAAAAGAACTATTGATAGAAACTGATTATTTTCTGGAATAACCTTTAATATTAACTATTTCCTAGATGTAGATTTTTTTATAAATCAAGATAAGTGTTGGACTACTTAAAATTATTGGTTATTGAAAAGATAACTCATTCCTATATATCTATATTACAGATTTTACACAGCCATTCTTATTAGGATAAGATATATATTATCTATGTTAAAGTATTGCTGAAATTTCTGGATATTTGACAAATAACCCATACTTATGGATACAACACTTTTCAGAGGGCCGTACTTACGTCAGTTACTGATCTTTCATGTGTATGCGGACAATCTTTCTAATTTTTAATTTCTTAAGAAAAAAAGTGAATTAGATAATTTTAGGAGCACGTCTTCAAAATGGCTAGAAAGTGTTAACAATAATATAATAAATAATTAGAGTTGTATGCTTTCATATGCAAGAAATGTTCCAAAAGCTAGGCCTAATATTTTTTTTATAATACAAAAAATAATCTGTCATTTCAATTATGAGTTTTTATTTTATCATGTATAGTATAGAAAATTAAAATACTTGAAAAAGTGGGTATGTGGATTTATAATTATAAAATAAAATATATTTGCTACAATTAACCGATATATATTTTTTTAAACACTAATCAAGTATAAAGTATTCATTACAGTTTCGAACTGTTTGAAGTAATAGTCCAAATTTTACAGCAGTTACAAGCAAAATTATTTTTTCGAGCTACGGGACATTTTTGTTATTTTTCTTACATTTTCAATATTCTGAAATATCACATCGATACAAAAGTGTTTTATAAAGTATCAATTACAATTTTTCCATTTGAAAGGAATGTTGATTAATGAATTTAAGTTAGAAAGAAGTTAGAAACAGTTTAAAGCTGTTACACAAAGTTGTTGTACTAGCGAGTTACATAACAATAAAATGTTAAGAGGATTTGACTATGTATCTCTATAATCAAAAATAATATTTTGATTGAATAGGAAAAACTGTGAGTTCATTTTACTGACGATTCAACATAATCATTTCTATAAAATTCAAATTAAAACGTTACGCAGATATTCAATTTCTATTGATATGGGAATGTTTAACTTTTACAATTTTTTGATTGATGAAATCATAATCTCGTGGAATTATTTAGTTTTGCTATTTTCATCAATTGCGCTCAGTTTTTCTATAATTTTTCCAGGTCAGTTTTCATCCCTTTCATCCTTGTTAGGGACTTCCTACATAATTAGTCATCGGACATCGGATGTCAGACACGAATGAAAGTGTAAAAATGACTTCTTTATTTGACATTAAATCGTAAAATAAAAATAAATGCTTCGCATAGTCTTCAGACCACGCACAATTTTTTGTTAAGATAGTAAGACAAACAATCAATTTGCTTTACCTCAGTATTTGTTCAACACCCGATGTTCGATGTCTGAAGATAATAGTTCTTATGTAGAGCAGAAAGTCCCATGCCTTATTATGATGTGAGAAAGATAAATCTTTAGACAATGTATTATACGTAGAGCATAGTAAAATACTCAATTTGCAGCTTTATTTCAGCTTCATCAAATCAGTTAATTTGACTTCATAAATTTTAGAGAAAATAATTTATAAATTTGAAGCAAAGTTGGTTAATTTTTTGACAAATTTCATTTACCAAAATCGTTGAAAAATTATACAGACAATTTTCGGAAGGATTTTCAATGCTCGTTCCTGAAATACCATCCTAAAATTGTCTCGTCTATTTGCTAAAAAGATATTCAACCATAACTTGGTTGAAAATTGAGATTTGTAAATTTTTTTTCTCCAGTTAAAAACTAGTTTTTGCTTAATTTTCAAAATATGATTTAAATGCTCGTAATTTTCTTGTTCCAAAATATATATATTTTATAAGAACTCTTCTGAAAATTAATAAAACTAATTATTTTGTATAAATCAGTGCTCAGAAGTAATAAACTGACTATGCGCTTGTGTAAAACTTATTAAATCTCGATATCAAAGTTTCCGTCGGTGGTGTGATTGCTTGTCTTGTTTTAAATATTCAAAATAACGAAACAAGCGGTCCCGTGGTTAACGGAAACTAAGATTCAACAAGTTTTACGCACGCGCATGGTCATTTAATTTACCGTGTCCGAGCACCGAATAATTATACTAAATAATAACAAATTATACGAAATAATTGGTTAATTATTTAATTGGTTTTCAGAAGAGTTACCGAAGGAAGAAAAATATTTTTAGGTCAAAAGCTTTACGAGAATTTGAATAGTATATTCAAAATTAAGAACAAACCTTTTTTTTACTGGAGAACAAATTTTACAAATCTTAATTTTCAATCACGTTATGGTTAAATATCTTCTTAACAAAATATACGAGACAATTGCAGGGTGGTATTTTAGGAAGCATTGAAAATCCTTTAGAAAACAATTTTTCAATAATTTTAGTTGCTAGGTTGATGTAGCTCTTTATTTGTACTGCAGCGAATTCGTTTTGTCACCTGATTCTTTTTTATCAAAATTAAATAACCGCGTATACACATGATTTAATCTCGCACTTCATAAAGACTAGTCCACGATCTTAGTTCTTAATATAATTTTTTATATTTATATTATATTATATACGTATAATGTAAGAGTACTTTGACGGTTATGAGTTATTAAATTAAACTCTATAATACTTTATAAAGATTAACTGATATAACATTTAGAAACAATATTTATCGCACTGGCTGTTTAATTATATGAGTCCTAATTCGTTTGTTCTGTGACATGTTTTAACGGAATAAGATGCAATGGTTATTTTGTTTTTCTCTCCTCTTTGCATCCTCACATTTTCTTTTTTTTCTAAGACTGCAAGACTACAACATCACGATGATGGATACGGAGTCGCTGTAACACCATCATCATAGTGCGGTATCGGTCACATTGAAAAAAGAGTGAAGAAATAACTTTTTTTTCTAAACACACGCACACACAGCTGTACCTATGATAAACGTGTGTATACGTCGCATGAGTGCGTGTGTGTGTATATAGCTAGTATTGTCGCCGTCGTCATTGCTCAGCACATAAACGCTCACGCATGCAACGTTCGTAGGAGGTATAGAGAAGAGAAAAAGTGTGAGTGTGAGAGAGAAAGACAGAGAGGGAGAAAGAGAAAGAATGAGTGAGTGTTATGCAGTGTGTATACCTATCTCGCCAAGCAAGTGCTTATGCTACATAGCCAAATAGCAATAAACTTACATACATTCCGACGATTCAAAACTTTAGATACCTGGTTTTCATCATTATAACCGAAAGCTTTTTATTTTTTTACATCCTTGAAATGTAATTTAGCAAGAATTTTGATGAAAGTACCGGTCACCTTCAACACCTGGAGATGAGATTCTTCATCTCACAGGTTAGTTTACGTTTTCACTATATATTTTCTAAATTTTCGATTTTGCGATTCCATGTTCACCGAATATGTATTTTCCTGCTTCCATTAATATTTTTCTTGACAAATTTTTGATAATTTATGAGCTAACATAAAGTATTTTCATATTTTAATTCTCACACTTTTTATATTTTTACTTTATACTATTTTGTTTGATTTGCTTGTAATTTTTGGGAATTATATTCTTTTCAGTTTGCTTATTTACTTTGCTCCACAAGTTTTTAAATAAAACAGAGGTCTAAAAACCTTATACTTGGCAGAAAATTATTATGAGATTATTCATTAATAATCTAGGAAACATATCTTCAATAAATGCTCTATTATTATATAAAAATATATCAACATTTATAGCTATTTTTACATATACTGTAGGTGATGAGCAGATGAAAGATTTTTTTGGAACATAATGACACATTTTTCAATCACTGACAGAAAAACTGGAAGATGATTAAAAATACAAGGCACTGATAAATCATGAAAGTTTCATTAACCTCTAAAATTATTCATGTTTAATTAAGTTTTAACCAGCATTTCTTTTGCAACGTACGTAATTATCTATTTAATAGGTTAGAATTTTTAAGGCACAATCAATAACTCTAAAATCATATTTGCAGGATTTGAAAATTCATGTGAACCATATGTCTCCAGCTGGTTTATCAGCAAGAGGCCTGTGCAGTTTAATGGACCCTGGACAACCAGAAGCTCGTCTATATGACGAGCATTTCTTACATTACTCAGAGAATGGTTGTGTACAATCAAAGTCTTCTACTACAGGAAACTTCTCACCAAGGTATCGCCACTCAATTAGGCCAAATAATTCAACAATTGGGTAAGCCAAATATATAAAATATTGCTTGATAACAATTATTTCTAATCTTATTATTTTTATTGGACGACATGCTTGTATTTATTTTAATCATGTACCATATTTTATTGAATCTGTATTACTAACAAAACCAAAAATCTTGAACTCTTTATTTTAATGCTCAACAATCAACTTAAATAAAAAGCCTGTCTGTTGTAGAATATCAATTTAATAATAATTTATCTGTAGTAATGGACATTTCTGCCTTAGTTGCAATGTCAATATTTGCTTTACATAAATATTAATTATTTTCAATAAAATATTGTACAAATTATTCAAAAGCTTTGTTCTGAGTGTAATAATCAAACACTGTAGATCTTATATTTGAATTTATTATAGGCAAAATTACTGCTATGCAAGGTCATCAAGCAATATGTCAGACAGCAGCATTTCTGACACACACAGTGGTGGTACAACACAAACATTGTCGCAACATACTAGTCCGTCGCATGGTACGCTCTCTTCTCAGTCAAGGCATGACAATTCAACTCTCTTCACTGCCCTTTACGATTATATTGCTCAAGGCGAGGACGAGCTTTCGTTACAAAGAGGTGAAATTGTCGAGGTATGAATTAACATTTTGTCTAGTCGCTGTTCATCATTGGTAGACAACGATAACGAATGATACGCAATTTTAATTCAACTCGTATTTCGTTTAGGTGCTGTCAAAAGATTCAAAAATATCTGGAGATGAAGGGTGGTGGACTGGAAAAATTCGAGGAAAAGTGGGCATTTTCCCAGCTAATTTTGTCGCCGAGGCAGAAATCATCGATAGAGTATCTTCTGTGATTGAACAAGTACAGCCAGTGGAAATCGATTTTGAAGAATTGCAATTGGAAGAGGTTATCGGTGTTGGCGGTTTCGGTAAAGTCTATCGGTAAGACTTGTACGATTACTTGAATTTACAAACATTCTTAATCAATATTATATTTGACAGAGGATTTTGGGATAAAAAAGAAGTAGCCGTCAAAGCGGCCCGCCAAGATCCAGATGAAGAGCCGAATGTGACCCTACAAAATGTAAGGCAGGAGGCCAAACTCTTCTGGTTACTCAAGCACGAAAATATCGTGCAGCTGGAAGGTGTTTGTTTGAAAATGCCTAACATGTGTCTAGTGATGGAGTATGCACGCGGTGGAAGTCTTAATCGAGTTCTCAGTGGTCGCAAGATCAGACCCGATGTTCTTGTTGATTGGGCCATACAGATCGCTCGTGGCATGGATTATTTACACAATAAGGCACCTATCAGTCTTATCCATCGAGACCTCAAGAGTTCCAATGGTATTTTTTTCTTTTGCATCAGTGTAATATTTTTGAACAATAATGACTACATTTAATCCGTAGTATTGCTGAGTGAACCAATCGAGAACGACGACTTCCAATGCAAAACGTTGAAAATCACGGACTTTGGACTGGCTAGAGAAGTGTACAAAACTACTCGTATGTCAGCTGCTGGCACGTATGCCTGGATGGCGCCCGAAGTCATAAAAAAAAGCACCTTTAGCAAAGCCAGCGATGTTTGGAGGTATTCACTAACCATTACTTGTAATTTGATAACAATTAGCCCATCTATACTTCGCTGTGATTGGTTTGGATGTAACAATATAATGAAGTGAAGGAAAACATTCTTTATTAATTAGTTCTATATCACTTCGCCCACTTAATGGATTATAGTTTGTTTAATCGGCTTAAGTGAACATTTTGACACTACAACAACTACGAGTTACAGTAACTAAATTGCAGTTAATGAGTTATTGAAAAAATTATCAGCAATGATAAATCAATTTGAACAAGCATCTTTCCTTGTTCTGCTATGTAAATGAAATTTATTTTTAAATCTATAGAAAACAACCAATTAATTTAGAAATGATTTTGTTTTCGATTATTACTTATCAAAAATTCAAATTAAATTGAATTTTTACTATCAATTTCAAATAAAAAAAATGAATATTTCATGATTTACATGCATGCAATAATCTACGATTTTAGGAAAACAATATTTCGCCAATAATTTTTTTATTCTTTTTCAATTTTTCTATAATTCTATATCACGTCTTTTACAAAAAAGTATGTTTCAGAAGTAATATCTATATGATTTAATTATGCTCAAATCGATTTTAACCATCACAGATTAATGTTTCATCAATACATACAAACTTCTAGATTTGAAATTGCATCGGCATTTGTTTATGAAGAATAATTGTTACAGTTTTTTTACTCTTTTACTTTCCATTTTTTGATTCGGGAATGACAGGATTGTTTACGTTCAAGAACAAAAATAACATGCTTATTATAAATTCGTAATCGGTTAAATTGATAGCCGATAAATTGAATTGTGATGTTATTATTGTTGAATTGAAACGAATCATGTTTTCATGATAGCATTCGAATATTGGAAAATTCATTCCAATAAAGTATAATTTAATTTTTACATAATACAATATCGGAATTCGTATAGTGAATTTGATAAAATCTACAAAAATGTATTAGGAAAGAAATTTGACGACACAACTATAGTAACCTAGAGCTCTTTCAGTTTTTTTTACACATGTATTGGATGGCTATTTGTTTTTAGCACAGTGAACTGATATAGATACAGATGTGTGTGTGTGTGTGTGTGTGTGTGTGTGTGTGTGTGTGTGTGTGTGTGTGTGTGTGTGTGTGTGTGTGTGTGTGTGTGTGTGTGTGTGTGTGTGTGTGTGTGTGTGTGTGTGTGTGTGTGTGTGTGTGTGTGTGTGTGTGTGTGTGTGCCATGGAGAATATTAGTACTACAAAATCGGACTATGAGTGGCTGGAGACATGAAATAGGAATATTTCTGCAGATTTGCTTAACATACATTCGCACGAGTGTGCATACACACATAATCTTCTAAATAATTTTTTTTAATTCCAATGATCTAAAGTTTAGAAATATTATTGGAGGGTAAACACCACAAATTTTTCACATTTGCAAAACACATTTTACCAGAATATGAATATCGTGAGAAAAGATTATTTTACTAGAATTTTGAAGATTCTATTTGTATGAAAAATTCAAAATTTGTTGAATTAACATTTTAAGGAATTAATTTTCCTATGCTATTAAAATATGAATTTTCGTTTCAATTATTATCTAAAAATCTATGTAGAATATATTCTTGATAACGGCCTTTGATGTGTACAAAATACATGTTTTAAATTGTCACATAATCAGTTGATTAACTACAATTTAATTTTTATAAATAAAGAGATTGTTAAAAAATTATATATTTATCATTATCATTTTTATCATTATTTTCAAAGCTATGGTGTACTTTTGTGGGAATTACTGACTGGAGAGACGCCATATAAAGGGATCGATGCATTAGCAGTAGCCTATGGTGTAGCTGTGAATAAATTAACATTGCCCATTCCAACAACTTGTCCACAACCATGGAGATATCTCATGGAAGGTCTGCTATTTTCCAACTTAATTTGTATCTCTTTTATTCATTTCGTAGTTAAAGGATTTCATAAATCAAACAGATATAAGTCGATTAAAAGTATCGAATTTTTTGTATCTTGATTCTCTCTCTTTTTCTTTCTTAAATAATCTGTAGGCATATCTAGACTAATGTAAAAATTGTTAAAATGTATAAACAGTAAAAATAGGGTAAAAGAATGTATCTTGATTTATTGACTAGTTATATGAGGTTTGACAGGGAAAATGGGAAGTATTGTTTATTGTCGTGTGAAAATCGTCATAATAAAGATGAGGAAATATAAATTTCATCACCTTGAAGTATACAGTAAACACTTTAATTTTTTTTACTATACGTCTCCATATTTCAAATTATGTCCTAAATAGTTTCCATTTATGTAAAATCAGATTTATTGAAAAAATCAAGTTTACTAGTCTTGACTAAAAATTAATGCGTGAACGAAAATTATTTTAAGAAGGCTTATTTTCTTTAGTATCTTCACTTTGGGATTAATGGAGTACTTTTTTTAATAATGTTTTCATGTTAAAACAAATAATTTTATTAAAAATTTTACAAAATTTTTTAAATTAACATTCGATAACACTACTTTTTAAATCCCTTTCCAAATGATTTAAACGCTTTATGTTCACTGTAATTTTTAGAAAAAAGTTACAAACTTAATGTTTTCAATAAATAAGTTATTACGTTAACGGAGATATTGTGAGGCGGCGATTTTGAGATACTTTACAATGAAAATGAAAATCTCTACTACATATTTTAAGATGAAAAAAGTTTTAAGTCGATATCTTTATTAAGGAAAATTTTACTCGACGATAAAAAAGACATGCAATTTCCTTTGTTTAACTCATCTGGCCCCTTTAATATATTTGACATTGGCTATCGATTTAGTTATCAATTATTATCGATTACTAAACGATTACTAATTGTTTTAATTTGTTATTTGTTTCAGCTTGCTGGGCCTCTGATAGTCACTGTCGGCCAGGTTTTGCGGAAATCCTTATTGCTTTAGACGAAGTTAGAAGTGCCTTTGCTGCAACTCCTCATGAATCGTTTCACACGATGCAAGAAGATTGGAGACTTGAGATTGAGCAAGTTTTGCATGGACTGCGTATGAAGGAAAAGGTTATCATTTCTAAATATCGTTACTTCTATACAATAAAGGATAGGAAATTGTTCAATTATTATCAAAATTGTCAAGTTATAAATACTTTCTATTATTTTTAAAATGCTTATACAAAGGCATGCCGGTCACTAGAAGAGGTAAGAATAAGATAATATACTTGTTTGGTAAAGTTTCGTATCATCGTTGTAATTATGAATTTAATTTTAATCTTTATTTCCAGTTTTAAATTACTATATTTTAGCACGTTTTTAGAATGAGCTTACAAGGAGAAACCCTCATGAATTTGGTGAGTGGCTTTCTTTTGCACAGAAATGAAAGCACCTAAAAAAGTGCTATGAACTTTTATTTAGGAATTAAGGGGTCTTACATCTAAAATATTAAAAAACAATTTAATAAATTTTTTAAAAAAGAATTTGATCTTAGCTTTCTATTGGTAATCCTCAAATCACGGTAGACTCAGTTTTTAACAATTATTATTATATTGAACAACAGTTATTACGGTTTAAACCGAAATTAAATTTTTTAATGTTATAAATATAAGACTCTTAGGATTCAACGTTTTGAAGAGCTTTCGTTTCTATATAAAAGAAGGCCACTCATTAAGTTTAAGCTAAATCCATGACCTGAAGATCAGGTTCTCCATTTAGGAATTCTTTTTTATGTCAATGTCATAGATTAATGTTTCTTCACAATATTCGTTATCCAGAACATTCTGCAATTAAAAGTTTCACGAGTTATAACTTTTAGCTGAAGTTCAATTTCACTCGTCGTAATAGATTATTTTGCCGGTTACTTAACAGTGTATGAAAAAATTTAATGGTGAGATTATTTTGACATAGAAATAAGTAAAGTTCGCACTGATGAAATGAAATCAAATCCGCAATCTAAAATTATATTGCGATCTTTAAATATTGTACTTTAATCGTTGCTCTATTAAATATATAAAATTGAATTTACGTAAAGTCGTAATAAATGTGGCCTACAGTTGTACATATTTAAACTCCCTCTAAAGTCTGACTGAAGACAATATCATTATTTCTTAGGAATTACGCTGTAGAGAAGAAGAACTTACGAAAGCTCAAGTACAACAGAGGCAACACGAAGAGAATTTAAGGCAACGAGAAAAGGAACTTGCAGCTCGCGAGATCGATCTGTTAGAACGCGAGCTTACCGTCATGATTATTCAGCAGCAAGCTACTCCTACGCCCAATAAAAGACGGGGAAAGTTTAAAAAGTCAAAATTAAAATTGAATAAAAAGGAACCGGGTAGTAAAATTAGTGCCCCTTCAGGTAAACCCATTAAAAATATCCTAATGACCAAATGTGTAACGAATTTTAGCTTGAAATTTGAAAAACTACACCATTTGAAACTGACAAATTTCTTTCCAGATTTCAGGCACACTATCACTGTACAGCATACAGCTCCAGATCTAGTGAAAAGTCGTAATCCCTCGCGATCGAACAGTCCACCTGGTTCGCCCAGTATTCCACGATTACGGGCGATTGCCTGTAAGTAAAAGCTTTCGTAGCTCTTATTCACTCTTGCTCCGCAAGTAATTTCTTATCAATGTCATGGAAAGTGAAAGGCAGCACAGTGTTATTATTTACGTAGTAATGTAGTTTTTTCCTGACACTTGATATTCGGCAGAATTCGACCAAAACTAAAAATTAGATTAAAAATGTTATCTTTATGTTAATTATAGATAAAGTATCACAATATCAAGTTCGTCTTGATTCGTTCATATAATTAGAATGTAATTTCTAAAACTTTTAATATCGATAATTCTAAAATTTTTAATATCGATAGCGCTGTAGCATTCTGGTGCTGCATACAATTATCACTTGATCAAGGAATTTTCTCAACTTGGATTTGGGCAATTGAACATGGCAGCAGCTTCTGTAGCCTTAACAAGAAGTTGATTGCATTTCACCGAATGTAAATAATGGCCCTTGCAAAGTTCTCAGCGCTTATTGCAATAGTCATTTCACCAATTTTGTCGATTGCCAAGTGTCTAAAGATTTTTCGAGTAGACAATTTTGAATGATTATTTATTAGTAATGTTATTGTTTTTATTCTGTAAGTGGTGAGTAAGAAACTGCATGATACATATTTATTCGAAAATTTTATCGACAATCACAATAATTTATTGAAAATGCGAAGGGTAACATTCGGAAAATAAAATACGGAATTTATAAATAATAAGACCATGATTAAGAAATGTAGTAGATTTTTCAGCGAATCTTTTACTTTCCATTATTAATTTTCTCCCCGTTAATGTTTTGTTATTTTTCGTTGAAATTTTCTGAGCTATGTAATTTAATTTGAGTTTTCTTTTTTTGTTTTCTGTTCATCTTTGTTCCTGTTCAACGCATCACAAATGCTCAAACACTCACACGGCTGGCAATTCACGCTGCCTAATGTGGCAATAAAAAAATGGAAAAAAATTTAAATGCACGCACACGCGCACAAACAAATGTACGAACGAAAAAATCAACTCTTGGCATAAAAAAATATTGACGTGATTGTCAAACGGTTCACTCTGACCGTCTGTGGGATCGATACAAAAACAACATCGGCTATGATAGTACCGGCAGATGGAGTGAAGGGCAAAACCTGGGGCCCATCCACTCTTCATCAGCGCGAACGTGGAGCGATCATACCGCCAGCGTGCTCGTCGTTGACTTCAAACGCCGCATGTCCAGGAATGAGCGCGATCATTGGCGAAGCATCCAGTAGTGTACCGGGGAAACGCTGGTCGCGCTCCGCGCCTGACCTCGAAAAGGCCCCGCTGCGCGCGGCGCTGCTAGTTGCGGCGTCGGCGGCCATTGACCATGCAGCCCATTGCCAGCTAAAGCATCAGCAACCACACCGACGTACTCCTCTCCAGGAAATAGGTAACGACCACAAGCACAACAACAACAACAACGATGACAACGACAACGAGCACTGCAACGACAACGCCAGCGCCAGCAGCGACAACTGCAAGCACGACGCGAGAAAGCTGCACTCGTCGGCGAACGATCTTGTGGCCGCGCGTTTTGAGCTCGGTGGCAGCGGCGGCGACGACGAGGACGACGACGACGAGCTCGACGACGAGGACGACGACGATGACTCCTCGTCTTCGAGCTTCGTCGTCGGCTGCGTGCGTAAGACCAAAAGGCGTGAGCGCAGTAAGTCCAAGGACTCGTGGCGGCCGCAGAACGCATCGGGCGCAACCGGCGGTAAGAGGCGCGATAGCAGTGAGTCGAGACTCAACTCGCTGGCCGACTTCTTTCGATCGCCCTCGGGCTCGCGCAAAAGCTCACTTGCCCACGGCGAGCGTAAGAACTCGTCGAGCGTGGTTAGCATCAAGATCAACGACTCCGACGGTTTCGAGTCGAGCCCCGAGAACTCGGTAGCTCAGCAGCAGCGGCACAAATCTCGGCGCGTCTCCTCCAAGAGCCCGCTGCGGGTCTTCAGTCGAGTGCGGACCTGGGGCAGCAGGGACGCTCTGGACGATCGGGCCGCGGGCGCGGGCGCGCGCGTCGAGTACAGTGTACTGCAGAACAGCGTCACACTGTCGAGGCTTGAGGGCCCGGGCCTGGCGCAGGCCCGCCGGCCACCACCCCCGCCGCAAGCCTCCGCCACGCCGAGCTTCCTCGCGGCGAATTCGCGCGAAGGCATCGACTTTGAAAGCCTCGAGACGGAACTGTGCCAGGCTGGTGGTGAGCACGGCAGCTCGCGCGTCGGTGACCTTCGGATGTTGCGGGAGCTTGGCGCGGCGCGGAGCCGCGCGAGCGACGACGACACCACGGATCTGCTCGTCGCCGACCACGATCGCGGTCTCTCAGCGCAGCCCAGTCTGCCGGCGCTCGAGCTCGCTACTGAACGCTCCTCGTCCGATCACCACCGCAGCAGCACCCTTGGATCCTCCGCCAAGCCCAAAATTCATAGCGCTAAACATTTGTTTCGCAAAAATTTCTCGGCTACTGGACACTTTTCTAAACATTGAGCGCGCTTCCAGCTTCGCAGCGCCATTTGTCCCTCTACTTCTCTCCCGCCCTCTTTTTAACGTTCTTTACGTTTATTTCGTTTGATATACGATACAGTACATCTACCTCTACCCTCCTGTTCTACGGCGTGCGACCTTTTTACCTTTATGCCGAAGTTTTTTTTCCTTCAGTCAATTCGACTTCGAAAGTAACATTGCCGATGCGCCCTCGTCGTTACAATTAAAATTAACTTTCATTAGAAAAGCGAACGAGAATTAAAATATTTTCTTAAATTTTTTCTTTCTATATAACATTCCAAACGTTTATTGCACGCAAGTAAAATTTTACTATGGATGATTGTAAAAGCAACCCTTTGTTAACTTTCACGAATATTATAGATATTTAGATGATTTTATATGCAATTTATTATTATTTTTATTATTTTTTATTATTATTATTATTATTATTATTATTATTATTATTATTATCATTATTATTATTATTATTTACGTAGAATAAGTCGTACTTGAATTTGTTTATGCATTATTACGACCTTTCAATTTCTTACAAATATCTAAAATACTTTGTTATCATACATTAGATTAACGTGGAAACCTTGAAATAACATACTTTTGATAATACATATAAATGAATGGCTACCTGTATTAATAATCTAATATTGATTGCTTATCAGATTATTATTGATTAGATTACTAGATGTTTATATAATTTAGTAAACTTTAATACTATTTTTTTATTTATAGTTCCATTGACACGTTCAGTACTGAGGCAAATTTTTTAAATTGGTGATGCCGTACAAAATTATGTTGCATCAAAATTTTGACAATGACAAGTAAATTCTTACGCATTAAATTTAATAATTAATTCCTGTATAATAATTCCTTGCCGTATAATTTGTTATCTGAAAATTGAATGCATATGCAGCCTAAAATTCAGAAAAATAAATGATAATAAATGATGCATATTCAAGTGTCACATCGTCCTGAGCGTGTTAGATAGAAAAATAATCTCAAATTATGGTCAACGCCATAACTGATTTCAATTTTAAATATGGAGTATGTTAACTTTGTTGTTCTAGTCTTTACAATAACAAAAATTTATGCGAATATTGTACATATTTGTAATTTACATATTGGTGTGACAAAATTTCTAGCTATAAACAATGCAGAATTTCACTTGTCTTTTCATGAATGAACAATTAAAACTTGTGTATTAAAAATGAATTGTACGTGTTCGTACGAAGTAAAAATTCTATATCTGTTTTCGATTAATTTAGGGTTCAGAAAAAGATAATTCTAAAAAGTTATTAATGCATGCGTTCAAGATCCCATCCTTAATAAAATATATAGAAAATAGAGAGAATCTGCCATAGGTGTCCACTAATCGCTCATTTGAATGTCTCGATAAATATTCGAAAAAAATAATGTCTACTTATTGCTTCAAACGTGGGCTGTTTGATCATTCACTGCGAAAACCCTCTACGTAGTTTCTTCCACGGTCCAAAATAAAAAAAAGAAAACAAAAACCAAGACTAAACTTCTAACTGCATTCGTAATAAAGGCAGTCTATAAGCGAGCTTTAGCTTTTAATTTTCTCTAACAAGATAGAAATCTTTCATGATATTAATCACTTCATAATATCTACGCGGTCAACGATAACTAGAAAATGTTTTCGTTTTCTCTAATATAATTGGACTCACGTTATTGATAAAATAATAATTCCTTTCATGGTTCCTCCGTAGCAGTAGATAGCACATAAGACACTCACACACACCAGACGTGCGAGATCATCTGTCCATCCTTACTAAAATCCAAAATGTACGTTTACTAAAATGGTTGAAATGAAGTTTTCTAGTTTACCATACATTTACTTTTCAAATTAGTTGGTTATCCATTATTCTCAACCAATGAGGATTTTGCTGTGCCCAATAACGATAATTCTACTTATTTACTTCTACGTCACTTTTGAAGGTGCACTCGTCATAATACAATATATCTATGAAAACTGTTTGGTTGGCGTACTGGCGAATTGCATAATTCAAGACGTTGTCGAATATCAACGATATTCAAATCCTGATGAAGCTCCATCCGGATGGAATTTACTTATTTGAAGAACACATTGAATCGTGAACTTAAGAGTATCGCGTAAGTTTAAGAGGAATTTCGTACGGATCGGAAACAAACTGAAATATAATGTTTAAACGAAATATGTTCTTTCCTACTGCGATATTGCGAATGAAGTTTTGTAGGTTTTTTTAAAAAGAGGAATTGATCTTAAAAATTGACTCCAAGGTCAAAGCCAATGTTATTAAGACATATCACCTTAAAATTTTGCAACTTTTATCTCAACCATTTTTCACGTAAACATGTATTTTGGATTTTAGAAGGGGTTAACGGGTGGTCTATAATATCAGATGATCACCCGGTATATCATATATGAGCTACCTTTTATGTGATGACCGCACTTTGGTAAAGAAAAAAAAATTAATTTTCGAAAAAATTGTTACGAAAATATGTTTCACATAATTTGCGCTAAAGCAGCTAGTTTGCCTAATTATGCCAAAGCAGATTTGACTGGGTTTGCGTGGTCGTTTGATAAAAAGAAATAAATAAATAGTCGTGACTAGAGAAAATTCAGATTTTTAAAACAATGAAATAAAAAAAGCACGTTTCAGTTTGTTTTAATGTCTATAATAGCTTAATTTATCCTTTAATTTATGTAATGTGTGATTATTTTTTTGTGGTTTAATTGTGTTCAAATGAAAAATTATCGTGCAAGGGATCAATCATTTGCATTAGAAATGCTAGTTAATGTGATTGGAGTCAATATTGATTTTTAATAACATAGTTTAAAAAGGGTAGTAAACACTTTGTTTTTATTTATTCAACTTTAACCTGTTGGCGTTAAGATGGGTTAGTTTGGATTAGTATTTAAAAATTCTGGAAATAATAATAATAATAATAATAGAACTGAAATGCAGATAATTTGAGAAATAAGTATTTTAGATTTTCAGACAGTATAGGTTTAATGATTTTCGGTATTTTTTGAATTAATGTAAAGTTCAGAGATTAGGAACGTAATAAATTTATTCCGGCACAAACGACATATCTAAACGATAATGTGAATATACAGTTGCAGTCAATTTTGTTACGTAGCAATGATCGGCCATCAAAGCCTACCAGCTTATGGCGTTACGTTTCAATAGTCTCGTTGAGTGCAAGATAAAAAGTGAGAGACCATTTTGAGATAGGGTTAGCAACGAATAAGCCATTACATGAAATCGTCAATGCCAATAGTTGAAACTAAAACCTTTGCTTATCTTATGAGCTTACGCTTTAGATCAAGAGCAGTTGAGCTCTACTAAAAAACTATCGACGTAAACGCATTTTTTATTGGAGTCAAATTTAAATATTAAATAGTTCCCACGATTTCCTACATAACAATTTGTGATAACAATACTCTCATTCTATGTTCATCGATATTTTCTTTAAATTATATAGAATAAACTTGCACGCAAGTGTTAGTTTTCGTACCAAGTTCATTCAATATGATAATGCATACGTTGAGAATGATTGTAAGAAAAATATATTGATCAAAAGTGAAGATTCAGTTTATAACGCAGTAAATATTTCACATGGTAACTCATAATAAATGTAACTTCATCGATTATAATAATGTTAATAACAGCAATTAAAACGATACAATAAATTTCGAAATTGAAATGAGTGGACGTGGTCATGTAAATGTACGACTGCCTTACTAAGTCAGAACGAAATCAATGGGGAATGAAGTTAATCGGGTGTTGGTTTTTTGTTTTTGTTCGAAAATGATAACCTTGTAATAACCTAACAACAAAGTTAATACATACCACTATTAACTATTGAATCAAGCATAATACGCATTTTCTAAAACATTTAATTTTTCTACGAGCATAACTGTTAACGTTTATGTGTACAGAAGTGACAACAATTAGTAAAGTGCAATTAGTAATAGCTATTGGACCGCCCGATTTTAATAAAATGACAGTGCAATTTCCTTGTGGGACGATCTGGCAGTACCATCATAATTGAAATATTATATGTTTTTGTTGTAATAAAGTACCATATGTATTGTATAAGCATAATCGAAGGACCTTACACTAACAAAACCAGTACAATTTCTTTTTTAATTTCATATTTGTTTTTTTTTCTCCCGTTGCAAAAGTAATCTTATGAGGTATTAACTTATTGTTCATTATTTGCTGCTTCCAGTCATGCGCACACAATTGTATTTAAAAATAGAAAGACTTGTAATAAAAACATATCCAAAATCTACACAGAATAGTTCATTTTTCTTTCATGTCTTTCTGTTTTACGCTCAACTTATCTTTATGGATTTCAATAAACAAAATAAACTTGTTTGCTTCGACCGTCAATCATATTGCAATAATTGAGTGTAATTTATTAACTATAGGCACATTTAAACTGTATAATAGAGAAAAAATGAAATCATCATCGATAAATTTGAGCGTAAAAGACCTCCGCATGTTTGCCACACGTAGCGCTTTAAACATGATCCCTGCATACATTTAATCTGCTATTTGTCTTGTAGTTGCATAAGTGCATTCTAATGAATTCGTAGTTGAAAATTTGTTGTATATTTGTTATGTTATATTAAATGCTTTTAAATTGCTTTGAAGGTGGCTAATTGTAATATATAATATTAATGTGCTATACACAACTTGATAAAACTTTCAAAATTCTACATAAAAGACAAGAAAACTTCGAAGAAATCGATATCTCTAAAGAGAAATTGAACGCATGTATATAAGAAAAAGAAACATTGCAGCAGCACGAATTTGTCAATATATCAAATCGTGCATAAGGTACATTCGATCATCCAAAGTAAAATTGGAGATGAGCTGTTAATTTTTCGTAACTTTGGAATCTAAAGTATAAGGAATATCGATAAAAAATGTTTCTTTCATATTTGATGCTTGGTCCTGACTGGCAATAAAACTGCAAAAATATTATTCACTCGCAGATTACACGTTGCTAGCTAATGAGCAGTCCAACAATGTGATCGACTGGACTCCAAATGCAGTACTGAACAATGGCAACTTAGCGATGAGTCCTCAAGATAATTCTGTGAAGGCTGTCCCATATATTGTGCCCATGCCAATGCCCATGCCCGCGATCTACAATGGAGATATGAGAAGGCCGAAACTTAGTATAATCGAGCTTGTCATTTGCAATATTGGAGCTATGCTTGCTAGCATTGCCATTGATTTTGACGTACAGCTTTCCAATCTGTCGCCTGCCAGTCCGAGGTTGCAACAAACAAAGCTAGCACCTCATATCTGCGAAGATGAATTCATGATGTGGAGACAAACTGCCGGAGATGCAGCTTTTAACAAACATTCTGGATACTTAGGAATTGAATATGAGTTTAGCTCGAGTGGTGGATACGCGCACAACACTTACCATGGGCCAACTAAGCATTACAGGTCAGTGTAAAAATATAAAGTTTCAATGAATAAAAATGTGATTATTACAATTGTTATTTTTATATCTGAACTTTTAAAGAACGTTTCAAATACTTATGTTGTTCAGATTACTTTCCACGATAATTTATTTATTTGGCGCTTTGTTCTTACTATCTTTTTTTATAACCGGTTTATTTGTACTTTTGTTCAAAACCGTATTGGTTGGAAAAGTTAATTTTTATTAATAACTATTGCCAAAGTGACGGTTGGAAATGGGAAAAAAATAAGGTAATTAGGATAAATCGATTAGAGCAAGTTTCGCTTATTTATTGAAGCGAATCGTAGAATATTAACTTAAACTGTTTACAAAATTGCTTATTAATAACTGTAATGTGAAATTTAATGTGATGCAGATGATGTTCTAAGACGAAACTTTCTTAAAAGTAAACTACCGATGATTTTGTTAGATTTTTCTATCGAGTCCGACTTCTATGACCAACGTTTAACGGTCGGTTACTAACAATCTAATAACTTTATAAAATCGTCCACATACAGTCGACGTTTAAATTTATAAACAAATGTGAAATAAACAAACGTCTTCCTACGGAAATTGGCCATTCGTTCTTTCGCTGACTCATTCACTTTTTCAAAATTGTCGTTCGTGAATACGCCAAGGATATACGAAATTTCACGTTCGAGCGAAAAGTCGTTTCTCAAAATTCACAAGAAATCGAATTACACGACTTTTATGACGCAAGCCAAGTCAGCTATGGAGCTTGCATATATTTGTGCTTGATGATACAGAAAGGTATTGCTTTACCGTGTAGTATTGCTGTGCTCCAAATCACGCGTCGCGCTATTAAAAACAAAAAACATACCGCGCTTAGAATTATGTGCTATATAGCTTCTTTCTCACTCGTACCATCAAGTAAAGAACTCAATGGAATTAAATATCGATAAAACGTATTTTTGGTTAGACTCAAAGGTAGTCCTATATAGAAGTTCACGCGACACACACGTTTTTTTTTTTTACCGTTAAATAAATCGCATCGATTTACAATTCCATTAGTTCATTTTTTATGAAAGAGTCGAAAGCGTCTTAATTAAATAATTATTCTCGTGCAAGTAAAATTAGCGAGAACTAGTATCTTACGGGTAAAAACATGGTCTTATGGTCCTAGAGCCCTGTCGGTTTGACTTAATCTCATAATTTTCAAGTAATTTCGAAAAGTGTTGAAAGTATTTGCAGTTTAATCGATCAAAAAGCGAAATATTTTTAAATAATGGTAATAGTATATTTATTTATCGGAAAATATTTATTTCTTATTTATCATTAGGATACAATTCAAGTCAGTTTATAACATCTTTGTTTTAATTAAAATTTGGTATATCTACGCCATTATTATTAGTAATCTTATTAAATTTCAATTTAATAGAATTGAGTGGTCGCAACACAATATCTGCCATCAGTTTCAATTCGTGAATTTTATCAATGGGTTCCAAGCGAAAATTGTAGATGATCTGACCTATCAATAATTTTAACTCCATCAACGCGAATTTCTGACCTGCAATATTTTCAAGAAATTCATTCTGATGATTATTGTGCAGGAAAGTTGAGCTCCAGTCGAAAAACTTTTACCCGGAATAAAAGATTTATTTAAGATTTCTACAGTGATGCATTTAAAATGATAATAAACCGTGAGCGCGGACCAACTTGCGATCAATTGAACCCTCGCAAATTCGTCTGTCAAGAGAATCCTTTGCATTTTCAATGGAACGGATATTTTAAAGAGAGCATTGAAGAGGACCTGGAAGGGTGTTTGAAATGAGCTCACTTTTAACTCTATCATAAATGTCATTCCAGTTGGAACATCAAAATTTGCAAAATGTGCAATCGATTTACACATAACGATAGCTTTAGCTTGTAATCCACGAATTTTTCATGTAAAGCGTTGTTCAGTTAATTAATACGTAATATTCGCATTAAAATTTGATTCGCGTAACTTTTCGACTTAAAAGAATGGAAAAAAAAACTGAAATAACTGAATTGCGATGAATCGAGCTTACTTTCCGACACAAGTTATGCTGGTATACCGATCGAGCGAAGAGTTGACTGGGAAGAATAGTACAAGAAACAAATCGCTGAAAGCTCGAGGTAGCCACCTTGATGAGAAACAATGATGAATTTATCGATTTACCTATGCAGTTACGTGGTCCAGCGCTAAATGGAATGTAGGCGAACGGGTGTCGATTTCGACTATTTTCAGGTAAAAATCGATCGGGGTCGAATCTGTCGGGTTGTTGCCAAAAGTGTGGATCTCGATGAGTATCGTAAAGGTGAACCATAATGTGGGAATCGGCAGGTATCAAGGCGTTTTCTGCAAATCATTAATCTATTAGACGCACTTATGCGCCACAATATTGTTATAAAACCTCAGCGTTAAGACAATACTCAGTTGGAGCTCGTTCCGCGTGTAGCGCATCAGGGTAGCGACGGGCGGGAACAGGCGCAGCGACTCCTTGATACATCTCTCTAGATAATCTAGTTCTTGAAGATCATCGAAGCTCACCAAGCCGTTCCGCTTACGGAATAATTTCACCACTTCGTTTCTCGCCAGTTGCTGAAAGCACGAGCATAACACTGCTGTGGAATGCGCTTGACCGTATCGCCCAGATTTTGCGTTAATATAATAGTAGTGATAACGATACCTGCGCCTCGGGGTTCTCAGCTAACAGCATCAGGGTATAAGCCATTGCCATCGCTGTGGTATCGTGCGCCTGCAGATTTCAGTGAGTCGCTTGCAAAGTCGAATCGAATGAATTATTATTGTAATTTGCATTGGATCTGTCGACCACTCACTTCAAATGTAAACGTGTCTACTTCTTCTTTAACGCCTTCGCGATCTATCAGCCCGTTATTTTCAGCTACTAGCAATAAATCCAGCATAGCTAATTTCTTTTTCCGAGACCTGCAACGTCCCGTCGGCTGCATTGAGAATCATTTTTTCATTGACTTACTGTACTATTTCCTTTGCGACTGCCACCTTGCCTCTTTTCCGCGGACGCGGTCAGTTCACTTTGCTCCATAACATCTTTCAAATATTCGCCCTGCGTATGCTCATGAAAACTCTTGCGATCTTCCATAACCTGCATCAATTTCCTCGACTTATTGAACCCAGTGATACTTCATTTGGAACGCAAGTTCCAATCGACAATGTACAATGATTGCTTACGCTAGTAGTAAATCGATGAAGAACTTTCAAAGCATTTTTTTGAATTCGGCCGATGTGCCGATCGAGCTTTACCATCCAATTGGTCATGTAAGGCCTTGGCATCCTGCAATATAGTAACTGCGGTGACCATCACAAATGTCAGATTGTTCTATCCGCTATATTGCAATGGTTTTGCAAGAGAAACAGTATC